AGGACTGTGCTTCCGGTGTCCAAATCAATATTGTACGTAGGCACAACACAGTTGATACTGAAATGGACGTAATGGGCCAGAAAAATGTTTTTAAATGAGATTTTTTACTTATACCAAGTAATTATCTGCTCACGTGCAGTATTACCATAATTATACTTGTTATTTTTTATAAATGAACAGTTTTTTTCGCCACATTAGGTCTCCTATCCATTACTTAATAGGCATATGACAATAACCCAACCTTCGTTCTTTTATATATAATATAATAATAAAGAACAGAAAAGGATTTTTTTCATTTTGGAATGAGATCTGTTGCCAGGCATCAACACGTGCCATGGCTCATGACATTATAAGGTGAATGGGAACCGATCAAAGTTTTTTGGAGATTTCTGATAGTAACGCACTTCAGAAAATCGGATAGAAAGCATAGGTAGGTATATCATCTAATCGCAAAAACCGGTTTTATGCTTCAGAATTGGATTTTCATTGCATTAACATATGTTCTGCAATTCAAATGTTATTAACATATTACGCTAAATGGCAAACAAGGTTGTGATTAAAGTCAGAAATTTTAAATGTGATTGTTGTGATTTTTTTAGAAACAATACAGCTTTAAAATGATTCATTTAGCTAAACAATTATATAATTACACGCCGCAGGAAGTACCTACCTATCTATTTTAAGTTATTTTTCTGAAAAATGGTCTTTTTTGTGTTCAATATTAGCAATTTGCTTAGTTGAATTTTGCCTTTTTCATCAGACATGATAATTCCTGGCCCTATTAAAAAAGGGTTTTATACAGCAACAGCAAAATTTACTACAAAATATTACAGTCATAAAAGAAGAAAGGTCTTATTCTCTGATGACAATGTATTTAAATGGAAAATAAACTGAGGTTAAGTTACCAAAGACTTATTAGAAGATTGTGCCCTAGACTATGATAATTTGTGTGCTCCCCTCCATCACCTTGGATTTATTATTGTAATAATGTTTCTGGTATCTTATTATCATATTAACACTATTCGCAGTTGGGAAATAAATACAATAGTTCATCGTGTACCTATGCTAACAACACAAAAATAATGATATAAACAGTTCATGCCTTTCTAAGAAGCATCGGAGTTGGGTGGTGTTGCCGACCACGCGCCCATAGACAGCAAAATGTAGGTACACTATGTCAAAGACTATGTCTAATGTCTGGTTGGTACTTAAGTTCTCGGAAAGGCTATAAACTAGGAATCTGGAACAATATTATAACTATCCCACCGTGGGATACACCTGGTCGTGGTGGTGGGGCTCAGCAGTCAGTTTTCAGTGGCGCAGCTAAGGATCGCAGGTGGATATCTGTTAGATTCCATGATTTTTACCCGGGAAAGTAAAGTAAATCTGGTTGAACGGATGCTGTACAATTCATATAAGTGCCTTGTTGAGTAGAGTATTAACGAAGGTATAGTCGACGGTTACTCATCAAACGACGTGATAAAGGGGGTTTTATCAAAATGAGCAAGGAGGTACCTAATTCTTAAGTGCATTGCTTCCGTACGTTCCCATCTGAGGCGTACGAGGTAGACTTCTGATTCCAGTATTTCTGATAAAAGGTCGATTGCCACTTGTCAATGCAGGAGTAATTTCGATAAATTGGACTCAACCATAAAGAAAACTTTATCGAGACGGGTGGTATGGAAGTCCCAGGGCGTAGCAGTGTCGGACTCTGAAGGCCCTTGTGCTTATGGCTTGAATCTGAATGCTGGAAAGAAAATTAATTCTGCTTAATATTTTAAATAGGCAAAAATTTGGGGGGGGGGGCAATTTTTTTGACTCTCCACACTTGATACCCGATCGGCTGAAAAAGTGCTACAAACAACTAAAAAACTACAAACACTTTCCTACATAGGTTTATTTACAACCTATATTTTATTCTTCATCAATATATGTATTAGTAAATCACTATTCCATATTACATTTTTTGCTTTGGGCTTGGGAATCCATTCCAAGTAATAGGTAGGTAAGGTAGGTAGGTATCAATAACCTTATTTCGTTCAAGATTTATGTTAGCTTTTTGTTTCTCAACACAGCAATAAGATCAATCTTTTTTCAAAAATGCATACATTTTACAACTAGGTACTGCAAAAAAGCGCGCACATCTTCTCGCCTTCTTGCGGTCGCCCTTGTACTGCCAACGCCATTTCGCGCATTTTTATCACAATTTAAATTTTAAAGGATTAAGTTAACGTATGATTCTTTGTACTATCTAACTAGCTCTAGGAGATAGTTGCCGAATCTGCAATTAAAACGAATAAGTTATAAGATGTATCAGGTAAAAGACACAAATTAAGTCACGAAATAGTTACGATTCTGGCCATAATGAATTTACTTTGACACCCATCGAAAGAAGTAGGCTATTCCCTTATCAATCATGCTCTGCTCTAGAAGTTTCCATCTCCAGATCGTCGTTTCTGCAATTAAAAAGAAACAAGTTACAATTAGAGAAAAAGACACAGTTACGGTTGTGGTTATAATAAATTTACTTTGGCATTCCTATGGACCGAGGTGAAGATACTGAAAAACTACAGCCGAAAGCGCTGCCAGAAGTGAGAAAAATTGCGGTCTTATAATTATATTGCAGAGAAAATTCAAAAATCTGGGGAGACATCTCGGCGCCCCCCAGTGGCCTTGAAAGCGCCATTAAGTCGGGTCACCGGCGATAAGGAACGAAAGCGGATAAGACGCGTTCATTTCGGAAAATATTATGTTTTTGATCCTTTGTTCGAGAACTTTCTAGAAGATTTGTTTGCTATATAAGCGGATTGAATTGTGTTTGGTTAACGTTCCAAGAATTACGCCGAATTGATAAGTAAGAAATAATCCCGCACATAAATGGGGCGAGATCCCGCGGGATTTGCGGTACTGAGGAATTTGTCGACCAAGGGGGCGACTCTGTTTACTTTATTAATGAAACGCATAACGGAAAAGTTATTGTTAAAATAATTGTTAAACTTTTTTCGTTAAAAATGTACTATGATTTTTGAGACACTTTAGAAGTTCACCTTTTTGTGCTGTACAGGTGAGGTTTTTTTGAGTTGTAAGTTAGGCTGAATGTACCTACTTTTTTGTTCAAGCGATTTATTAAAATACAGAAGTTAACCGCACAAAATTGCTTATTTGCCAATTTATTTAAAATTTTGCGGGATTCCGCAAATACCGGGATTGAGAGATTGAGATTTTGTTGCGGGATTGCTTTCCCTAGTGGGGTCATATTCAACACCTGTGGACCTATTTCCTAGTGGAAAAAAACTTACTTTAATACTCTTCATTTTGATATAACCCATGGTTCTATTTTGTTAATCCAGATTTTCAAAGTGGTGATATTCTTTTTGAATCGCCCTGTATATGCACTACGTAGTGTATAGGTGTATGGAATGGATGTAAGTGTGTATGTAAGTTTCTAATGTGTAGTATGCGGAATATATACAGGTCATGTAGCAAAATTCTTCGATTTGTGCTTTCAGAATTTTTCGAAAAAAATTGTGATTCATTTATTTTTAATCATAACTTCTTTATTTTTCATGATACAAAGTGCATTAAAAAACCATTTTGAAGGTTTTTAGAAGAGCTACAAGGCTATTTACCTCAAGTCCCTTTAAAGCTCTTAGTTTTAAAATGGAGGGAGCTTTAAGAGTTAAAACAAAGTTGTGCTCGCATATAAATACACATTTTAAACGACTATATCTCACTTAATTTTTGTCGTACAGAAAAACAGCGAGGAAAATGTTTGGAATGAAAAAAGCTACAATTGGATGTTCTAGCATTTTTTACGTATCTCCAGTTATTTTGTAGTTATTTGGAAAAGAAGGACGTTATTCACAAAATTGCAAAAATTCGTTTTTCACTTTTAGCTTTAATTACTTGAAAATTAAGGTATTTTTAAATACTTAAAGAATATTCTACGAATTTTTCTCGAGAAATGCACAGGTTTGCCGTTATTAAGCGGCAGAGCAAAGCGATGCAAGCTTTATATGGGAGTCGATGGTGTCCGTCTGTCCGTCTATCCGTCTGTCCGTTTGTCCGTGAACACAATAACTTTCAAACGCTTGAACCGATTTGGTTCAAACTTTGCACAATTCACCAATTTGCTACAAGTAATAAGCCTATTGAAAATAGGTCAAATTCAATGATCCCTTGGGGTCACGCCTCTCTGTCTCTGCCAAACGCTTGAACCTATTTAGTTCAAACTTTGCACAGTTCACCTATATGCCACATGTAACAAAACTATTGAAAATGGGTCAAATACTCGGTCAAATCCAATGACCCCGTAGGTAGGTACGATTTTGTTCTCCGCGTTTTTTATAAAATGCATTTCGAGTTTTTCGCGAATAACCAATTAAAAAGTTGATCTTTTCTATGAAAAACTCATACTTTCGGTCGCGAATAACTGGGAGATTAAATGTATAGAATACTTTTTGCTTAGAATTAATTCTTCTATCTATTTCTTTATAAAAATTACAATAAAAAATTACCACCTCTGAGGTGGGGTGGCAGGCAGCCAACCCCAGGGGGAAAGCGCCCTTTTGCATAGATTTTGATCCTTGTAGGCTATTCCCTACCTACTATCAAAATTTCAAGTTAATCGATTCATTTTGAAAAAATTGCCAGGGCAAAACCTTAATTTCCTGGACTATATAAGAAATATGCATTGTTGGTGAACTTCGAGGAGAACTCTCATTCTCTAAAGTGTGTGGTCTCACCAATCACTATTTGGAATACAATTGAAATTGAAATTAACAACAGGGGTGCAGAGGAGATACAATGTAGGCTGTAGAATGTATGTACAACAAATTTCCAAAAATATAGCAAAAGCCTCTGATTATACTATATTCAAAGCAGCATAGTGTAGGTAGTTTCAATTGATAGATGACCTCCATTATTTAAATGCTACTTTAGTTGCCTAAAATCGAGCATGTGTATGCACGGATAATTTTTAATTTATTCACAAACACGTGTTAGGCAAACGATGAACAAAATATGCATAATCGACATCAATAAAGGCGTAATAATGCAAATTTTGATCAAAATTGACGTGAATGTAACAAACTTGAACCGCCTCGTAGATAATTTTTGAATTATGAGAATTTCTGAAATGGAAAGTAGGAATAATGGGAACAGCGTTTAACGGTAATTGAAATTCCATTATCGTTTCAAAAATTTGTCAAACGGGGCGTTGAGTTTTGTATTCTTTTTACAGTAAATGCAATATTATTAAATACCCACAAAATGTCAACAAAGTGAAACATTATAATATTTTGAAGTGATGCGATTGTTTTATGGTTACTTGGATCTTTAACTTCTACGGTTGAGTGCAAAGAAGGTTAAGTTTGTTTTGATTAAAGTTCTTTTGAACAATTTCGTTATAAACATGTTTTCTAAGAAGAAGAAGAAGCCTCAGATCTCTCCACCTACGAATTTCGAACATCGTGTACACACCGGATTTGATAAAAGAGAAGGCCGATATGTGGGTTTACCTTTGCAGTGGGCATCGATAGTAGGCAATAACCAAATATTAAAATCGACAAATCGTCCCCTGCCATTAGTTGATCCATCTGAAATTACGCCAACTGAGATATTAGATTTAAAAACAATAGTTCGCGGGGAGCACAGCAAAGTTGAAAATCGGATCCTTCCACAGCAAACCAAACCTCCTGTTTCGAACGGCATTATTCTTCCAAAAACGTCTAATGTGGCACGTTCGAATTCTCTGAGATCTTCCAGTCCACCTCGTTTGCGGAGAGATCATCACAACGCTAACGTACCACCTTCGGTTCCCGAAGAGCAGATATTGCAATATCCGTCATTACGCCGAGAACCTTGTGTAAGTAAACCACAAGTGCGAGAGGAGTCACCGGCCGAACGCTCGCTCAGTAATCACGAAGGTAGTAATTCTCATCTCAATGGAAACACACAAGAACCGTATGTAGGTTACCGCGATCATCCTCAAGTGTCACCCGCCAATTCTGTGGCAGCACCTCCACCGAATTACGTTCCTCATACTCAGTCGACCTCCAGCTCACACCAAAACGTAGCGCAACTCGGATTCCCAACGCGACCCGATCAGAATCAAAATATTAAAAATGGAACACAAGTCTTACCTCACCCCACCATTCCCCCGTCGGTCTCTACGGCCAGCAAACAACACCACGAGCAACGGCTGACGCACGAACAATTCCGTGCCGCTCTTCAAATGGTAGTGTCTCCTAAAGACCCCCGTGAATCCCTCGAACAGTTCATGAAAATTGGGGAAGGCTCCACGGGCACTGTATGCATAGCACGTGATCGAAACACAGGCCGGCAAGTGGCTGTAAAGAAAATGGATCTTCGAAAACAGCAGAGGCGCGAGTTGTTATTCAATGAAGTCGTAATAATGAGGGATTACCACCACGCAAATATTGTAGAAATGTTCGACAGTTACTTAGTTAATGACGAGTTGTGGGTCGTAATGGAATTCCTCGAAGGAGGTGCTTTGACAGACATTGTGACACATTCGAGAATGGACGAGGAACAAATCGCCACCGTTTGCAAACAGTGCCTCAAAGCGTTAGCGTACCTTCACTCGCAAGGCGTCATACATCGAGACATAAAATCGGATTCCATACTTTTAGCACCGGACGGTCGTGTCAAACTGTCAGACTTTGGCTTTTGCGCCCAAGTTTCTCAGGAGTTACCTAAACGTAAATCTCTCGTCGGTACGCCTTATTGGATGTCGCCCGAAGTGATTAGTCGGTTGCCTTACGGACCCGAAGTGGACATATGGTCGTTGGGTATCATGGTGATAGAGATGGTCGACGGTGAGCCGCCATTTTTCAATGAACCGCCACTGCAGGCGATGAGAAGAATTAGAGAAATGCCACCGCCCAAATTCAAAAATAGTCATAAGGTTTCGCCACGGTTGCAAGGATTTTTGGAACGAATGCTCGTTAGGGACCCTACTCAGCGCGCCACCGCTTCAGATTTACTACACCATCCATTCTTAAGGCAAGCAGGTCCTCCAGCTTTATTAGTGCCGTTAATGAGAGGTGCCAGGCATACCAATTACTAAAATGTAAGTATTTGTTTTTTTTAATTTCTCCGTCTCTTTTATGTTTACAATTGTCTGTATCTTCTCTTTCTAAAAACAAATTAAAAGAAACCACATGAGTATCTGCAGAACTGCAGAAATCTATGTACTTAAAATGAATCGCCGAAATGTATGTACACGCATAACTTCCGAACGACTTCACCAAATTAGATAATTCTTTTTTGTTCTGTTTGTTATTACCAGGACAAGCTTTGTATAAAAGGTAATTTCCAAAAACTTTACGGAAAGAAAACAATTTTTTCCGTTATTTTAAATCGCAATATAACTGATAGATGGCGCCAAAGTGAGATCTTGAGTTTCTTACTCTGAGTCTTGAGCGAGGTCTACTACGGCTCTAGAAGGATCCATACTGTCGGCTTCAGGTGAGGGGCGAAAAAATAGACGATCAAACGTTATCAATTATCTATGCCCACGAAGCTTTCTGATGTAGTGAGCGTGGTCGAGGGGAAGTGGGCCAACCCCTCAAATTGAATTTATGTCACATCCGAGAGCGGATACCGTTCTTATATCTTATTCGGTAGCGCTACATTTGGGCAAGGTGAGGGGGCGACGCCGAACTGATTTCCTATCCTGGAGCGTGACACCAACTGATAGGCCGTACGAAGTTCGCCGTGTGTGATTTCAGTATCCCAAGTATAGTTTGAAGTGATCTGTAGCTATTCCAGACACTAATATTTAGGTTGGTAGCTCGTCACAGAAGAAAAGTAACTACAAAGTTGAATTTTCTACAACAGATACTGTCGTTTATTTCACACACAAAGAAATTTACTTGTAATTGACATGTTTTGGGTAAAGCGCATATTGAGAACCATACTGCATTTGAAGTTTTTGAAAAATCATTGAAAATAACTGAGATATCACCAAAAAGCTGAAACTGTCAAATTTCGTTTTCATTTTAGAAATAGACAGTTCCCATTAGCAAGTTCTATGGTCACTTTTTTTCTGATAATCTGAATTTGTTATCAGAATTTATATAGCACACAGGCTACTATTTTCTTATAGACGCCATTTTGGATTTTTACGGAATGAAATAACAGCATAATCGACAATTTTGGCAAACCATGTTTCATTACCTATCTGTTTTCACAAAGGATACCATTACATAAATAATCTAGAACATTTTTCAGTTATTCCTTCCTGAAAAGTTACATTTATATTTTGAATTTCAATTTTGTGATATTAGCTCATATACCTACACATGGATATAATCCCATTTTATTCGCTTACAATATTGAACGAGGATGACGGCTCGCTATGTTATCGATTTTCTGCTTAGGATCTTTTGCTCCTGGTAGTTAACTGTATGATTCAAGCGTGTAATTGGTTCAGTGTTCATAAAATCATCGCAAACAAATGACCAATCACATCATGCAATCATTTAATTTAAGACCGTGTATATTAAAATTTTGATGTATCACCTGTTTCTTCAATAAACTCGCGGAGTGCCATTAAAGGTCGACGTTTTACATGGAAAATTCTTAAACTCTTACTAAACTAACAGAAGGGAAATGCATTTTAACAATATTAAAATAAATTAAATGACATACATAACCAGAATGTGTACTCTTCTTGGTAAAATAAATAAACGTTGCAATGAATTAAAATTTAATTTTTATAACGATTCTGAACAGAACCAATGCAAGGCTTTGTTTAGCTTCTGACAGTTACCACGAATAAATGAACTTTTCTAAATTACCTAACCGTTAAGAAATAATGTAAATAAATAATAACGCGATTTTATGGTATATACAGGGTGGTGCACGGTAAGTAGGAACATAGGGATTTAACCTGGGAAATTAGTTTTATGCAAAATCCCGCTCTCCTGTACATAGAAAAAACTGTAGAATTTAAAGTTGTTCAGAATTAAAAGATGCATACAAAACTGTTTTTACATGTTTTATTAAGCTTTTGGTTTCAACATAAATGTTGAAATTTATTTTTAATTTTGCGGGTATACGAAAAGCTTAATAAAACATGTAAAAATAGTTTTGTATGCATCTATTGCATCTACAGGAGGGCAGGATTTTGCATAAAACTAATTTCCCAGGTTAAATCCCTATGTTCCTACTTACCGTGCACCACCCTGTATGCTTCCGTCTTTACCTACTCCGTATCCGTGCATTTAGCCACAACTCGTTATCTAATTATAGGTTATGTTATTAATATTTGGCGCCAATTCTGCTTAATAAATTCATCCTTTTGAACACGTTAGTATTACCTGCTCAATAATAATATATTATAATATAACCAATGGACAATTTAAACGGTATTGTGAAAAATGAAACCGAAAACAAAGAGCGGCACGAGGAATTTCAGTATTTAAACCATATTCGCCAAATACTGGACACAGGTGTGAAACGTAGTGACCGAACAGGTGTTGGCACTTACGCAATTTTCGGAGCTCAAATGCGGTACAGCTTGCGAGACAACATATTTCCTCTGTTGACGACAAAAAGAGTATTTTGGCGGGGAGTTGTTGAGGAGTTGCTCTGGTTCATAAGGGGAAGTACCAACGCCAAGGACCTATCTGATAAGAAAGTACACATTTGGGATGCAAATAGTTCTCGCGAATTCTTGGACCAAATGGAGTTTACTGACCGAGAAGTCGGAGACTTGGGGCCCGTTTACGGCTTTCAATGGCGTCATTTCGGTGCCACTTATGAAGGTATGCACGCTGATTACGATGGCAAGGGCATTGATCAATTAAAACAAGTCATCGACACTATCCGTAATAACCCAAACGATCGACGTATAATTATGTGCGCATGGAATCCTGTAGACATACCAAAAATGGCTTTACCGCCTTGCCATTGCTTAGTACAGTTTTACGTTGCAAATGGTGAATTGTCTTGTTTATTATATCAAAGGGCGGCGGATATGGGTCTGGGAGTGCCTTTTAATATCGCCAGCTATTCTTTGTTAACGGTAATGATAGCCCATGTAACTGGATTGAAGGTAAACTGGTCATCATCATTGTTCTCTTTATTAATTACAATATTTCAGCCTGGAGAATTTATTCATACTCTGGGCGACAGTCACGTATACCTGACCCATGTTGAACCATTAAAGGAACAATTACAAAGAGTCCCTAAGCCATTTCCCCATTTGCATATCAAAAGACACGTTGCCAGTATTGATGATTTTAAGGTTGAAGATTTTGATTTAGTTGGCTATGATCCCTACCCCACTATTAAAATGGAAATGGCTGTTTAACTCGCTTTCCTTTATATTTAGTGTTGTTCTGTACTTATTTAATATTTTTTTATTTAAAAATGTAAATTCACAATCAAATTTGTTGCTAAATATATATAGTGTGTAATGTAAGATAATAAATGCTTGTTTACCAATTTGTTCGTTAACAATCATACTCCACAGGTGACTTTGCTATTTTATTTTAGATTGTGGCAACTCCATGATTTTGCATAAGTAGTGATGGAACACTTCCCGCATAGGGAATACAAAAGGTGGAATTAGATATAACTCTCGCCAGGAAAGATTGCCGGACACCTTGTGTCGATCTACAATCGATGTTTTTCTTAAGATGCGAGCGACTTCCTGAATGTGATCGTGCCAATGTTGAACGAAAAGTCTTTTTGTTCAACATTGACACAATACTATCCCGAAAGTCGTTCACATCTTTAGAAAAACATAGATTGTAGACCGGGATCAAGTGTTCTCTGACCGGCAATCTTTCCTGGCGAGAGGTTTATTGTTTCTGTTAAAATGGCCTTCCAGGTAATCCTGGCTTGGTCAATTTTATGTGAAATATAGGTCATTTTAAGGAAATTGCTCTCACAAAATGTCAAATCATTTTGAAATGGAAGCATTATAATTTTCATGTCGATATCGCAAATGTTTGAGCGTAAGTGCTTCAGTTCCATCTTTAATAGCAACCCTGTACAACAAATATTCATATATGGTTAGGTATATTGTAATTGTCTTTTTTTTTCGACACGGTTTAGTTGGTAATTACCTTAACATTTTGTTATTAAATATGACACCCTGTATATATTTATTCTTATTGGATGCAGAATGAAAAACTAGATCAGAAATGATATTTTTATTCAAAAAGTGATAAAAAAATTTAAATAAAAAATACTTGTAGCAAATCACATTACCTTTGAATTGAAATTATTCCTTAACAGCATGGGCGCCGCTACTAAAGGGCAAGGAGGGGCCCGGGCCCCTCCCTGGCATTTGAGAATTCACTTAATCCATTTTAGAAAATGTTGAAAGCTCACAATAAAACCAGAACACAGCCACCTTTTTCTGTCCCATCGCTGTTCGGTGACAAAGCAAAAGTAGGTAAACCTTTTATAACCTTATTGAGTTACCTCAATGTCCATAAAGTTGCCATATTATACCTACCTATAGACTATAGAGATTAAATTAAACCCGTACCGCGCACGTTAGTAAGGGAGGTATTGCATTGGGGTAAAAAATGATCCCCCACTTTTTTTTACGGAAATATACGTTTTGACGCACCAGAAATCCGAATCCAACAAAATTTTGATGATGTCGGTCTGTCTGTACCCTTATAGTAACCAAATTTGGTACACATATTCTTAGATATAAAAGGAAGAGCTGAAAAGCTTTCGGGGAGAATTGCGCAAGTGTGCTAAACTCTTATTAACGGCTTAAGCAATTGGAACCAAATTTGGAACACAATATATTGTTAAACCTAAAAGAACGTAGAATGCGCATGTGCCGGTGTGCGGGTGGTATCTGTGCTAACCACAGCAAATTTTATAATATAGTGCTATTAATTTCATTTTTTTTTTCAGTGAACTACTGTAACTTGTTACTTTTGTTCTTGTTTTGTTTTGTCTCTGTGTCTAATATGTACCTATTACACTATTACACCAATGGTTTTTGTTGGATATATGATTTAGCTGCGTATCCTATTGAGTGACTAATTTAAAAATAGTTAGGTAACATTTTCTATTCCAAAAATGTAAGGGCCCCTCCCTAGCGCATTTTCTTCCGGCGCCCTTGCTTGACAGGTTGTTCGAAATGCTTTACGGAATTTTAATGATCAGCTGGGTTATTGTCAAAGTTTAAATTAGAATTATTAGAACTACGCTTTTCGATTGTTTATGTTTTCGTTGATAGACTTAGTTTCTGTTTACATGTGTTTAACGCTGAAATAAATTTTATTATTATTATTATTCTTCATTCACAAAACTTAATTGGGTTTAATTGAGTAGTGGGGTGGGTTTAACTCGTGTCCAGAAATTTCACAGCTATGTGGGCTGATGATAGGAGCACGCTGTGTGGCAGTCTGCTGATGATGTTAGTCAGAATGTTTATTTCTCAAAGAATTGGTGAGTAACTCTGGTACTAGTCCTAGAGTTGAGAGTATGATGGGTACTATAATGATTTCTTTCACGTTCCGCAGTCCTTCTGGCTCATATGCCAGTTGTTGGTAATTTGTCATTTTTTGATTGACTCTCCAGCCTGATACTCTCCTGGCCATCTTTTGACTTGCCAGTGTCAGATCAATGATGATGAATTCGGCGTTCCCGCGGTGGAAGGTACGATGGTTTCCCAGGTTGAGACGATGGACAATGTTGCCTTTAAATTTTTTGATTTGCTATTTACCTTTAATCACTTCTATAACTGTTATATCATTAACAACACTTTTTTGTTTTCAGCATGTTCGCATCTGAAGAGACTGGACATCTCGGAAACTAATTTTAATGAAATTAAAGGTACTACTTAACTTTGAACATTAAATCGAACGCATTTTTATATAAATCACGAATTTTTATCCTTTTTGTTAACATTGTTTTTTTTGCCATATTATGTTAACCGTGCTCGAATTGGCGCTGGCAGTGTATTTGCGATGGAAATTACGTTCGTGCATATGGCGAAGAGAAGTAGCAACTATCATCGAAACAAAACTAACAATTTTTTACCAATTGCTGCCATTCCTTACTAAGTATTTGTAATTTCCATAAATGTCGCGAACATTTCATATAGCTATGTTCTTATCCCTAATCCCTATTATTACTATGTTATGATAATCAGTTATCACTATGCGTGTTTGTAAATTTATTTGTAAATTAGTTACCTGATTCAATTTCGTATCTATAATTTGACATCATGACTCCAAATATTTACACCTTTACTTTTTTCATCATTTTTCAACTACTTATTATTAAGTATATGTCTGTACATTATGTAGATTGAATGTGTGAAGTGATAAATTACCCAGTATTTTTTAGTTTATGTTTTTAACATACATACAACAATTTTATTTTGTGTCAGTTTTACGGTGTACCAGTATTACTCATTCTGCCCTACCGTCCAAAACATGTGCCTTTTAATTGAAAAAAACATCTAATGTGTATTATTAAGCCAGAGCGTATTTATATTGTATTTTAAGGCAGCTCTTGTGTTATGTTTAAGTATAACATATAATGTACTTACTTACACAATGTCACTATTTTGTTGTAATAAAATTTCTCATGTTTGTATGGAGTTTATTATGAACTTTTAACAAAAGCATATTAGCGTATCATAAACAGCGATCAAACAAAACAGGCACGTTTACAAATATACAAATATATTATTGCTTTCTACCATAATATCGCTCAAGCTAATTACTACATCTTACTGCACCTTTAAATAGATTATATATCTTCTTGATGATATGTGCTATACTGATGTAAAGATTTTTCATTTATTTCACTAGACTTAATACACAAAATCGCTGAGCTTATTTACTGTAGTACTAAGTCTATGTTCTATACTACAATGACCAACATTATTATCATATTATTACAGTCTGATTTAAATTATTTGATTGTTCATCAGTAATAATTTGGCTCCTATAATTATACGGCTTTATTTCATGAACCAATTGCAAAACAACAGTGTTGGAATGTTTACACTCAAACGAACAAGATGACGAAACCAAACATCTTGGGGTAATAATTGAAACAAAGGTGAACAACTTTTAACAATATTGTCCATCTCAAAAGTAGCTAAACATTTTAGAATTTCTACACACTAAATCTAAATAAATGTATTTCCACTCTTTTATGTTTTGGTGTGGCCACGAGCAATATTATCTTGTAAATGCTCGCAGAGCTCATCTTCACATCGATTCCATTTGTTCCGTAAGCTCTAAGATTGGACTCTCGCTGAGAGGCAATAAAGGAGGCCATGCATTACTTGTGAACTGAGGCCCCTATCATAAAAAGGACATTGTTTCTACCATCTTACTCAATTAAATAAGACACACTTTCAAAAACTGAAAACAAAACACGTGCATGCTATTATTTTTGTTAAATAAAAATGTAAAACTCATTAAATATCGCTATATATTTAGTAGCTGAGCTGCAATACAGGAATAACGGTAAACTAACACAAATAATATTTGTATACTACTACAACATAGTAAAACAAAATAAAGATTTGTACTAAAACTTTTCAGGTTTCTAATGAACATTTGGTAAAACACTTTATCCGCAGTTCACTGGCAGATGGCTACAAGAGCTTGAAATATATTCACAATTTGTAAGTTCCTACCAATGGAATTATGTTAAGAAATGAGAATTTACACTCGCACTATCACGTGCATGGTCAGTCAAAATTGATATGTCAAGTTCATGATTTCATTTCTCCCCTCCAAGAGGATAAACTAAGGTCTGCACTAATTCTTGGTATGCAATGGGTACTTTCTCAAATAAGAAAGTGAGAACCAATGGTTAGGTAGACAAGGATAATGTAATATGTTAGCTTGATTGATGTGGATAGTTCCCAATGTCAGCAGTATCTCCGCAAGATTGTCTATTTGTGCTTCAGTTGAAAGAAAGCCAAATGTCAATGTATATGGCTGTATGCCTACAATTTTTGACTAGTGAAAAGGTAGGGTAAGTAAAGAGCTGAAATACTTTACGAAAAATTAAAAACATGTGAAATTGTCCTTGTCTATGAAGCAACATACCCACCAAGCCATATAATACCGAATGGTGAAAATGAAAATTTAGATAAAGATTTATTGTACTTTGAAACCTCTGCTTTTATCGCTTCCCCCCTTATGTTACCTAAATGACATTTTCAAGCCTCACGCTTGTTATAAAAACATGTGGATGTGAATGGATAAAGGAGACATAACTTCAAGAGAATGCTGGCAAACGAATAATATATACCTGGCGTAAGCGGCATCTTTAATTTTGTTAAGAGTATATTCTGGGTGTCAACGAATCTATTAGGCAAGTCATAACTTCTAGAGAATGAAATTTGGTATGGGAAGAGGCGATTTTTCGCATATTTTTCACTTTTTGAAAGGTCTTGGCAAATAAAAGTTAATTGGTTCTGTGATAAACAATACCACGTACGAGATAAGCAAGGCATGTGGTTATCAATTCGGGCGATGGAGCTGAGTTTCGAGAATAAGCAGAGGGCTACGATATGGAATTTATGAAAAGAGGTGATTTCTCCTTTAAATGGGAGAAACGGAAAATCACTATTGTGTTAAATTTTACGGGCAGTTTCGCCAAATAAAGAAGTTTACAGTCTTGTCCCTGGATTTGCTACGCATGCGGTTCTGAAGTTGAGAAGATAACATTCTTATCAAATGTATAGTGTTATGTAATAAAATTTTATCATCCGATCAGACATTACAATAATTTGTTAACCTCATCAAACCAATTATTATGTGAATTTTCAAATAGTTACGTGTTAAATAAATGTGGGTTCTAAAAAGCTGTCGGATCTGTGTAAAGTGTCGGTTTGCGGTTCATCGGTTTCCCCATCTCCTGACCAGATAATTTGGGTATAATTAACTGAACTTTTTTTTTTTTTATTTGACAGTTTTGGAAATGGGGTGTATTTATTCAATTTTCTTACAGGTTTTATTCTGTATTTGATTTTGTTCTCATGGTGTGTGTTAGAATAAATTCTTTTTTACTGAATTTGATTGAGGCTTTCGTAACTTTCAAATTTATACGAATTTTAATTCAATGTCAGCATTTTTGTTGTATCGAAACCCAGTCAAGCCCTAAGAAAAATTTAAAAAGGAAAACAAACTAAATTGTGTAGTTTGAACTAACTAAATAGGTGTCTGTTGGATTTCTGAAAAAATTCTGGATCAGAATGACATGTTTAAACGTTTTCTTCCATACCTCATTTTTTAGAACAAAGTATTAAAAAGCACATAAATTATTATCCAGTATTTATGCTCTTATTTTTAATCCAATTGCAAATAGAATAACATTGTCTGAGGCCTTACATTAGTTTATGTCTGATCAAGGTCACACAGATGTTCTAAAATATTAAATAGGCGTAAAAATCACATTCTGATCCAGAATTGTCTCAGAGATCCAAAAATGCAAAAAAATTTAGTGTTCCATTGAAAAATTCCAAACGAGAGTTATTTTTGATGAAACCGGATGGGGCCAGAAAGTGAAAAATGTGCGAAAAATCTTCTCTTCCCATACCGTTTACCTATACCGAATTTCATTATGGTACACGTAATACTCTAGAAGAATGATTTTAAAAGACAATATTGCTTCCGAAGGGCGCCTAATTTTATGCAACAAAAATAACTTACCTAACTTAATACAAATAAAGATTTGGGATTTCAATATTGTTGCTTTGGGTTCTGTATTTTTAAATTCAACTGAAGAACAAGTTCATATTGTCAATTGGTAAGTGCCGGTAACCGTTTAAGCAGCGTAAGAGATTTATTTTCTGTGAACCAAAGCAACAATATTCAAATTAATTAATATGACAGCCAGTCTTTGTTTTAAGAAGTTATTTTGAATGCATAAAATTTAGGCGCCCTTTAGAAGATTTTGTCATTTAAAAGTAGACATAGAGAAAGACAAAACATGTAAATCTCTATGTCGACTTTGTATAATAACAATGTCGATTATTTTATTAGATTAAAAATTTGTGGGTATTTAAGGTGTTCTTTATATGGGATTACTCGTATAAGGTTAAGCTCAATCCTTACTTTTGATTCAAATTCAGGATTTCACCAATATTAGCTGATAAAAGTGACGATATATGACAAAATATATGTAAACGTTGTAGGATGTATACCTAATCAGTAAGAAAACAGGGATAAGCATCCGATTTCCTTCAAGGAAGAATCAGACATCAAGAATATGAGTCAAATAACTTTGGATGTATAAGGCGAAAGTAGGTGCAACTGCAGTAAGTGAAACAAAATTACATTAACTGTGTAAAAGGGACACCAATGAAGCAGTTTTTAAAAGATAGCGCTTCATATGCGTATTTTTAAAGATTTGATACAACATAGGAACAAATTGGAAGCCCTTTTTAGCCTCCCAACGTTATACCAGTGGTGGTAAAAATATAAATAAATAAATATGCAACGATAATGGAAACTCCTTTCTTACACTTTATTTCAATCAAATAAGCTCTCCTGCCCTATCCTATTTTTAGATTATCAACATAGGTACGCATTAATACACTGTATAACACACTTTTTGCAGTTTTCTCGGAATGTTTTAAGCTAATTCATAACGTAATTTTGTTCAAATTACATTTTTTTAAATATTCAGTAGAAACCTGTGTAAGTGCTCTATAGATATTGTGGTACCTGACTCCACGTAGGTAATGGCGATTGCCACGCGGGAGGTGGAGGTATCGTTTCTGAGATCTGACAAGAAGTTTGTAAACTTCCCGGCAATGAGTTCCAAGCCTCCCCAGAACCCTCAACGATAGCCTGGAACGTTAATAAGTCTTTATTCTCAGTTTCATTTAACGGTAATGGAGGTAATACAGGTTGTTGTTGGGCAATTTTATAACTCGCTTGCCTTAGCATATGTCTTCTAGCTAACGAACTACTGGTTTCTAGACTATTCGTGGATGACTGATGTGACATTGCACTTTGTTTTTGTAGGATTTGCCTCTTTTGCTGCAAGAGGCGGTGTTGCATGGCAGTTTGCAGTTGGAGTGGTTCCGGACTTGTATTTGCGTAACTAAAGTTATCTGGTAAACTAATTCTTTTATTCGTACGAGGCTGTAAATATTGACTGTGCTGCTTTTGCCTTTGGGACGCTTCCTCGGGTGGCTCTCTAGCTTGATACTGAACTTGTAAACGTTGTGCTTCGCGCTGCACTAAATGCAATTCCAGAACCCCTTTCGCTTTACAATTTTCGCTTAGCTTCTGCGAATTAAACGCGACAACGCCACCGCTTGTTGAATCAGTAACTTGTTGCGCTACCAGCCCATCACTCGCACGTCGCCCCTCTCGAAAATCTACCGGTGATCGTGTAACCGTCCTGTTCACTGGCTTTAAACTAGGCATATACAGCAGCGGGTGGTGCCTGTGCAAACTAGACCTTGTGTTCATGGAAAAATTAGAAGGGGGAGGAATTGCACTGGCACTAGTTAATACCGGTTCCTGTAGATTTCTATCGGTGGTGGTGCAACTTGGCAAACTGCTCGTCAATTCGCTTGAATCGGACAGCTGATAATCAAGACTTTCAAAATTACTATCACAACTTAAATTTTGACTAAGACTTTTCGATGTATTGAAATTGGTGGCTACTCCACTTGAGGAACTGGACGATGTATAGCTTAAACGGGGATTGTGGTCTTCCAGGTCTGTTTCTACGCCTTCATCGGTGGAACTTGAGTACTGCGTCTGAATTTCTCCACTACGGAATCCCCTAGAACAAGAAATAATTGATTGTGAAAACATTATTTAGCTTTTATTCGGAACATACAATAAAGATTACTTAAGCAGTTAGCGCGCTACAACAAAATAATTATATTTAAGAGAACTTGCTCAGTGCTTCCATGAGATTAACAAAATGTGTCACGCGATGAATATCTGGGTATTTTTAGAGAACTCACCCATTATGACTTTTACATTTCAAAACCGTACTGCTGTTAGAGAATCTTACAGTACCGACATATAGTCCCTAAAAAAGTACATAATATTTGCCAGAATTTTTCCTGCCTCACCTCTCTACGATATTGAAATATCCTAATAAGATACGCCTGCTTGAAGTTGAAGTGTGCAGTGGCATGAAAGTTTTTAGGCACAATCAGCAGGAAGGTTATTTGCAAACAATATGAATAATAGTGGTCCTAGATTGGAGGTTTGGGGGACTTCAGAGGTAGCTGTAAAGCTTTTGGGTACATGTCCATTGTGTATGACCTATTGCCAATGATTCGAGAAATAAGATGTGGATACTTCTAGAAAAGTATCTCAAATAATCCAGAACGACCCATTAATCACTTGACTACAACCAATTGATTTGCTCAATAATGGGAAATTCCACAGTATTATATACCCATAATCCATTCACAACTGATCAACAAACCTCATGCAGAGAAGATGTAAATGATATTTATCAGTCTTGTATTATACCTACCATCTATGAGATGGTTTCGCTAAGCTGGGCGAGGTAGGCCCTAGAGTTACTCAGATGCGCCAGGTATGAAAATTTCACTATCTTTGTAACTATTTTAAAAGGTATTTTTTTAATTGACAAAAATCATGCGTACTCAAATTCTGTCGCCTGAAATTAGAGACGCGTCACAACAGGCGTTTCTTAAGTACATATGTACTATATAATAGGCAACAACCATCAGAAGAAACTGCAAAGAAATATGCGTACTCAATGAAACTCGTAGCATTAAATTATGTGGATGAAGACAGATTTAATGACGTATATTATGGAGGGCTTACATATGGTACTACAGTGACTCAATTTAGAACAGTGGCGACAACAGGGTATTTCGTTTTTGATTGGTAGCTGGTTTTGAACGAGAATCTTTAAATGAAACTGACATTTATTATTCTGTAATCACAATATTTGATCCTATAATCAAACAATTTTTTAGCTCCAGTATGCATATAATGGTCACAATTTTAGAAAATCTTAAATAAAACAAAAACCATAACAGATAGGTATAGAGAATGTAATTGATCGATGTAGAATTTTTTTCGGCATTTGAAAGTGCAAAAAAATAAAGCAGGTTGAATTCGAAAAATCAACTTTTTAAAGTTATTAAAATTGACCATTAGTTTTAAAACACTCTGTAGGAGGACGATCAAAATTTAAATCATTCGCATGCAGCGTCACGTCAGTATTGTTCATTTTGGAAGACTTTCTAAAATTCAAGTCAACGGAGCCATAGGTACAGGATGCTAAAGAAAAGCAGTCAAACGTCAAAAATTTTGAAAAAGCTTGAATAACTGGAAAACCTATGATGTTGAGTATAGAGAAATCTGGTATCAAACGACGTATAGACTTTCCTGTAGATTCCAAAAATACAATAAAATATAGGGTGGTCTATTTCAAAGTTGTTATCCACATCCGGTAAAACTGGAAGTGAAACGATCATCATAATATTTTCTTTCAATAGATCATGAAACACTATGTTAGTGCCTATGCAAATTTTCCGATTTCAATTATTAATGGGAATCTGAATACTTTTAGGTAACGGTTTTCATGAAACAGCTTGTATGTTTCAAAAAATTCCCTGTATGCTCGGGTAAGCGTCTGTGGTGGTATGTGGTAAATATATGTATGTAGAATAATAAACAACATATACAAAAATCAGATATACAATACTTTTGTAATTTCATAATTTTGTCAATTTAAAAAATGCCTGCCATGATCTTGAAACCGCGATAATCGTCTGCCACTGTTATTTTTATATTTAATTAATTGTACCTATATTTTGAACAAATCAAACGGCAGCCTTTATAGAAGTTAATGAAATTTTCATACCTGGCGCACCTGAGTAACTCTAGGGAACCCCTCGCCGGGCTTAGCGAGACCCCATCTCATGGGTGATAAATATAAAAGACTCACTCCAGATTTTATAATTACATACTTACAGGTTGACTGCCACTAGCTCTTAGACTAATAGAAAAATCACAAACGAAGAATCTGCCAGATCTGCATATTTTGTTTTCTTCCATAGTATAATCTCTTGAATAAAATAATATGAGTAAATGCGAGTTTGGTAAATCAGAAGTGAATTGTATGCAGCAACACCTATGCTAACCTATTACACATCTGGTGTGTATATGTACTATCATGGATACATAAAGATGAAGATTAGTAACGCCTCCACCGCTAGCATATGCAAATTTGTGTATCACGCCATGTGCGCGTCTACCACTACAAAGACATTACACTGGCGATTTTCAAAAGTGTTCAATACCTCCTCAGATTAATATTGGTCATATCAATGGAAAATTATTAAATTTTTGTTTGTTTTGGAGCCCAATTTACCTAATTTTAGGAACTTGCTTGTTAATATACATCTTGGGTGATTTGATGGAGCTCTCAAAACTGTTAGTAAGTAAGCAACATGTGCACATAATTGTTAAATATTCTACTGTGAACAATGACTGATGTTTATGTTACTTTTTCATTCCACCACCATGAATGCACATCTGACTAAAGAACTTACACATTAAACCTACAATTCAGAAAGCAGTACAGCCCTAATAATTCTTACAGTTAGATAAGCATTAGATACATAACCAATTGAAACAAGCACAGGTGGGATGCACGTGACTAATCTATATTGTGTCAGAAAAGTCTTGTGTACTTACTCGAATTTTTAAATGGCCCAGCAGAAGGCAAAGGTTGCCTTCTAGCTCCTGTGGTACTCCTAATTGATAAGCCTGTATGCTCGTACTTTCACTTTAGGTACTTTCTTCGGTCATGTATTGTAAATTTTTCTATGCGTAAAGAACATCTTAAGCTTTACTCACTTTTATCAATCCCTGTTTTGTGTTCTTATGCACAGAAGGTTTCAATTATTTATTTAATCTCAGTATTAAAAAATGTCAATAGTTGAGAGAGTCTGTTAAAAATATGGGGCTCAAATTGTATCTGGAGAAATGTGGGAAGTAGGACTGCAATGCGTACGTACCTTCAGATACCGAGTTATAAATGTGTAAGTTCCATGTCAGTTGGTTTAGGTAAAGAAATTATAAGTAACATAAACATAAATATTTATTTTTAAATCTACAATCGGTAGGTACATCCTTATTTAATAAGGATTAAATAACAATAAATAATTAAAATGCAGAAAGCTTAAGAGTGAGAAACACTTCGAGGATAATTCAATACACTACAACACTACAACATAAATGTTCTACATACCCCGGACTAAACCTGCTTAGCGAGCCTTTATTGTCTGTATCTAAAGTCTGTTGTCCGAATGTGTTTTGCATATAGGAATAGGTGTGTATGTGATTTAGGTAATCACGAAAAGGTGGTACATCTTGTGTGGCAGATGGAACAGGTGAAGATTGTAAAGTCGCCATCAGCTTGGATGCCTCACTCGACATTGCAAAAGTTGTAGTTGTCGACTGTTGCAGTATTTTAAGGGCGTCATCGCTGTTAGTCGCCGCGAGCAGCTTGGCCGCGTCAATACCATGCGCCGATGACGCCGTTTCTGATGTTCTTTGAATATTACTAAGTTTACTATTACTCGACGTTGGCGCCGTAGTGGAATGTTGCAGCAACCGTCGACAGTCTTCGCTCGTGCTTGCCCTACCGATTTTCCTCATAGCCTGCTCGGCTACATTTGAAGGACGTCGCCTTTGAACGTCACGATTACCCGTATGACTCTCGCCGCTCACAAGTTGATTTCTTAACTTATCTAATAATAGGTAATAAATAGCTGCGTGATGATCGTAACTTCCGATTCGAATGGACTGAAAACAATTGCGTTACAATCTCCAATCGTGTGACCTGAAAAATATCCACCTCTCTCGTTTTTACGCCATCAATTCCTAAACTTTGCATTAGCCGTAATATTTGCTCATTTGGTTGTGTGGTACTCGAAGGAACAGATGAAGGTAATGTTGACGGTATATCCGCTTGCATCCATCTGTGTCTTTTTATTTGCGATATTCCATATCGTTTACTTGGATCGAGCACAAGCATCTTTCTAATCAACGACTCACAATCTGAAAAAGATAAAATCGGGGGTAAACAATTCTGTTTTTACAATTGCAAACTAGTTATCAAGCAAAGAATCGATACAATCAGAAGTAGCTTTTTTAATTGTTTACTTTGTATTAAGAAAGTTCCTAAATTACTTGTAAATCTAATAAAAAAATTGTCAATTTCAAAATGATTAAACAAAACCTTAATTTTGTTAAATAGAACACCCTGTAGGTAGATTTTAAACTAAAAGATAGCATATTAACCTATCTTTTAAAAATAAATAAGCACACCATGGATGATACTCCAAGAAGATTCAGTGATTCAAAGAAATTCAAAAGTTTTAAAAAATCAAAAAAGGTTCAATGATTAAAGAAAATCTATAAAATGTTTTGAATCATTAATTTTTTGTGGGTATATTTAAGAGCGTTAATATGCTACCTTTGTAAATTAATATCTACAGGCTGTTCCCATTAAAAAAAATGAGATTAGGTCCGATAACTAAGAAAAGTTAGGGTCGTTCTGAAATTGACAATTTTATCGCCCCCCCCCCCCCCCCAACTCTTAACCAAGCAAAATTCTCAAATTATGATTTTACCACCCAAAAAGAGCACATGATGACGCCTACAGTTTGTCTAATGGATCTTTGATCAGCAACTTAAAAGCATGATCGGTATCAATATGAAATCAATGCAGACATGCATCAAGTTACCTCAAATCCTAGATTTTACACTAGCGACTGAAACAGAGCACTACCGCGTCCTTGTCAGGTTCTTAGAACATACGCGATCAATAATCTGTATATTACTCTTTTGATGGCACTAACAATGACAGCTATACCCTATAAAAGCGTCAAAAATGGAACATCCTGTACATGCCCAAAGGACCCATAGTCAAAACTAGCCCTTTCGCTGAAATGTTTTACTGTGGACGAGTACCAAGTAAAAAATCAGTCTTGTTCTTCTTTTTAGTATGACGTTCATTAAATATCAGAATGAAACAATTTTCTTATGCCCTGTAAATAATTAGAAATCCAGCGATATTTTCGTTGTCTTTCTAAGTATTGCATTTGAAACAGAGTTGGAAATGCCTAAGTGGCGAATTTTATAAAAAAAGTCAATAAAAGGCCGACTTTTTGAATTAACTCGGACTTTTTTTTAATTAATTCGCGATTTTTTTTATTGCAGTTAACGGCATTTCCTCTTCATTATCGGAGGATCCTGATCCACTAATATCATGTATTTGCCTCTTCAGAAACATTGTTACAACTAGATACTTTTGTGTTTTTGCACCATAGCTGGCAATGTTTTGTCGCATGTTTTGCATAGAGCCTTTTATTGGTTGAATTTTGATCCTCAAAATATTTCCAAATCGGATCTCATTTTCGTCCACTTATTTCTCACACGTTAATGAAATAACTTTTAGTCCAGGCTGTATAATATTTTTTGACAAAAAAAATTAGTTCCCGATCCAAACCGAGTTTTTTGTGTAAGTAAAATGACTTTGAAATCGGAGAAAATAATTAAAACCGTTCAATTTTTCCGCGGGCGAAATCAGGGGAGTTGAAAAGGGTGGAATGTAATATTATGTTTTTTTAGGTGAAAATGTTCGAAGTAAAAGTTTGAAAAATGAACATGTTTTCACAATATCAAATATTCCGTGAAAACCCGGAAAAACTTTTTCGTTTTCTATTTTTATTTGTGCGAAAAAAAGTCGAAGGGGTCTGAAATTTGAAGGAACGTAGCTTCATTTATGACAAAAAAGAAGACAATTTTTTGGGCCTGCAAAATTGAGCAGTTTCCGAGATATTCACGATTTTCGAAGAAATCACCTCTCTTTTAGGGGGATTAAAAATATTTCTTTATCGTACAGAGCTGCGTGGAGTAGCAAAATTTTCGTAAAGACTTATTTCGTTTATGAAAACGAACACGTCTTAAAGAGCACATTAATGATGATTTTCTGTGAAAGTTATGGGATTACGATTTACAATAGTGAACGCGATTTTTCTAATATGAAAATGACCCCTCTGTGTCATTTTGTAAAATTAGGGTTATTTTTGGTCATTTTAATCGTCCACTAGGCGATTAAAAAAAATATAGTGAATAATTTGAGTTGATTGGTTCAATACACCACGCACAAGCAAAGAGTCCTGCCCAGACTCTTTCATACAGAAAGTCATCTAAAAATATTTCCTTGTGGAGGCCCGCACCCTGGTGAGCCTTGTTCTTGGATAAAGACATCATTTGAATAGCACTAGAACATGCACGAGTTAAACCCTGACGATGCTTAATCAAAAGTGCCAAAGCGGTGACATTACATTTGATATGGTACTCGCTATGGCCAGTTTGAATTTCATGCAATTTGGTTCATAACTAACGGAGATGTCAAAAGAGCATCTCTTATTTGAAGGCCCACATTGCCAATTTACAAATTTGATAAAGAATTCACCTGCAAAATTATCTTAATCGGCCCGTCCGTTCGCTTTTAAATCTATGGACATGAAGTCATCGAGCGACCGGCTCGACGCTAAAATTGAAAATTCGTGAAAGGGCGAGAGTGTGGGGTTTCGCGCTAACAATTCTGTCCACCGGCGGCGCTAATATTTTACTTTATGTTTTCTCTTTTAAATTATATAAATACGATTCAATGCAATTGCAGCTTTCATACGGCATGCCTTATGGTAGATAGGTTGAGGAATTTTCATTCAACTATTAGATATGTAAAAATTCAGGTCACTGCCTTGTATAATTAGAAATGAAGTGGCAAGGTTGAGGATCCGTTTAAAAATACTCTTCAAACTCTGCCAGATAATTATAACAACGAACGTTTTAACAATGCTATGGCGGGAAGACAACATTTAAAGAATCTCGTTCAGAAGACCGCACGGGTTCATGAGTGATTTGCTGGTAGAATCTTTGGCTATTAAAAATACGTTTATTGAAACCTATATTGGTGACTAATCCTCGTTACTCAAGTAGATACATACCTGGGGTTCACAATTGACGTCAAACCCGTGCGTCACAGACGAGAGCACGCATAGAAACTGTGAACATCTCTTAAAATTGGACACATTCATTATCTTGTGGATTTTGAAAATATCCTATAAACATTACGGGCGCCTGATCAAAATTTTTCTTGCTAATATTAATCTTAATTACGTCGACGTTGGCTAAGCTAAAATTACTTGAACTCATTGCTCATAGGTTTGGACAAACACCTCAAATAGCTATAATTGACAAGTAAACACTTGCAACTACCGATTTGTAAAATTACTGATTCCAAGCCGAATTTTATATTAATAAAAAAAAGGAAAAAATACACGTTCTTTTATTTTTTTAAAATACGTAATTAGATTTTTCACTTTCTTCGTATTTAAGTAGAAGACGGCACGAACGTGAGGGAAAGTTAGGTAATTTTATAAGATATTCTATTTATAGTGTAAACAGCTTAAATAGAAAGAAAAATATTAAAATTTATTCCTACTCCGACGTTGCAATAAGCACGTAATACGTTTACGTCATATAGTTAACTTTTAAAGAAAATAATCAATGCGGAGCGTTGTTACGTAAAAATTTGGTAGGGCTATCGTGAGTTTGGGTCGTAATTCCGTTTTTAAAACAAAATTAGGTCGCCACATCTATTAGAAGCTATAGGTAAATATATTTTGTTGTAATTACGAAAGGGGTTGAGATAGCTGTTATCGGGGTTATTCAACGACAAGCTGAGATATGTTTCAGTTTTATGTAGTAAGGCGTATAAACTGTGTACTGAGCCCAACACGTTTGGGGTTATCAGCCCTAGAGCTGCCCCAAAAAAGACGAATGTTTTATTTTCAGAAAAATTGTGTCGATACCCCGAATACTTCCCAAAAGCATGCGATAAATTAAAATATGACTAAATGAATCCTTCATCAAATCAAAATCAAAAAATGAAGATAATTACGAATTATCATCTAATGCAAAAGACACCAGTATTGAATTAATAAAATACTCTCCTACAATAGGTACAAATCAATTAAGTAGGTACACACAAATTAAACTGTGTTAAGAGTTAGCGTATTGTGAACGAAAGTCAACAATATGAAAAAAGTAGCACACGTAAAGTGCAGAATAATTACAAACTAAGAATAGAAAACCATTAATTTGATGTCTTTTGTTCAAAATGGGAATAGGTTACTATTCATTACTGAATTAGTCAATTATTAGCGCGTGAAAGAAAAAAATCGCTCGTACAAGTAACAGTCAGAATGAGAAGCACATCTTGACTATGACCCGAGTTCGATTCCCGATCAGAGGATCAGATCCCAAAAAGCCGTATCCGACCAACAGAGTGTCATTTCAAAATCCGAGGTCCAGCACTGCTATGACGAGTGGAAGAATCCTCTAAAACGCTGTGTGGCTTCCCAAGGATACTACATATTTTCACACAGAGAGTAATTATATTTAAATAATAAATATTTAGAGCATCAGTCCCATTACTTAATTTACACACCTCGTATATAGTCAATTTAATTACATATTACTAAATTATACCTACTGGTCCACTGTATTTTAACTAACAGGTCAAAATTAAGGCCATAAATTCATTTTATCCTTCATGGTACTCTAATGAAAGGTCTCAACGAAAGAAATTCATTTCTACCAACCATAGGCCACCTCTTTGATCCCTTATCGTGATCGGTTATAATTCCTGATATCTCCAGAGCGGAGGCGATTGAAACTTCTAGACGAAATATATCCACCGGTGAAGTCAAAACTTAAAGAGCGAATATCTTGAAGAAAACAGTGTGTCGAAGAGAGTACTCACAATAATGAATAAAGATAAAACAAATCGTCTGCACAAGACATATCTATTGCTGAGGTCGAAACGTATATCTCGAAGACGAAGTGGCGGAAGAGAGTACTCATAAAAGGTAAGAGGAACGTCCAAACGAGACATATCCACTGGCGGTATGAAAACTTAATTGTGCATATCCCGAAAATTGAGTGTCTGGGAAGGTGCCTATGAAGGAAAAATACCAATATTGTGTAGAATTTCTGTAAGGGGTTGATTTCCTCCAAGAGGCTCTTACAGGTGTATGTGTAAGGAGCCACCCTCTCTCCCCTTTTATCATCTACCAAAAAGGTAAACATCGACAAATATAGCATATGCTACTACCTTATAACGCAATTATTTACTAATCTATTTCGGTTTAAAAAATGCGCTTATATGCACAATATAAACTTGTTATTGCTTTTGTCCATTTCTAGAACATACTGGCAAAGCAAAATAGATATGATATTCTGCGAGGCAATATTGCCGACATAGACAAGTGTCAAAAATGAAATATCCTACCTGAGCTCATAAAGTACGGTATCCTAAACCTCCCCGATAGAACTCTATCACGTAAAGCCTGAAGAGAACATCCATCGAATGGTAACGCTCCGCAAACAAGGACGTACAACACAACCCCCAAGCTCTGTAAGAGAAGTTTAATTTAGCCTTCGAGGTCGCTTTAAAATAGAACCATGCATGTGCAACTTACCCAAATGTCAATTTCGGGACCAGTATACTTTTTCCCCTCGAACACTTCTGGAGCGGCGTATGGAGGCGATCCGCACCACGTGGATAATTGGCCACTGGTCGTGAAATAATTGGAGAAACCGAAGTCGGCAATTTTTATATTATTGTTAGAGTCCAACAAAAGATTTTCAGCCTAAAGCAAAAAAAAGAGAAGCGGTCATTAAAAGCCAATAAGAATCTCGCTATAAACGAAACGAACTTGAAATTGCATCGCTCGCGAAATCATAAATCCCGACGAGATAATAAATTTAATAATCCCGGCATAATTAGATTTATTAATTTTGTATTATCCCAGAATATGTTTTATTATTTCATTATTTACAAAATGAAAAACAAATCCCATTTTAATGGAAAATGATACAATTATAATTGAAAATCTGATTATGCAGGAAATGGCAATTTATTACAAAAAGCTGTTGGTAAGTACCTAGGCTATTGCGTTGAAATTGATTCCTATTAATCGCGCATAAAAAAGATAATTTATCTACATTTGTTTTGTGTGCATAAAGTACAAGATTGGTACATTTAATATTCTGATTAGATTATCTTTGGAAAAATTACGCCAATCACTATCAGAGTCCGAACCGTAATATTTGCACTTTTTTGTTACAAAAAAAATACGTAGTAGATTATTTGTTATCTTGTATGGTAGAGAGTGAGCATCGTCCAAGTTGTCTCAGCAGAACTTTGGGTGAACGAAATATAACGAATTGTGGCCCTTGGCAATAACGCATGGCATAAAAAACCACCAGAGGGCGGGTTAAGCTTTACATTTTTCCTTATATTTATTTGGTGCAATGAGTGGTTGAATTAAAGGCACAAAGTGAAGATAAGACTAAAGTGTATTATTTAATAAACCTGAAATTATAATTGATAATAATGAAATGGCAAACAAATAAAAGTGATAAAGAATTGAAATGATAAATGACTATGAAATACAATGAAAAATATAGAACTGTAAGGTAAAGTCAAACTGCACACCTAACCTAAAATCCTCGAAAATTGCCATCAGGACGATATACCCAGTATATTTACATATGTGAAACCTACGGACGCATAATACGTTGTTTTCAATAATTTATTCGACATTGGCAAAAAATCTAGAAAAAAATTGGTTTAAAATCGATCGTTCCTACAAGATTGTAGGTACATTATCACAAGGAAACATTTTGCCTAATACAGGGTGGCCCAGATTGAGTAGTGTTACAATATTTCGATATTATTGTCGGTGAGTCGATATATCGGATTGGATTCAAATTAAAGGAACTACAATCAATTATAGTTTTTAAGTTTACTGCAAAAGTTGCATAAAACGCAAGTTATAAAAAAGTTATGGTATTAAAAATTCGTTTGAAAATTTGGCCGATTTTCTACGACCTTTTCGAGAAATTCCATACAATTTTTTTTGAATATGAATGTTTTTCCCGTTTGGATTTTTAAGCATGTATATTTTGCACCTTTAGCGAAATTTAATACTATTTTATGGTGGTCGACATCTTTTCGATCGCATGCATTTTTCCGAAGTTGTAACCCAAAAAGTGCCACTTTTCGAAAAAAAAAACACTTCAGTCCACTCTCTGCCATATACGTATGCATTATAAAAAAGTAAAATCTGCTACCTCATTATTTGCATCCAAAACTAAAAGTGCCTTTTCAGGACACCCTTCCAGAACTATATCAAAATTACGGTAATTTCGCCCCCCCTTCCAGAAACTTTTGAAAAATAAAAAAATAATATTAATAGGCGGTACTATTTATTTGCGTTTGTAATACTGATGATTTTGAAATCGGAATAGCTTCTAAACAAACAGTCAGTGTTAATATTCAAATGTATTCTAGTTTGACATTGAAGCAAAATTATTATGCGACAAATTCCGTTACAACAAGACAATAAAACCGGTATTCTGAATTTGTAAATTTTTGAAATGACGTAGTCTTGTAGACCGGTTGCGATTTACGATTGCAAATACAAGCGTAACGGCAAGATTGCAAGAGCAAAAAATGAGGGTCGTTTTGATTAAAAAAATCATTTACAATTTATTGGTAAAAGACCAGCGTAATTTAGCTTCAATGCCCAAGTCAATGACATATTGATTTTACGAAGGGTATTTGCAATTCATGTACCTGACTTACAGTTACAGGTAGTAAAGATATCCATAAAAATTAGTCGTACAATGAAATTTAAAACCCAAAACCGGACAATAGAAAAGTGCTCAATTACAGCTTAAGTTCAACAAACGCCAATGTCCGACCATTGTGTTGCGCTTAGCAAGGCGTTATAAATTTTAAAACCAATTCTATCCGCCTGGGGCATACATACAGACGAATACATTGGTCTTTGCTTCCTTTTATTTTGTTAATAAACATTTTAACGCCCCCTCACAGAATTTACACAAAGAGGGAGGATGTGTAAAATATTATGCAAGATTTCATTTCGGAGGCGGAAGTTAAACTCCGAGTACTCCTACATACAAGCAATGACGTCATTAGGTATAGATCGATTGCGTCCCGACGGCGGCGTCATTTTAAGGGTTGGGGGCGAGCGAGTTTAAGGAATGTATGTGGAGAGGTGGTTTGACTAGAATATTGATACTATGGAGTTGTGGAAAGACCTTACCTTTAAATCTCGATGTACTATATTACGATTGTGGCAATATTCTACCGCCGAAAGTATTTGCCAAAAGGTTTTCCTTGCCGTTTCTTCAGTCATACGTCCATATCGTGCAATATAATCTGGAAAAAAATAAAAGGTAAAATGTGCAGTCTGCATATACAGGAAAAACGAATAAATATGCTGCGAGGTCACGTTCAGGTTTATTACACCCATATTTAATATGCACGCGTGCAATACAACCTTTATTAATTATTTATTACCATCGAAATGTGACCCTACAGCATTGCCACTACGTAATCCGGATACGGAAGCATTGTCTTAATTTACATAAAGGCATTGAATAATGTAACGGAATTCCTATTTGATACTTTATTAAAATAATTATCACGGCCATTGCAAAATTAATAGGAAATTGGGTGCATTATTCTTGATTTTTAAACGTGTTTATAAACACCGTACTCTGTAGGTAATCATGGATACTTCAATACAAATGCGGTTCACAATGTTCACACGGTACCTGCATTCGAAATTCAAAATTGATTTTAATATTCTATTATGCTAGAATATTCCAGGCTCAAATTTTCAAACTAATTTTGAATTAGAAATTTTTTTTGCCTCATTCAACCAGATTCATTATGTATAGTTTTTTTTTAAATTTACAAAGTGATATTAATTGGAAATGAATTTAGCCAGATTAGAATTGAATAGGAATCCCGATAGACAACGAGCGCCATAAAAGATGATCATCAGCGTTAAGATTTCGGGAAGTACTGATCAATTTGAACCGCCTTGTACAAAAAATCATCTGAAATTTCTCAATAGATAAAAAACACAAGAAATGGGGGGATATGTGAGAGTCTTTGCTTAGACAAGCGTGTGACCTTTCGATTTTGTAAAAATGTTAAAAAATGCTCAATAGAATGTGAAAATCCTTCCTTTATTAAGTGTGAGTCCATCTAAACGAATTGAGGGAGTCAAATTGGTCACTCACTCACTCAATCACAATTTCCTCCCCTATTCATTCGACGCTGGCCGTCATGGTAGCGAGGATCTTCATGGTTGTAGAGCTCATGCCATTTCTTTACCAATGACATTACTTAGTAAGTAAGAACTAGTGCAAAAAATATGCGAAATAATTTTTTTCTGGAAGTGGTTTTTAATCACCAATCACAAAACTTTCAGGTTGCGGACCTAGAGAACGTAACGGGCGATCAAAAATGAGTTGCTGTCGAGTCGCCTTTGGAAGTTCAAGTTAAGTACGATTTCCAATGTAAACAAAAATTCCAAAGATGACTCGACAGCAACTCATTTTTGATCGCATTGTATTTAAAAAAATGCAGTTCCTGATTTAGGGACGATTACGGCCCTCTTTGAATGGTTTCAAAACCCAAAACCGCAAAGTTCTATTAACGGCGTCGTTTCGAAAGCGGAGTTAAAAACAGACTTGCAGATGGACGAAGTATTTTTTTTAAATAGAAATATTTTGCAAAAGCATTTACCCCTTCATAAATAGAAGATTATGAAAATACAGTTGCGGTTGGAGTTATTTTTCGTGTCAAGAAGATTTCGCAATTGTACGTTGAGCAATATCCTTTTCAATACAAAACAGAGACCCAGTTACTATTTTGCAAAAAAAACTTATCTGTTGAAGAACGTAAGTACTACATGTCTTGTAACAGTACAAAACCACAACACGTCAAAGGCCGATGACTCTGATAATGTATTTGTAAACTATTAACTTGCAGACATAATGACGACAAATACGTAAAATTGTTAATAAGATAAATATTCAGCAGGCTATTTATTGAATTGAAAATTAATAAGGGGTGAAACGTCACTTCCGCTACATGTTTATCACATCACGATATGGTTTGATTGAGATAAATATGCTTGTTGTTTCAAGGTTTTGCTGGCGCCTTAAACTATTTTCATCAAATGCATTTTGTAAATGGCACATACATTCCTAATCAATTTGCGCGACATAATTAATTCAGCTGAACCTTATCGATCACGCATTGTAAGGGATAGTAAAAAAGCTCGAGAATACGTCGATTAAGAGCAGAGTGCAGCTCTCTGTGCGGTTGTAGTAGGAAGTGGATTTCATCCCCTAAATTCCCCAAAGCCGAATGACGTCAGAGCTCAAGGTTAGCATCGTGCGTGGGTGCTGATTTTCAAGTGGGAAGACAAACACATTTTACGGCATTTCATCAATAAATGCTTACCAAATATTTCCCCTTGGCTGGCGTACTCCGACACTAAATAGATCATGTTCTTCGTTTCCATAACCTGCGAAAAAAGACATAATTAAAACACTTCGTAAAATAAGTTTCGCGTTCGTCATGTAGTCATGGCATTGAACCTATTCCCAAAATTATTGATTTCAATTTGAGCGTTTCAAAGATATGCCTTTCAAGGAGATTAGATAGTAGGGTAGGTAACTAGTATATGCGTATGTAGTTTATGGCTTTGGTGTAGCGTTTTTCGTTTCGAATTCGTAAAGCAATAACGATTTTCATAAACGAAAGATATGTATATGCAAGGGCGGAAAATGCGTGTAGACTAACCAATTTATGAAAAATGCCTACCCGCATTTTTATAATTTTATTTTTAGGTTTTTATACAAATTCGAGATTCCGATGAGAAAAAATAGCGAACCAAATTAACAATCGACTACTAAGCTTCTAAATATTTGCAGGGTCTCTTCTGAAGTTTCGCGAATACACTGATCTCCAAATCAGATGAAGTGGGTACGCATTTGTCGTATATTGTCTATTATGTCAACATTTTAATTAAAATTCATTGTGGCAGATTAAAAGTCGACCCAGATTAGATTATATTGTAATTATTTTACTTAACACAAGTAGCTTTTTAGCCGGAATTTAATGCTACGGTATTTAAATAATAGACAACAATACACAAAATAATTATTTAAAAAATCACACTTGCAATAAAGACTAACCTTGCAATCTTTTACGTGCATGAAATGTATGGAATTCCTACTGACGCGGAGTTTTAATTAATAGCCCTCGCAGCCTGGTTCAAGTGGAGAATTATTTTTCCTATTTCGCGTACCAACTTACGAAAAGCCATCCTTTCAGTCGAGGTCTTTCAATAGAGCACCATCAACCTATGACCTTTTTAAATTACCCCTCCGAATATTGTGGAAGGGCTTCTAGAGATATTCACTTTTGAAACCTTGAAAATCGATGGATACGAATATATGAGTTCTGCTTGGATTAATTAAAACATAATGCCAAAATTTCAGAAGAAATGCCTCTCAAAGAAGATCGTTAGCTTTTCGGATACGCGCTCTTATCTGGCAGGAAATTCCTACAATTGGGCACTGAGCAGACACCTCGAATCAAATACCGTTAGCTCAACGGCTCTATGATATTACGTTGCCTACAAATGTCGACCAATTTACGAGTGAACGATGAACCAATTGCTATTGAAACTATGACGTGCCTTTTGTAGATCAAAAATGTGCAAAAATCAATGTATCGGGTGTTTTTTTAAGCATGATAGAACTTTCCATCGCGATGGCTGTGAAATCAGGTGTCAGTTTGCTCATTATTAGTGACATTTAAATTTAGTATACTGTGGCAAATCATCATGAATAGACTCACTCTTGAACAACGCTATCAAATTATTCAAATTTACTTTGAAAATCAGTCAGCGATTCGCAAAACGTATAGACGCCTTCCTGAATTTTAAGGCATACATAATCGCCCATCTGAACTAGATCTTGGGCTACATCCATATAAGATACAGTTGGTGCAGGAATTAAAGCCACAAGACCATCGATTGCGGCGTTCTGGGCTTTAGAGCAGTTGCAAGTTGATTTCAAGAAATGGACCTGTCAAGTGGCCACTCAGGTTCTGCGATTTGACGCCTCTTGATTATTTCCTATGTGGTTACGTAAAGTCATTGGTTTTTGCTAATAATCCAGCAACCCTGCACGCCTTGGAAGCCAACACTGTTCGTATGATTAATAACATAATGCCACCAATGCTCGAAAAAGTGATCTGAAATTGAACTGACAGAATTCGCTTCGTCAGAGACAGCCGCGGTGGTCATATGCCTCAAAAAATTTTTAACATTAATGTCATATTTTGATCTTTCCAATAAACATAGATTTTTTAACAAAAGCTGTTTTTTGTATTATTTATTGAAGTTTAAAATTCTATCGGGCTTAAAAAAACACCCTTTAGCTACGTTTGTTTCTCAAATACAGGGAGAAAACGAAAAGTTTGACTTTGAAAACCAATTTTTTTACTGTTTCTAAATAGTAGACCGTGGATTCATGGAGATTTTGTTTTGTTTATTGTATCCACCGATACGAATTAATAAAAAATGACTGGCGGTAGAAACATATCCTTTCTAAATTAAAAAAAATAATAGCATGATATCAGGAAGAAGAATTTAAAAAATTGACGTTAAAATACACAGGGTGTATGCATTTAAAAAATACCAACTTTGGGTCAAATCTCAGAAACGGCGGTCCAAATTTTGTTTACTTCGCCACTGGATTCTACGTAAAAATATCTAAAATAGACATTTTTAAAGGAACACCCTATATATTATTCGATATTTCAATTCTTCTCTCAATTTATAAGTATAATGTACCTAAATTCAATCGTTTTGAAAATTAAGGATATTGTTCTAAAATTTATTGAATGATTGAATGAAGAACAATTATTAATGAATGATTCTTGTGTGTTCTTTGTTATTAGATCGCTAGAAGTAAAAAAAAACCCAGTAGAAACATCAGTAGAAAAGTAGGTACTAGTAAGATCGAGATCGCCCTTTCAGTGATGTGCTGTGAGAAAAAATCACTGTGCTGTACTTTAGAATGCACCTTAAAATAACAAGGTCAGAATGCAAATTGTTTGAGTAGTTTAATAAACCTGCAACAAAAGTACCACGGTGCTAATCCATAATTAACTTTTATGAATAATAAATCCTCTTTGAATTTTTAGTTTTGTATTTAATTTTTCCACTTTTAGACTTTGTCAGTTTTCCATATCTTTCTGATCTTTGTGCGAGTACTCAATTGAGTAAACTTTTGCTTCTTTTTTTGAACTCTCTCAATTAGTATTGTTTCCGCATTTCATTCTGATCATTAAAAATTCAACATTTTTGCGACTTTTGAAATGTTTTGGAGTTTTCGGACTTTTTTTAATTTTTCGATTTTCCTGAATGTGAGTATTTGTGGATACCTCATTTTATATTTGTTTCTCGATTTGTGTCAAGTTTTACTTTCTTAGAATTTTAAGACAGTCTGCAAAATCGGAAACCGCATGCCCGAAAAACTATTCAAAGACGAGCCACCAGTCTTTCTATCTCTTATGGTTACTGAGAAAAGAATTAAAGAAGAAATTGAAATTTAAATTTCACCACTTTTTTGGAGGTGGCTCCCAAACGAAACACGTTGGACTCTCGGTTTATTTGGGAAAAATGCTTGTTTTGATCCCCTCTATCGCCCAATTTTTACATACTTTTTTACATATGTAACAACACCCTGTATAGTCCTGCTTTGTATTTGTGTGAAGAAGTTTTCGAAAACTGAACTGGACGGCGAGATATCGGAAAATTCCCGCGAGGTAGGTCCAAAAGGTTCAAAGAGACGCTTACAGATCCTTTAACACTTTATAAACACGAAGGGCCTAGTAAAGACTCGAAAGCATTAATAATGGTCTCAGAAACTCTTTGGGACTGAAAACGTCTTACGGGTCTTAAAGGAGCATTACGTTTCGGCTTTGGAACACTGTCAATCTTGAAGTCTTATATCTATGAACCGACGACCGCTCTTCTTTCTGGCCGGCTCCTTATCAAAAGAGGGAGTTGGGGGGGGGGCTGCTTTTTCCCTTCATGGTACTCTAATGAAACGTCTCAGCGAAGGGAATTAATTTCTAGTAACCATAGGACTCCTTCTCCACCGCTTCTCGTGATCGGTCCGTGTGGCGCAGTTCAGTTGAAGCTGGACTACGGTACTAAGGGTCCCTGGTTCGCATCCGGGTTCGGGCACAGATATTTGTAAATGTATAGTGAATTGGGTTGGTAGAGGAGCCCCACCCACTCAAAAGTACGTCAAATATAAATAATAAATAAATAATTTTTTCTATCTCGACAACAGACTGTCCGAGGAAGGTACTCACATGGGCGTTTGGAACGTCTGGAAGAAATATATTGATTGGTGATGTGAAAACTGTACGAGCGAATATCTCTAAAACAGTTTGTCGGAGGAAAGTACTCACAAATGCAGAATGAATGGTCTGGACGAGACATATTTAATGGTGAAGTCTAAGCGAATATCTTGAAAACGAAGTGTGAGGAGAGGGTACTCATAAAGGGCAAGTGGAACGTTGGGACGAGACATATCTACTGGCGATGTCAATACTTTCAGCGCAAATATTTGCAGAACGGAACGAGGAGGGTACTCTCAAAGGGCGATGTAAAAACTAGATAGATGGAACCATTTACTAAGCTATTCCGATTTTTAAAAATGCGCTTTATCTGCAGTGCGAAAATTTATACTTCTTTTAATTAGAGTAATATGCAAAAATTGCAAGATTTGATTACCTCTTCGCTAAGACTATAATAAGGGTGTTAGAGGTAATAAAAAAAATCTCCCCTTTACCGCAGGTGGTCTGTGCTGGGGGTACTCCATATCTCCCAGACCCCCCCCCCCCCGGTAATACGTTCTTTTCCAAAAACCTTATACAAAAAAATGAAAAAAATCTAGAAATTATATTATCTGTATTCTCTGAATCTGCAGCACCTGTAGAATCTGTGGAACCTTTTATCTTCTTTCGACGTTTTGTGTTTAGGATTTTTACATCTTTTCTCTTTTTCCCTTTCTCATTCAGGCAAACCTATACGCTACAGTGTTCTATTTGCAACATTTACGGCTTACAAGTATAGTAATTAATAAAAAATTGATAACTTACTACGAGTTATGAGTTGTGTAATAGAGGTCGCGACAAAGAGATAAAGGTGCAGTTATCGTTAGGAACAAAAATTGCGATGATAGATAGGTACATACGTAAGTAGCTACTTTAAACATTTTTATTGTGTAACACATACATATACATATATTGTTTTTTCTAAATTTGTCGCGGTGATTTGATACGGCTGACGTAAATCGTATCGACTTTTATCATGCAACCTTGCTACTATCAATATACAAACACAATTAAGCAGAAAAAGTAAACAGAACGGCGACCTTTACGTTACAATGTATTATTTTCATATTTTTTTGGGTTACGGCGTTTGACTCAGACCGAGACTCGGTCAACGCGTGCGTCCGTGTGTCGGTATGACACTTTGTTGCTCAAATTTAGTTGGTTATGATAGATTCTTCTTCTATTTCTGTATGGCACATAGACTGTAATGGATGCAACGCATGAAAAATTCGGTGCACATTGCGAAAACTTTTTTGAATTGATATATAAAATGCGATAAAGGTGTGTTGATATGCTTAGATTTAATCCTGGATTTAATACACCTAATACACAATATTTGATACAATTAGTCTCCTAAATGTAACTGGTTCCACCTCCTTATATTCACAAAAAAGGACCAAATTTGAAAACCATTTCCAAAAAAATGAAGCATCAATGCATAAATTTTATTGGCTTATTTAAACGTTGATAATGTAGGGATTCGATATAAATTATAATAATTGAATAATTAGTGTCCAAATACCGCGTAAATTGGTATCCATTGCCTGAAAAAGTAAGAGTGCATATGTATGTACCTATAATTCAACATCAATTATAATATAATACATGATTCAATTACTGTGGAAATACCCCTAAATAGGATTTTCATATCCGTAGACTAACTTCAGAGAGTGAAGAATGAAGTGTGCGAAATCACACTTCACTCGTATATCCAGAATACCTCTACCGAAATTTTAAAACAATAACCTTCGTGGCCTATGTATTCAGATTTTAGAGGACCAAATTAAAACGATACCACGCGCTTTACGTCATTCCAATGCAGGAACGTATGTGTAACGCCGGCACAGTATGGGAGCAAACATGAATAAATAAACTGGAATGGCATTCGGGAAAATTGTTTTCCTCGGAATGCAAATTTCATCGGTTATGCCCTACCGTTTAAATCTATAACAATATATCGACAGGCTTTATTGAATTCTTATGCAAAACGATGTTTAAGGATATGCGAATGCGTTTCCAAAATCGGAAAACTGAAAATTATTCGGACGATAATTTCCAAAATAAACTTGAAGGAAATTTAACGAAATATTGGAAAATCTGCAAGAAGCGCGGAAATATTTAATAACGAGGTTACAGAGTAATGGTACAGGCGACGCTTGACGTCACAGGCGTCGTACAGCGTCAGGGACAGTCAAGTTGAAGGTAATGTTAACGAACTTAACGATTGTACGTGCTCTCACGCTATACGCAAGCTGATTATAATAAAACTTACCTGATACAGTTTAATGATGTGGGGATGATCCAGACGTTTCATTATATCCACTTCTCTGTAAACCTTTTGCAAATTCCCAGCGTCTAATTGAGTTTTATCAATTATTTTAATGGCGACCTGGGAAAAAAAAATACAATCAATAGTGTTAACCATATACCGAAGCTAAAGGCATCAATCAATACAATGCGAGTAATGAAAAAAGTGGAAAATGTTGTTTACGGGAACGTCGAACATAGCTTTAAGTGACCCCTGTGGTTATTAATAAATTAGACCGCAATTACCTACTAGATCAGGTTTTCCCCTAAAACTATACAAACAATATACGTTTTTACGTAACTTTTTCACGCGTCGTTATTTTCCGCCTGTTATAGGATGTTGATTACAGCAAAAGTTAATTAAGGTTTTCATCTATTGCGTACATTTTAATAATTAAACTTCTCCCTGCTAATTGCTTGTACGAATTTTGACAACAAAGGCCGCTAAAAAACCTAACGGTACGTCAACGCTTACACTGTAAATTACTGATTTTTTATTCCATAAGTAAATTTCAGTCTTTTATTGTCTCACAAATTTGAAAAAAAAACAAACGAAACCTGTACAATGCTGAGAATGGTAAAGAATATATTATTTAGCAGATTTTAAAAACTGTTTGTAGACGTAAGTTTTCAAGGCGTCCACAAAATTTCAATTGCAGAGTTCAAAAAAGTTAAAGGTGCAAATTTTGGAAGGATTTAAAGAAAGTAGAGGATTTTAAAGAAATTTTTAAACAATCCTCAAAAAAACAGATCATATACGCCATGTTATATACTGTGAAATCTAGAAAAGAGAGTGCGAAGTGCCAAAATTTGAGAAATTAAAAGATGATTCAGAAGACATTTAAATAGGATTCAAAGCCACAAGAAATATTACTAGAACACCGGAAAAGGTCTGTTTAGCCTTCGATCCTGCCTAGGAATTTTTTCAGAAATATTTTTAAGAATCTTCTTCGGAACCTTGTAACGGGTGGTCGCTTTAGGCATAGAACGATTTGGTTTACGAAACTAATATGCAATAGAATGGAACACTTTCAGATAAGAAACGAGTGTACAAGTACATAACAGCACGTAATAAAAACACGTGATTTGTGAAAATTGGGTGGGAGACGCCATATTTTTGAAGCGAAACTATGTAATTACACCGCGGCAACTTTAGATCGCGTCACGGAAAGTTTAGAGACGCGTTCTAATGAATAATAATGAATGAGGTCTTTCAGCCCAATCAGAGTTCGTAAACATTCACTTTCATTTTTGTATATTATTATTGTTTAATTCTTCTCTGATGATGATAGCCTTGCTGTTGAAACGCGTTCGAGATTTTAATATATTATTGTAGTTTATATGGTGTTTTTGTTTTACTTTTGTTACGATTTGTTTATTTGTAAATTGTTATTTTTTCAAATCCCACCAATTAAGGCGGATGTGGTCAAAACACAAGTATGTATTCATTAAAAATGCGTGATGTTTGGCAGTTTTCTGAACGAAATTGGCACGATTTTGACATCTTTTAGCCAAAAGAATACTATAAATTTAGTCCTTGGGCATTGAACTGATGCGTTCGGCTCGACGTGTTCTAAACGTAATTAATGGTTGCATCCATAACGATTTTGACATTTATAGTTGAGGTGCTACGAATTTTAAAATGCAAAATGGCAGAAGTAGATACTTTTTTCACCCTCTGACAGGTCTTAATGTGGGGTACTTGGAAGGATTTAACTAATGATATAGTTGCATAAAGTTTCCACTTTGCCGTATTAAAGTCATAGATTTGACACGCGTTTAAAATCGGTTTATTTAAAAATTAAACACTAAGTAAATTTACATTCGTAAATAAGTTAATTCTTTTAAACAAAAAACAAGTACCACGTTAATCAAATACATTATTATCCGAGTTATTATCATATCTAGCCATTTGTTGTCGTGTGGAAAATCTCTATGAGTGGATAAACAATTTCAAGTAACGCAAGAAATATTCGCTTATTAATTTGAATTTGTAATGCATTTGGTTTTCGATCAACATGATAAAAAATACAAACAATATAATTCAGATCTATTGACACTGTAAAATCATAAACTTAGGTAGTTGGATGTCAAATACAATTCGTATTGATAAAACGCAACGCAGTCCATAAAATTTCCAGAACGAGATTATGGTAGGTACTATAGGTAGGTACTCTAATCTCAGGTCTCGAAGAAAAGGAATTGATAAAGGAATTGATAAAGCAACGTTAAAGGCACTCCGCTTCGCGTCGTGCCCTTAAACTCGTTGCGCGTGCTTTACTCGTACTTGACTATACACTTGTATCTTAATATACTATTTAATAATACATATATGTACTTTCATTTGTTTTATTTTACCAGTAAAAATGAACTAACTTTCTGGATATACCTCACAACTTCCATTCCTATTTGTCGATATTTTATAAAATAAGTGGATCTTGCAAAAACGAATTGAGATAAGTCAAAACGGCCAAGCGCAATCAAAGGGGGAGGGTCATGATGATGTTCATGGTACTCAGAGTCAGAAGAAAGTGGCGTAACTCGTAAGTTCTGGAAGCGATCAACCACTTCGAGATCCATCCACACCTAGATCCGCACAGATCAAGTGACAGTTGAAAAATCTTTTGTTTTAGAGATCATAATTTTACGGAAAGTTGCGATGTGGAGATTGATTGAAAGATTCCGTTTTCGGCAATCAAACCTTAGGCATTCGTTTAGCGTCTGTTTTTAGTGACACCGTTTCACGTTACCATTTCGACGAAGCCTTCTGCCTCGTACACCGGATCTTTTGAACATTATAATTTTTGAAATTTGAATATCTTGTTAAGCCTAACCTCTTTGTGATAACTAGTTCTTTGTAAGTATTTTGTTTTATTGCTTGATTTTACTCTACGATTTCAGCTACCTGATGATGACATGGTTATGTCGAAACATGTAGTATAAATGTTAAATTTTGATAATATTAAAGAATATATAGGGAAGGTATAAATATTTTCTCATAACGATTACCATTCACCCCCATTTTGTGCACTTCAATTCCAACGTTATGGACGACACTCATTTGAATGATTCCATTTCGGCAATCGAACCTTAGGCATTCGTTAAGCATTTTCTCATATTTGAAAAACTTTTGGTAATGGTCCAAGTTTCATTTTGCTGCATAAAATTCATAGATTTGACGCACGTTTCAAGTCTATTTACCTACTTAAAAATTAAACGCTAAATTTACTCTCGTAAATACCTTCATTCTTTTAAACAAAAAACAAGTCAACTACCACGCTAATCAAACAGATTATCACATCTGTTGCCATTTGCAATCGCGTGGACAATCTTTTTTTAAGTTAACAAACAATTTCGTGTGACGCAAAATATAACGATATTAAATTATTACACTAAATTTTGAATGCGTTTTTGGTTTTCAATCCGATTCGAAAAGCAAAACATCAATACAATTCCTATAATGAGATTGAGATGTGCATATTTATAACATGCGGTTAAATTATAGCAACATTTTCTGTCATCTTGCAATCGGGGAAAAAAATCTTGGTTGCGATCCAAAATCTTTTGCTGAATTCATAGACTGACGCACGTTTCATATACTGTTATCAAAATTATAGTTGTAAATACAGCAATTTTTTTAAACAAAAATCACGTACGCTAAAACGTCGGTTTTTCACGTTTGGTCTTTTTTTAAGTGTGCAAATAATTTCAGATGACGCGCGAAAATTAATTTGAAATTTCCTCTTCGTTCGGCGCGAATAAAAATGAAAAAACGCAGTGGTGCCAATTCGATCGGTCTCCCACCCCAGCCGAAACATTCAGGTTTACGCGGAAGAGAAAGTCGTACGGATACTGCAAACAATGAATGCACGTATTAATATGTTCCAAGGTGATGTTGATAATCTCTCCGGGTATAAATCTCAACATCCTTTTATAGGCGATTGACGTCATTTCTGACGCACGCACGGTGTGGTTCAAAGCCTAACCCTGTCTATCATTTATGTCTATCGCTACAATTAACCTTTTTTTTTATTATTTAATAGATTTCGTCATTCTTCATTCTTTGTGGGGATCAATTAGTTAAGACAGCGTTTATTTCAGCAAGGAGCTTAATGTGTAGTTGAAGTGAACATTCTCTACCTAATCCATTTAGGAAAAGAAGTTTAATTAATGTCTATCTAAATTTTAATCTGTAAAATAGTCTCAAATAGATTGAACACACACGCTAAATAAACGATTAGCTCGATACAGTTTTGATAAAGAATCCTGTATTTGAAGATTAGGTACACTTTCAATTTTGCACACACTGGGCCTTTAAGACATTTGCGAATAATTTCAACAGGCTGAGGCCTGAGTAGCAAAAAATGACAAATGAAATGGGGGTGAGAACTGAAAATTTTCTCTTCAGCATAACATTTAATAAATTTCAATATTATGAATTAAACTTACCTCCGTCCTAGTAATACGATGCCTTGCTAACTTTACAACAGCAAAATTTCCTTTTCCTATAGTCCTTTCAATATCATAGAATCCTACCCTTATAGGATTCTTCATAATTCGCTCCCTTTCGCCCATAGTTGATGTTGCGGCTTGAGGTAATTGTTTATTGAGAGAAAAGTCACAGGTCACTTCACACAAATTTATAATTTAACGTAATTTATTGCTAAATTCGATGTATTGTCATTTTGTGCGAGAGACGTCTTGAGGACGTCGCCTGCCGAAGCGACGCCCGAGTTCGAGTCCTAAAGGCGACTGCCGCCAGCCAGCTGTTCGCGAAGCTTGCACTAAACTACGAAACGACGAATAAACTCTCGGTATGACGTACGGATTACCGTCATTAACCGGCTAGAATGTCCTTTATGATTAAACTTAAGCATGATTTTAAAACTGTTCTTCAAATAAAACGGCCAGTACGTATTTTTTTAACTTAAAAAGCGCTCGTACCTATAGCGACTAAACCTCTGCAAATGAAGAGAATCACAAAAGACTTGACTCATTAAGGTAATTCTACGTCCCTTTAAATGAAATAATCTTCATTTAGTGGGGTAATTACCCGGTATGTTTTTGCATGACGCTTTATTAACGCAAATCGAAAAAGGTATTTAATTTAATGAATATAAACAGGAAGTTTGACTAATTTGAAGATGATTAGAATGTGTAAAGTTCAAAAACATTGTCTGCGTGGGAAGATTTTAGATGGGCTTTTGTTAGAGGTTGGTAGGTGATAGATTTTTTATTATTGGAAAAAAAGGCAATATCCTATAAAATATAGGCAACCCATCAAACCTTAACGTTGTTTTAGAAACGCGTCGGTTCCTTTCAAAGAATGTTCCTTTGAAGTGGTTGTGGGCCATGACCATAAGCTAATAACAGACATAAATGGTTCTGTGTTTAGGGGCTTTGGTAGCCTCAAGTCGACTCTCAAGTGATATCCTAGCGTCCCTGACTAGTTCCATAGAGAGTAGCGGCACTCTCACAACCTCAACTACTAACTGGTCCGTCCCGAAATCCTGTAACAAAGTGAAACAGAACAGGAGCTTGAAACAAAGTTGAAGGCGGCCTATGAGGAAAGTGTGAGAAACTTTGGGGGAAGTATAAAACAATTTAAGAAATACTTGGGAAAGTGGAAGCAATCATGAGGGGAAACGAAGACTTTGAATTTTAGGGACACCGAACACTTGATAAAATTTGAGCAAAAGGGCGTGGAATATTTGAGAACTTGAGAAGAGAATGTCAGTGGAAGTCAACCTTGAGGAGAATATGAAGGGAATATACCTATAAGCATAAATTGAGAATAATTTGAAAGGAATTTGAGGGTCACTTAAGAACAAGCGCGCCGATATAATGTGGCTTTGAGATGCTGGAGATCCCCCTTTCCTCTCCCAAGTGCGATGTTGAGGGGGCTGAGTCTTCCTCAAAATGAAATAGACGTCTGAATTTTAATCGTTTACCTTCAACACCAACATGATAATATTGCATTTTGGAATTAACCGAATTAAACTTATATTGGAATATCGGAATGCGCACCCGTCCGCCAGCCCGATCTGAGAGAGAGGGCCACAAGGGACATATTTGTCCTACTCTAGCTCACGAGTACGCGCATGCATATAGCGGCCGATTGTCATGTCGCAACGTGTTTAGTGACAGTGACAGACATGACCCTCACGCGTCACTGACAATAACAGAAATCCCCCTTGCGCCCTCTCTCACCCGGCGCACCACGTTTCTATGGCAAGACCGCTAATGCTCCGTCCAGTATATGTATAGTTCAGTTGTCCAGATAGATTTTTAATGTGGCAGTTGTTGATGAAGCGTCGAATGAAGGTAAAAACCCTGACCAGCTGTAGCAAATTCCTTGAAATTCTTGAACAAATTTCCGGACAAAGGGAATTGGCCAGGTCAGCGCCCTTTGCTTCGCCAGAATGTTGGACCCATACCAGAATTGACTGCAACGCGTCAGCAGAGTAGTCCCTCGACACGATGTCCGCTGGATTCAGGGTTGGAACGAAATGGCACTGATGAGACTGAACATGCTCATGTATTTTAGCGACACGATTTGCCACAAAAATTTTCCATTGGTAAGGTATGGCTCTTCGCCAACCCACGTCAGAACGATCTTGGAACATGTGAATGCTCTTCTACCCGCGACTTGGACTCGCATAGAACTCCAAAACGTCGTGTTCTGGAGATCACAATATGCCGAGTATCCTCGTGCTAGATGTATAAATCGAACTCAAGTGCGACAAATGTATGTAGACTCTTGGCTACGAAATGGTTCAGGGAAGAGGAAGTTTCCTATTGGATTGATGCCGGAGAGGAAGTCATTTATTTATTTATTATTCCTCTTTTGTTCTGGGCTCTCAACAGGCTTGCGCACAATTACAGAGTGACCCGCATAATGCTTTATCAACGTGAAAGTCACTAGCGATGAAAATCATCACAGGACAGAATCACTGCCTCTTGCACAAGATCGACCCCAGCAATGTGTCGTAACTAATGTGGTAACAGTTTTTTTTACAACCGCTGTGACTGTGACTGTGTTTTCAGTTTTCACGGAGAAAAGTATTACAAACAACACACAGCAAACAATTCAATAACTTCCACAAATTTAAACAAATAATCAAACTTTATAACTTCGGGACCATGTAATCAGAAGATCAACATAACCATAAACTGAGCAAAAATTTACACCAAAAATGAAAAGGATTTCAAAACAATAAATAAGTTAAAGACATTTTCAATACTCGTGATGCATATAATAGTTTCAAAACAAAGATTTAAAATTATTTCTAAAAAAACATGCAATGTTGTATTTAGGACGCAAGTAAATTATAAATAAATGCAAAGATTACTATACCTGCATTACATAACACAACAAACGTAAATTAAATGATACTCTTTGTTCGGCAGCTTCCAACAAGGATCGTATAGTTTGTTGGTTTGTAGTCTTTTTTTGTGATTTTGTGCAGGTAGTGATCTTGACTAACCTAACATTTGAGCAAAAATATCCTTGCAGTTAGGAATTCGTGATCAGTAAACAACTAAACAAATCATAAAACTTTTATGTTCAGTTTGTGGGTAATCTGTGGTTGTGGATATGGGCCTTTAGGTAACAATTGGCAGCTGTGGTCAACGTAGGAACTAGGATGTGGCAACATTGGTATCAAAACCAAAACAAGATAACCTATTTCCTTTTATTACTTGTCAAAAAAAAATAAAAAATACGTATTCAAAATTTTGTGAAGTTTAATAATTAACAAAAATAGAATTAAAACCTAAATCCACAATGTAACCTTACATCAGATCGTCATCTTAATAGTGCCAAGCTGTTACTGTTATGATACACCCAGCTCTTGTAATTCTTCATAGGTAATTTGTACTAAATAAGGTATATGAATGGACCGTTTGGCTCAAGACTTATCGGTGGCTCTTGAAGAGTCGGAATCTTGTGGCCCAGTCAGTTTTGAGGTAGGAAGGAAATGGGGAATGCGACGTCGTACGCGCTCAGCTGGCAATTTAAGTAAGATTACTACCTACATAACGTTCTTCAAAATTACTGTTTTGTGTGTGTTTTATAGATATAAGCTTTAATAAATCTGCCGATAATCAATCTGATGACAGCTCCGATTCAGATGACATATCTTCGCATTTGTCTTTTTCGCGAATTATTAATAACCATTCCCAATCGTTAAGAATGAAACATCAAATTCAACATTTTTTACGTGATAGATACAATAGACTAGGTACTTTTTACTTTACTTTTTCCAAAGTTTCACTGTGTAAAACTCTGCATTTAGGTTTACCTATGAGCCACAGTTTGGAAAGTGATTCGTTCAATGAGAACTCTCCTGCGAGGCCCATGAGAAGGAAGCGTAAGTTGAAACGAATGTGTGTCGATGAAACTCCTGTTCCTCCGTGCGGAAAACGTAAGAGGCCGCAAAGATTGGATATGGTTGAAAGTTGTCGATCGTTAAAGCATGCTCCCAAAATTAAACCTTTGAATCAGGCAATCGTGAGCAAAATTGAGAAGTTTTGTCAGCATTCTATGGAGAATAGTGACGTAAGTTCAGTTAACTTTGTAATAATCGCCATTATAGGCTATAGAATTAGGGGTGTTTGATCTTTAAGGGCAAAATTTTCCTCTTTCAGTAGAGGTATTTTTCAGGTAGGCTTTCAGTTTTTTAAATACCACATTTTGTTCTTTTGGAAACAATCATTTTTGTTTTAATTGATTTTATGGTTTAGAGTGTTTTAAATTGGCCAAAGGATTATTGTAAAATTTTGTGTCAAGAGGGATGACCTGTGTACCACGTAAATTGGCCCACAAATGCGATGTGTGAAAATAATAACAAACACAAAATCATGGAGAAGATGAATTGACTTTAGTTACAGGATGCTTCATTACAGGCCGGTTGCGCATTACATATTTGATTCATGTTTAGTTCTGTTCTGGTGCTTAAAAATGTGATTGGTTAATATGTACATCTACCCAAACATGCCACTATGGAGCCAATCAAATGTGTTAATACTTTAATCAAAATTATCTAATTAACACTCGACCATTTTTTTTGTGCAACTGTACCTAAGGTCGGTTTTATGCACGGCGTTTTGCCATTTGATTGAATAGAACTATGAGCGCGGCGCACATGTGGCGCGACAAATCGCGTTGAATGAAACCAGCCTAAGATTCGCTCAACAATCACAAAACGAATCCTTAAAATGGACAATACCTTGGTCATGTTTTCTGTTTTGTAGTTATTTCACTTTATGTAATTAGTTATGTTGAGTTTCTAAGAACGAGAACGTCCATTGAGCAGAAAAAAACGTCTACAATGCATTATGGTATCTTTCAAATACCTACAACACATTATTTGTGTTCTGGAACTAACAAAACGTGTTCTTCTAAACTGCGCACGCGCAGACATACTTCTTATTTTCGTACCGTTTTTTCTGAAATTTCAACTGAAGGTGCTTTCCAGTGGATAGAAAATGGATTGTGTACTTTCTTAATTGCAGGATGGAGTTTCTCATATCAGCAAATTGTTCGCGCGTGTCAAAAAAAAATATGTCTCATAAGTGTAGATTGATTGGAATATGATGGAAGTGTGTATGATTTTCAGGTCCATATATGTAGATCTTCAAAGAGCTGGAGGTCCCAAGTACATTGTTATCAGGTGGAAAGAATGACCACGTCGAATTCCTGTATAAAGTTTGCAACCGTCTACATACATTTTTTTTAATTGAAAGGGAGTTTTTTTGCTCAGTCTTAAATGCTGACTTTGCGAGTTCAGCGTGTTTATGGCGATCCACCTATCAAATTCCACTTTAACTATTCGCTTTGCAACGAACTGGGGTAGCTCGCGCACTATCGGTGAGCTTTAGAAAATTAAACAAATATTGTCGGAATAATAATTTAAATCAAAATAAATAATAAAGCTCACAAAATCAAGCGTTTACCTTATTATAAAGAAATCCGGCACTTAGGGAAGTGGAATACGGGAAATCCAGCTCTTCGCTCTATTCAGTATGAAAGCCAACCAAATTAATTCTGGTTTTAATTAATTACTCGGCCTGCAGTTATCGGAAAGATATGGGACAATCTGAAACCTTCTGGAAAAATTACAGCGCATCCAGAGACACCTCTCACCACCGTTTTCGATAACGTTCACTGCAACCCATTAAAACTTCAATCATTAACAATGCTTACCCAATTAGGCGCATTCAAACTTCAATACTCATTAATCCAATTAACACCTAGGCGTAATTGGTATTTTCCTGGCACACCCACTGTTGCCGCTGTAACTGATAACGTGGAAACACCTCGATTTGGAACTCCTTTCTTTCCTGGTTTTCACTTATTATTGGAAACTAAAATGCTTAATAATTAATTAACGGCGCTGAAATCTCAAAATATTAATTGTCTCTTCCCGGTTATACCAGTTTTCAGAGGCTGCAAGAACCATTCAATACTTCTATCGGAGTGGTTGGCAAACTGCTAAATTCAACGTGCATTATCGGCGGTAGAACAAACAATTACACAACATGTAAACACAGATAACTACTCTTCGAGCAAATAAGTAAATTCAAAAACTCCTTACTAACGAAGCCCCAAGCTTACAACGCTTCTCGATACCGGGTGCTCAGCAAAGCTGGACGACTTCACAAATATACTCGTACAGTGTGGACATAACTTCAGGGCGCAAAACGGGTGCTTCGTTACAGCTTAATTTGTTTTCTCATATGTACACTGCTTAACGAATATTTTTTTTGAACAGATCTACAGTTATTTTGCGATGGATTTTTTCGTTTGTACGCATAACCTATTTTTTTTACATTTAAGTTCTGCTGGGCCGTCTGCGAAAAATGATCCTAATCATTGAATAAGTAAATTACTTATTCAATGTCCCTATATAAACGCGAAACACTTGTTGATTCAGCGTTCTCTATGGATAATTATCGAGTCTATCGTTATCGCACGATTTACTTGCTACAGTTTGCTGGTAAAACTTAAAATAATTAAAAATTTTTGTAAATTTATGGTAAGAAAACATCCTTAGACTGCGTTGATTGAACCTTTTATTGTTTAAAATATGGAAAAACGATTGTTTCATATGTGCATTTATGAAGTAGTGATCCTGGAGATGCCCAGACATGTGCATACATTGTTGAAAATAATGGGAAATTTCTCTTTACAGTACCACATGGAAACTCAATGTGTAAATGAAAATTGTGATGTGGCAAGCGAAAGCAGTTTAAGCTGGAGCGGAGACGAAGGTCATGAAGGTGATGACGAATTGACCGATTGGGCCCCATCCGTCGAAAGTTCCATCGATCAGACGCCATGGATTGACGCTGATCCGCGTGAGATTCGTGCCGGTTGCAGACGATTGGGCGACGAACGGCCCGGATTTAGTATTAATACCGGCGCCAATGAGAGAGTGGCGCGCTTTTTGCAGGACTCGTCCAAGTCCGAACTGCGTTTGTACGGCGCCGAAAGGGAAAAATTGGGTCAGCTTGCATCGTTGTATTCGCTAGACTTGTGGTTCGAAGGGCCGAGCTCGTTATTGAGAAAGACTGGACGCACTCCTTGTATGCAACCTACGCAAAGGCATCATAATGGTTTAATGGCAGCTCATAAACGTATTCGAACACAAGATCGAATCATATCATAGAAAAGTGTACAAATTCATTTATGTGGGTAGTTTAAAAATGTGAGGGTATTTATCGAATATCTTGTAAGTTTGAATTTATTTTCACAATTTAGTGCTGACGGGATAACAAATTTCCTATTTATGAGTTCAACTGTTGCGTTTTTGAACAGTGTTTCAAGTCACGCTCTAGCAACTGTTTACAGTAATGAAAATCCTCTCTTATTCCAAAATTAATTTCTTAGGGTGGTTTATGAAAACACACAAAGTGTAATAATACTGATGCGGTTTAATTATACAAAGGCGCAGGCGTGGTTGTCAGTATTTATTAGACATACTAAATACCATCAGGTAGGTACTACATTAAGTTTCCGAATCTAACTGCAAAAATTCATAGATTTCAATGTGTTGCAAAGTCCTGGTGTAGGTAGATATCATTAATGGATTAATGCTATTAAGACCTTTCTCTATGATAAGTTAAAGCCGAGCTGACTTTCTTAATTTAATTCAGTTGTGTCAATATATACCTTATCCCGCAAAAATCTGGCATGGTGCTCAAAATTAAACATATTATATTAAATATTTTATTAGTGTCATCTGGTAGATCCCTTGCTCAACAAAATTTGAGCGTGTAAAGTTTAAGAAACTGTGCGTAACAAGATATACACCGTTGCTCAAGAAAAGCAATCTTTAGTGTTGAATATCAGTGTTAGCCATAATCTACTATGCATGTTTCTTTATTACCAACTTTTGTAATATATCAAATATCTAACTGTATATATATTTTTAATTAAATGTTATTTATCTATTAACCACATTAGTAATTATAAATTTCAGCAAGTGACAATACAATCCAAGAACATACTCCACCCTCTGATCTATCTACGCACTTCCTCATCATCGTAAATCAAATTTTAAAAAAAGAAGGAAGTGAAGAGTAATTTCATGTGGCGAATTTCTGATATAAGGGTAGTTTGCCCATTGGTAATTATTGTCGGGCCTCCTTATTGAATCCAATAGACTTGTTGCAGACCATCTTGAAGGGTGGATGGGTTACTGAATCACCTTGCACACAGTCGGCTACATCGCCATTCCTCTTGAACCTGTACCTCCACATGGAAACGTAAACGGGCACTGGCTTATTGCATTCATGCGCAATCTTTACACACGACTCAACTGTGCTACAGTAGTGTAAATTTCATTTCATTAGTTTTTTTTAAACCAAAATGATCTGTTTGGAAACAGTTCACCATTTATTGTTGAAAATATCAGTCTTTATAACTTTCACAAAAAGTAACGCAATATATTAATTGTAGCACCTTATCATAACAATGTATGGCAACAAGTGACCAGTGAATAAGAAATTAAAAGCAAACGTCTTCACGATTACAATCGATGGCAAAGTTGCATTCAGATATCACTTCACTTTCAAATCTTAGCAATACAATCTCTTAAAACTAAACTTATTGACAATCTTTGTTGCATATAGTTATACAAAAATATTAATGAAACTTATTAAATACCGATTAACTAAAATTGCTAGAGGAAGCCAGCAAAATCAAATAATAAAACTACATTAATTAATTAATTGTTTGTGATTCAAAGAATAACATTGTTGTAGTTTTCATCAGGTCTGGAATATCCCAAGTGTCAATGAGCAAATACCAACAAATTACCAGGTAATTCTTCTGATCAATAAGGTCGCTATTAATCTAAAAAGTTCTGATTCTCATTTGCTCATTCTGAACTCGTTTGAAATTGTTTTATGTTTACTGACCTAAGATGGCACTTGCAAATTTGATATCAACAGGGTATGGGTTAGATCTTGGACTTTCAATATTTTCATGAAACTAATTCTTTAGTTACATTTAATCTTTAAAAAAATCGTGTTGAATCATTGAAGTAAATAACAAAGAATTTGGTGCTCTTTTCTGTACACTTTTAGCTTTAGCAAACTTGATTTTTTTAAAGATCAGAATTTTTTCACTTTCCAGTAACTAAAAAAATTAATTTGTTAAAAATATTTCCACAAATGCAAACTTTTTGGTGTAACATTACAAAAATGTTTAAGGATTTTCCGAAAGTTTCTGGGAAAGAAAAGTTCAAATTCAAGGGCTGTTTGTTGTATGAAAGATTTGGAAAAGAAATTCCAACCAGCATTGAATTTCCGAGCACCCAAAATTAACCAAATTTAGGATTTAAGAGGCGCACAGAACTTTTTAGTAGAAATGCGAAGAAATTGTTCTAACAAATTAATAAAAAAAGTAGTTGCTCTTTAAAGATTATTTGCTTTGTACCCACTATCTTTGTGACCATAACTTCGAGATTCTGTCTATGACCCATTACAATTATTTATTTACATTTTGATCCAGTTCCTTACAATACTTTTCAAACCAAGAATGAATATTTCTACACACAAATAATCTGAATGTAATAAAATTGTGACTTAACGCCTTCCGTTTAATTATTGTACACGATAACTGTACAGGATTCACCTCAGCAACAGCACTCAAATCGAACTCAAGAATTGTGTTTGTCACCTTCTGTCCTTTATAAAGATTGCTCATGTATTCACTGACTTGAATCTGTTTTTCTAAAATTCCTAGAGAAGGATCTATATTCATATCCTTCAATATAGATTTTCTCGCGTCCCATAGGTTGAAGTAGCCTGTGCAGTGATATGTTACAGTTTCTATTTTGACTGTGTCGTGAATGTCATTCTGTTCATCCAATCGTCGACATTTGAAATGGTCATCTTCCGTTTTCAGTTGCACATTAAACTTCATAATTTTTGTTAAAAATTCCAAAATGAATGTATTGGCTAGTTCGTGCCATGCAGTTTTCATCTTTTGAGTTTTCTCTGTTAGGTCCTCCTCATTTGAGTCTGTAAGTTGATTTAAGTGAAGGATACAGTTGCTGTCCATTGTAAGACTAAATTGGTACTCGTTAGGAGATGCAAATTTATCTGTTGCAGTTAATTCACATGCGTATGTAAATAATTGATACAAGGCTGAGTTATTGGATTCGTTTTTGCAGATCAAAGCGCCCACCTTGCATAAATTCACGAAATCTTCAACAAATCGGCTATGTAGAGCACCAGAGAGGTTATGGTTGTGTTGAAATGGATCTTGTATACATATTGATGATTCAATTTTAAGTGGAGGCAGTGTTGGAATGTTTGCTTTATACAGTACGAACTTGTCCGAGAGTAGGTCTGGTCTGAGAAAATCCGTTTTTAAAAGTACAACGCCCAGGTAAGGACAAATCACATGTAACGCATAGTCAAAGTTGGCGTAGTATTGAAAAAATCCTTGCAAAATTTGAGCAGACGATAAATTCGCCAGTGATTTACAAGCGAACTTACTTACGGCTGAAAATCCACCATTCCAGCCTTCTTGCATGTTGACTGCCTTTGAAATAGCTTGTACGGTTGCAACGCAAGGTAAATGTTGATGTACTTGTAGATAAAAGAGGAAAAGTATTATTAAACTGTAGTTCGAAAATTTGCCACCTCTTCCCGTCAAATCGTGCACTTTTGCCCAATACTTCAACACAATCATGAGCGAGGATAATTTGGTATCTACAGCCAAGTAATGTTTAATCATATACGTGTTGCACACTCCTAGCATATTTTTGAAGTTGAAATCACAACTGAGTCGTGTCGGATTATGTATGCATTTAACAATCGGAGTGTTTGCCCTGGGTATGGCAAGCACGTGTGAAAACACCCTAGGATAATTCTGCAGCAATTTTTTCGACATATTGACGTAAGCGGAAGCCAGATTTCCATTTGGTACAGATCCGTTAACCATAAAAACCTTCACGTAAATATCCACATCACTTGATGGAAAACTAAGACCACTAACAGTAGAGCCGAACGGATAGGCTATGCAATTTGGAAATATTTCATGCAAGTGCGTTTGGATATCTCTGCACAATTTGTCATATTTGGTTCCCATAATGAACCAATTTGGTTGTAATATGTTCACTAATGCTTTGATTTGGTCATCAAGATTATGTATGCTTTCTAGATATTTATTTATAGATTCAACATTTTCCCATTGTTGTAACTCTGCTGGTGGATCTGAAATAAGTAGCGGTATCAGTAAAGCAAATCACATGTTATATCAGTTTCTGTAATTCTAGTTAAGGAAATGTCCCTCATTTCATAATTAAATTTTATTTGTTGTTGTTGTACAAGACTGTACACATTCTCAAAAGGTTTCTTCAAACTAAATATTTTTTTGTCCTCATAAACAATGGCCCTATGAAATAATTTCCTGACAACGACACTGACTAGCTACAGTCTGGGAATCATATTTTGCATTCCATAAAGGGAGAGATAAAGTAGAGATTTCCTTAGTTTGCGCGCACGTCATCAATTCTGTTTTTGGGGAATATTGTAATGTTAACGTATAAACAAAATTTAAAATCATTTTAAACCACAATAAACATTGGAATTACGTGTTTACGTTAGACTGATCAATGTTCACAAAATATAGGTTCTTGAGACATAAAAACCAAAAACCTTTAGAGTGAAAAGGGTTTTTTTTTCTTTCCAGGCTACTTGTCAATCGAAATTGTGGTGGTTTACGTTTACATTGCGTCACATCAAATTTGACAACTGTTTGCTACCGTTTTAATTATTTTATTGCATTTTGCTACATTAGTCGATAAACAATCCGTTAGTTTCATAATTATAGAAACATAATTTCCGTCTCACTGCGATATTCTGTGCCAAACCAAAAACTCCATCGGGTTTACCAAGAAAAAGTAAGCAACTTATTTCTAATGTTATTTGTTACTTTGAACTAGAAAGAGATAATGGTGGTCCACTTTTACCAGCCGCAGCAGTAAAAGAGGTGAATTGTTACTTTAGTAATATAAAAATTCATATACGTAACAAGTTCCATTTCAGAGTTGCGGATGCATTAAATATTAGCCCGCGAACAGCGACTTCTATTTCACAGGTTTCTAAATCGGGCAAATCTCTAGAAAGTCCTAAAAAACAAGGGAATGTAAGAAATCCGTTAACGATGTTGATTGTTTCGCACAAGTGTGTAGATATTATATGCAGTTTACGTTAATATTTTAGAACATCTTACGCTTCAATCCCCTTTGGATGTTCTAAAAGAGAATGACGTATTTAATGGGTCCCAATGTTCTTTAAGAAACGTGAATATTGGTTCTGACTATCAAAAACAAATCAAAATAATTAATGGAGTTACCCAATATTGCACTATCAAGAGTTCATTTTTTAGATGTGTATGTAATAAATATGTAATCTGAGACTGGACGCCAATGTGTCTTTTTGGATGAAACGTGGATATTTAAAAATGGAACAATATGCAAATCATGACAAGATGACAGTGCAAAAAGAATAAGAAAAATGAAACCCGAGGTACCCATATTGATATTGATGAGAACAATATCATCTTATAACTATTTAAGATATGTGGTTTTACATGCCGGCAACATAAATGGAGTATCCTAGGGAGCATCTCTCAATTTTACTTCAAAAACAAATGATCTAGATTACCATGGGGAAATGAACAAGGACAGTTTTCTTAAGTGGTTCGGGGGCCATTTGCTCCCAAAATTTAGAAGAATCATTGTTGATTATTATGGACAATGCTAATTATCACACTAACTTACGCTAGTACTACGTACTCATATATTTATAGTCCAGCCAATCACTGTTTGGCCATACAACACAGATTTTTATAAATATTTGGAATTAGGTTCTACTTACCCGCTTTCTCGGATAAAAAATGTTTCATTGAAAAGAAGTCCGGGAATGGATAGATTGACTAATTGTAAACTGTTGTTCTATAAAGATTTTGAAGGTGTCAACTTTTAACGACCGCGAGCATTAAACAAAGAAATCAAATTTTGATGAGCTTATTCACAATTAAACACCCAAGTACATTCTAAAAGTCAAATACAACAGTGGTCCCCAACCTTTTTCAGCTGGCAACCCACTTTTCCTTATCAGAATAACGCCACGGCCCACCGGTCCAATAATTTAAGTTTTTATTTGAAAAAGTTAGTGGATATCACAATATAGTATAGCCCAGTCAAATGGTGATTTTTCTAAAACAAAATTGCGGAAGTTTTTTTCTCAACGGTTTTATATGTTTTCGAGGGTGCTAAAGTCTAAATTTATGGTTTGCTGCCATAAAACCGTTGATAAAAAAACTTCCGCAATTTTGTTCCGAAAACGGTAGTTTTAAACACGCATTTACTGGACTAATAGTATAACATTCATTTATTTAACGGTAGATATGTTGGCAAAGTATGCAACAAGCACTTTCATATTCACTAAAAGTCGTTCTTAGGTGCAGATAAAACTACAATTACAAAAGTACACACAAACCATTTTAATCTTTCAGGCACAAAATTTCACAGTTTTGATAGTTAAGAAAATTTTTATCACAATCCATCAGTATGTAAAATTTGACTCTTTGGCGGCGAGTTGTGCGCTCATTATAGATTTTGTAGAAATCTGCAGTGATCAGCGTACGTCATCTATCGTAGTCCTATATACGTTACTGCAAGCTTCGTTAGAAGGTGGCTAGAGGGCGTCTTTTTGTAATCTTCCGAGAAACCGAGTGCTATCTTAGCATCCTTAGTATTATTAATATTAATAGTGCTCATGTGGTAGGGTCTTTGACGATGTAACGCGTTTCCAGATTTTTGTTTAGATTTTTCTGATCTGTTCTGGTGGGTTATTTAATCATTTTAGGATTGAGTCACCATGACCCACCTGTAATGCTTTCGCGACCCGCTGGGAACCGTTGAAATAGGTACAACATCTTCACAGACGTTGTTTACACGACAATATATATAATTCGATTACCTCCCGAAAATTCTTATAAACGTTTTGTTACTGTGTTTTCGCAAAAGACTTTGAGAGTGCCGGATCAAGAATACAACATTGGTCAGGCAATGTAACCATCTGATTTTAAAAATTACTAATTGACAACTTGAAAAAATCAGACAGTTGGTTGCGGCTTTTAGGGGCGAAACTGTTTAGTATATCATCAATAATACCCCTTAATGTAATTACATGCCCATTCAATTTATTGAAAGATGATTTCAATCTAAAAGTCTAAAATAACAAGTAACCTCCGAATGTTTAGGTAAAAGAAATGTAGAACCTAAATCCAAATTTTTAATTTATTTTAATAACATAACATGGATGCTGCCGATGTCCAAATTTTTATGTAAATCAGTGCCGTTTTACAAAATAAGATATCACAGAATTTTACCTTCAATGACTGGATTATTAGCATTTTTTTAGTGAAGTATATGGCACAAAAATGATAGATGGATGAGCAAAGTGCACATTTTAAACGTGCGCCCTTTACTATGAGGACTTTTAGTAAAAAAAAAACCCCCACAATAATACGTATGCCAATTTCTAGAGATGAGACATCTACAGGTCGGATATTACCTTTCTTTTTCTTTATATTCCTTTTCTGGACAACTAAACCTTGTTTTTGGAACTTAATCTCCTTTTGTTGCAAAATTGTTTGAACCGATGTAACTTCTTTAAATTGTATAATGGCAAACATATTGTTATCGGCCATAAACCCATCAACTATCTCACCATATTTGGACAGAAACAATTTAAGTTCGTCCAGTGTAGCAGTCACAGGAAAACCTGAAAATGTTACATATGCATTACTGTGTATAACAAACACAAATTAAAATGCCCTGTATTTTTAAAATTCTCCATTACTTACCTCTAACATATATTCCACATTTTTCTTTTGTTTCTAAAACGGTGGCTTGATGCAATGCTAGCTGATGTTTTTTTCCCATTATGTGTTCGCTTCTTTGATGCTCATTTAAAACAACCACCTTACAAAGTTCACAAACTATCTTATTATGTTCAACTTTTTTGTCTTCTTGCACATCCATATTACTAAATTAATTAATTTATCTACACACAAAGTGATTACACATCTACTAAATGACCATCGCTGGCTCGACACACTTTCATAAAATAGTCTGGTTTTACGTAACCCTGCTCATTACCAGGACTCAAAATTACATTATTTGGTGATATATAAAACTTCAACCCCTGAGACAGTGCTTTTGCTAGATCAACATATATAAAAATTTCCGCTGAGGCACGAATTCCACTAATATTTTTAGCACCAGGCAGATGCTCGGAGAAATGAATATGCATACGTTTTCCACGAAACAACCCCTCCTTCTTAATGCACTTCCAAAATTGAAAGTAGGTACCGTGAATCACATTTTGAACTTTTTTAGGATCTGTTAAAGGCGTCAGTTCCAACCTTCGTACGTCCTAAAAATTTCACGGTTAATACCACAATTCAATGGAAACATTTGTGAACTTACAATTGAGTGACCCTGATTTGCTTTTATTTCCAATATTCCTGTTTCTGATGTTCTTAATGTAAATCTCTGCTTATCGTTGTTCAACACGATGCGTTCAATGTCACTGATAGAAACAGATTCAAAACCTTTACTTTCCAAAATCTGTTGTAGCGGTATAAACCCTTCGGTAGATAAATGTAGACCCTCGTTCAATGCACCGTGTCTTAACAGCCAAGATAGGCGTTTACTTACTCGAACATCATCCTTGGTGATCTGCAATTTGTGTTACCTTAAGACTAAATTTGTTACGACGGAAATCAAATGCTTACAGTAGATTTTCTATTGAATTCCATGAAACATTCCTTTACACTTCGGTTTTCGAGTGTTTATAGAGAATTAAAAAATAACACGCAATAAGTTAGGTTATGTCGACGGTTGTCTTTTGTTAGATTAGCCGCGTTCGACGAACGCAACATAAATGAAGAGAATAATATGCTAACGCCTCATTGGTGCATTTCGATGCTGATGAGCAGACAAAAATTCATGAAGAAATACAGCATTTTTTCACTACTAGCGTTTGATGACATGATTATTAACCTTTTTTCCACTTGTAAAGTAGGCCAATGTGGACATTATTAACTAGTAGTCAATAATGAAAACTGTCACGCTGTCACTTTTAGAAATCACAACCCGAAATTTCGCTCAATAAACGTTTACACAAGTTTTCTAAAATGAATAATTGCCACCACCACCACCGTCATTTTCAAAGAAATTACATACTTAATATTATGACATTTTAAAAAAAATTCGAACGAAATTACTCTTTGAAAATATGACAATGACAATATACGACCTGGTTTTTGCTTTTATTTTCAGATTAATGTGTTTTCATGAAGTTTGTACGGGTTCTTACGTTTTTCCGGTTATTATTCGGGTTTTTAAAATTTTTTAGATACAACAGAGCCTTCGGATTTTTTAAAATTCTGCTAATTCTGCACATAGTTTTTAAATCCATCGCATTTATAATACAATACAATGTATTTATAATTGGTATTTCAGATATTTTTCTTCACTCGTTTGAAACATATATAGCTCTGTCCTGGAACTTTTAGGAAACCCTATATGTACTATACATATATGTACGTTAGCTACAAAATTATCGTACAAAAACCGTAATTATCGTACATCTGGTAACACTGCAGTCAGCTGTTTGGAATAAACTATAAGTAGAAAATTTCCTACTTTTTGTTACTACCAGACGTCGTTATTGTAGTTGGCCAGCTAAATACAGGTACGTAAAGTTCTGCAACTTATACATTAACGCGATGAACGACTGTAACGTGTGGTGGTGGGCTGGTTTAATGTAAAAAAGAAACTTGTACTAATTTGACGTAAAGTTTACTTACAAATATTAGTCATCGTTCGAACTTTTGTAACTTATTTTTTGGCGATATATGTGCTCGAACGCAAAATGCCCAAAAGTGGCCAGGAAGTTGTTTGTGAAGGTTGGTTAACAAAATCGCCACCAACAAAAAGGATCTGGAGGGCTGTAAGTCTTTTGTTATTATTGTTCTTATCGTTTGAATCATTGCAATCGTTATATTTTAATAACAATAAAATGAATCATGTTACTTTATTGGATTGTCTTTACTTAGCGATGGAGGAGGCGATGGTTTTGTTTACAAAATTCCGGAGAGTTGCCCCGACAGTATTTTCTCTCGTATTATACGGACAGAAAATGTAGAAAGTTAAAGGGGAACATTAATTTGGATTTATGCGAACAAGTCGATACCGGACTTAAATTTGAAGATAGCAAGCATAAGTTTGATTTCATGTTTGATATCAAGACGCCTACACGTACTTATTATCTTGCTGCCGAGACCGAGGAAGAAATGAAAGTATGGGTGAATTGTATATGCAATATTTGTGGTCTTAAAGCTACCAGTGATGATGAAGCAGGTATGTAACATGCAACAATTGCTCGCGCCAAAAAATCAAGTAGCAAATCTGACAATGTGATTTAGCAACTGAATTTAATAGATAATAATAATTAGGGCCACTTGTGATCTCAACCAACCATGTACAGATATTAAATCACTTATAAAAAGGCAAAGTACCTAGTCCAAAGTGCGAATTTTCACTTGAGCGTTTGTCGTCTCAGTGACGTCTGGAAAGTCAATAAGCTTTGATTTTCCTGTACTTGCTCTTGTATTTTTTGGAAGCTATTTGTTACCTATTCAGTTGCGACCAAATGTGGCTATCCGTCTGCTGCACCACACCACACCAAAATAACAGACTATTTTACCACATTTTGTCACTTTAAAACAGGTACTTACTTTACAAAACAAAATTAATGCCATTCATTCATCATGCTTTTACAAGCATGCAAAACAGTTTTTTTGTAAATGTAAAATTGAGCTGTAATATTTGTATTTGCGAAAGAGTAGTACTTACCCATAATAGGTACAGGACAAAAATCCCACATAGCCACCGTATATACTTAGTAAATTCATAGTATGTGCGCCTTGGAACATCGCATGTGCATTGTAGGTGCAGTATTATAATGGCGCATGTGCAATGCACATCCATAGTACTACACATTTTAGCCACCAAAGTAGGTACTTAGAAGCTACTCAACGTATATACGATTGACGTTCATAGTATATTCTGTGTGATAATTAGCACATGCTACTAGAATATGCCTGGTATATACTCTGTATTATTACCTACCTACATTATGGGTGGGAATGTAAATAACTAAAGGGTGGTTGTCAAAAAATATATATTGCACAGTAAAATACATTATAAGATATGAGTATCTAATTATATCTATACCGTTGATTGTTATGTTGCTATTATATATCTGCATTGTTGATTACGTTCGCTTCTTTTTTCTGTAACCAAATAACAAAAATAATTAGCAAAGCACATTTGCAGATCAAAAGTATATGTTTAGGACAATTCATGCATGCATATGTACCTATATATACGTATGAGCGTGCATATATGTTTAACATATACATTCCGATGTATTTATGTAAGATTTTTGTATCATTTATATTATAAAGAGCTTACTTTTAGGCGTTCCGTCAACTTTACTAGATAATACTTTGCTGCCGCAATTATATCAGAAGATGTAGCATTAGATGTCTTCTGATTTTGACGCACAGATTCTGTAAATAACAGTTTTGTTATAAACAACCCCCAATTATTTTTATTAATACTTACCAATAATAAGTTGTGCAGTTCTTTCATATGAATTTAATGCTTTCTTTCCCTTGGCCCCTTTCCAGGAAAAACCTTTAGAAAATTCATCTGAAAATAGTTGTCGCATCACATTTCTTGTGGCATGTTTCACATTTTCACCTCCTTCTAAACCAAGCAATTTTGCCTAAAAGGAAAAATAAGATTTTTTTAAACTATAAATCATCTTACCGCTGAATCAAACTTCAGCTTCAGGAGCTCTTCAAAATCTACAAGTTGTTGAATTGTTTTTAATGGAAGAAATTCTTTAATATCTTTAAATACGTCTTCGTTAATCACATTATTAGCAGAAAGTAGAATTTGGCGATCCATTCCTTCTTGTAGTTGATCAATTTTCAGCTCCATTCTAACCACACGCCGTTGTAAATCTCTGAGTAAATTGAAAATTTGATTTTCAGTGTCGGTTTCTATTGAGAGATATACAATTAAGACAAAAACTAAACATATTAGCATTAGATTACCATGGCGAAACGTTTTACGTTGCAAATTTCCAGCTGATGATTCAAAATTTGTGGGAGTGTTCATGGAAGCATCTATGAAACACTGCAATAAAACTCAAAATATTGATCAACAAGTTTTTAATTTGCATACATCTTTCTACTGATTGCGTATTTGTGCGATCATCAAGTAATGTACGTCGTTGTGGGTGAGGAATTGTATTTCCATCGTAAAGATCTTGACCCGTACATTTTTTTGATTTAAATAAAATAAGAAACAAAATAAAATTTAAAAAACAGGGTTTGATTTGTTTTAATAAAATTAATTATTAGAAGCTTTAATTAAAAATTGTATCACATAAATATGTATTTAATTACAAGCTTACCATACGACGAATTGGTTTGTTTTTGGCCCTTCGCAGACAGAAGCGTTTTTTTGGTCCATTGAGAATGAACACTGTCATTCACTCTTAACGGCGGAGTTGCTGCCCTAGATGAACCACCATCACTTTGGTAGCTCTCGGAACTAGTTTCAGCTTCAGATGCATAACGTAGTGGAGGTTTACGAACTCGAGTATTTCCCGAGGTATTTCCAATTTCTTCACCATGTGATGAGACATTATCACTATTTGTACCACGTGCAGCACGTCTATCCGCTTGCGCAAAATTATCTGCAATGCCTACATTAATTTTGGAATGTGTATATTTAAATAACTTACCACAACGTGAAAGTATTTTAACTTTATAGCTGGGCCATGTAGATGAAGGTTCTACAGCAGTTTCGATCGCATTTCTAATATTTTTAACATCTTTAGTTGTTGGAAAATAGACTTTGCCGTGGTTGAATCACAAAAAAATGAATGACTCTGTGAACGGTTAGTTGCCACTGCATCCACTTCCAAAAGTGCAACAGCATTGTGAAGTTGTTTACGAATCAAATTTTCTTTTTTTTTGATCGATCCATACCAAAAACGAACTAAAAGGGAAATGAAAATCACAAACGCTATAGTGTCGCTATTATTGTCAACTTTCGTTATTTTTGAGTATTCATTACGTTTAGGTTGGTTTCCGAACAGTATTACTTACCCATAATCATTGCTCAAAACATAATAAGCACAGAATGCGTCATGAGCCGAAAAGATCCAATTGTTGGAAACGAGTACATGTACGTAAAATTGCAGTAAATATTAACTTGTGTCTCGTCTTCTGAGTAACGAATACTTTTACAAAAGAGCAGTCGTTCGATACACCGAGTACGCCAACAGTAACACACACTTAGTTTGTATGACATCATACTGCCCTACATATGCAGTAAATAAAAATATACCTCAAGCAGCAACTTGGAATTGAAATTGAAGAGAATAAAATGTATAAATGGTAGTAAAATTGGCCTAACCTAACTTAATTCGTCAGGATTCACTACAGCAACATAAGGCATCTTTAATGATATGATATTACAAAAGTGAGCTAAGTCGCATATGAAAATTAAACTCACCTTTACAATTAATTCAGATAACACCACACAAAAATTTAAAAGAAATTCAATGTGTGGCGACCATATTTGTTTATTGATGGAGTTGGAGAACGACAACGCGCTTTAGCCTTAGCCGTCGCGGTTTTGACAGGGTGCTTGCAGCGCCACACGTTAATAACATTGCGAAACGATCAACGCGGCAGTTTTAAATATTAATAACGTTTTGTTTTTATTCAAGTTTTTTAATAAGCATGTTTAAACAGTCGCATTAATAAATAAAATAGTACATAATCGTAACAGCGAGTTGCCGAAAATAATTTCTTATGTTGTTTATATGTTTTCTTAATATGCTTTGATGCAAAATTGTAAATGGCAATAATTGAATAACTGATTGCCAAAAAAAACAACATTATTAGCGCAAATGGCAAGGATAACTATGTGTTTGAAAACTGTTCAAATTTTGTACATAAAATGAAGCAAAACATTAAAAAAATGTTTTCACTAGTTGATATACTAAGTACCTACAGTGTACATTCGATCCATATCTACAATTCCAGTTCTAATGAGCATGTGCTATGCACATGCACTAAGGAATGTACTTTGCAACTGTATACTATGTACATACTATGAACGTACGGTATATCTCGTATCTACTGCGTATATACACAGCACTTGGTGTGCTATGTGGGATGTATTCATAGATTGTGCTGGTTCATTATGACAAGTAACTGCAATAGTTTTCTACATTGTGTCATTGTTGGCCCAACTAACATAGAGAGAGCTTAACAAAAAAAACTACGGTGACTGTGATTTTGACACTTCTTGATCAAAATACATGTACTCTGACCATAAAGCACTTTTAATAAATCAACAAAGTTAATCATAATTGAGCATGAGATATTTATCTGGATCGTTAAAGGGTTCGAATAAACACACAATTTACATGAATTTACATGAATGAAAAGAAAATTTATTTTAAACACACAAATTAAATTAATCATTAGATTCCAACAATCAAAAATGGTCTACAATCAGATGAAGCGATAGCTGTCCGATAATAGTAGACGACAACTTCTATAAAAACTTTTATGTAGGTCTAGCTTTTCAGACTGAAACCAGACTCACAATGTATTCCCAAAAAGCATTGAAAAACGTCTTAACATACAAATTTAATGTGTGATATTTTAGCATCACTACTAAGTTTAATTATTCTTAACCTAGTTCTTAACATTATTGATATTTTTCTCTTTTTCCGACAGTAACAAGATCATTAAATCCGCAATCTTCTCTCTATCAAGATCACCAAACTATGTTATTAGACGATTCGACCAAAAGTTGTGCAGATTCTCCTCCTGTTTCTCCAGTTAGTACTGGACCATACATTCCCATCTCCGAATGTATTACTGGCCGACTACCATCGCAAGGCGTTCAGGTAAGTAAATTTTATCATCTGCTGTCTTGTGTTTGTGTAATACTCGAGGTAATACTTGTCTAAAATTCTCTCTCTCTCTCTCTACTTCACCATTGTTAAACAAAATTCAAATCGAGATCAGAACAGCACGAAAGAATTATACTTAACCCTGGTAGTATCACAATGTTAAGTTGATAAATGATGTGATAAAGTTTGCACGCGTGTAGCTGTGTAGTTTTAGGCGAGCGCATTTTATCGGTGATTTAATACGCTAACTTTTAGGATTTTTATAAGTTATTGCAACATAACATAAAAAATTCCTACTTCCGATCGTCGGCTCTCACCAAAAGCCACAGCAACGAAACGTACGAGACAAGATCGCCGACGTACCTAAACGATTTTGCCGAGGGCGATCCGCACTTTTACGATTGTCCGCGCTCGCATTCGACTCAGCACACCTTACGCAAAACTTACAACCCGGAAATAACTAGGAGTAGTACAAATAAACTAGAAAAGAACGTTAACAGTTCACCTTTACAAAGTCCCACAGATTCTGAAAGTGTATTTACCGATGACGATTGGACACCGAATACGTCTATTGAAAGTAGGAAACTGCCAACTTTCACAAATCACACTCTGTATTGTGATAATTTTTAGATACAAGATCGTTGATTCCTTCAAATAGTTCTATGACTGAGCCTCTCCTCTCTGATTCTTTTAGTAAAGTTACGTTAGATGATACAACTAAACGAGTAGACCCACCCCCACGGCCTCCCAAACCTACTCTAAATAATTTGGGTAGAGCAGAATCATCTAGTAAACCTAGGTAAGTGAGATTTAACACTTTGTGTGTGACTTATACATGCATTTCAGTAATGAGACTGATGTAAATATAGTAGAGGGCAGTGTGGCAGTGAGCCATCTAAATAGTAATATTAAAGTGAGTATCATGACTAATGCATTTTTTTTGGTATTTTGAAAGTTGTCTTCAGGGAATAAGTGATGAAATGTACGATTTTCCTCGATCGCATCAAATAGAAACTAATGAAAATTTAACAAACACTTTATTACGAAGACACTGTTATAATAATGCAGCACCTGGTAATATTGAAGGACAAATATTTCGTTACGATATTTCACCTAAGCCTAGCACTAGCACCACTCAAGTAAGTAATGCGTACACCGAGGCGTACACTATAAACTTATATTAACTTGATGTTGTAGGTATTTCAATACGATAATATCGACATACCTGATGAACCCGCTTCTCCTTTATCGCAGTCATCATCCACAGCTATACATTCAAATTTACCCAGTCCGTTACTTCCTTCTGATGCACAGGTTTGTGCACACATCTGATCGGACTACAAGAATTCAAAGTTTTGTTTCAGCTAATGCCCCCACCTCAAATCAATAGAAGATTAAAACCAAAACGTAAACTGTCAGATGCGGTTTCTATAACATCAAGCAATGAGCCATCGTCACCGCGGCTAGCGCCATCTGTCGATAGAAGTTGCAAACCAGTCATTAACACACAGGTAATTAATGAATTCTTCTAGACGGTGTCCTAACAAGGCCAAACAATACATTATTGTCAAATCTTGGATAACTCTGGTTGTTACATGCACATTGGCACATGAAACAAAACTACCTATAGTTAAGCACGATAAGGTTAGGAGATGGGTCAGGTTTTCTTTTACGGCTAGTCAACAAAACAAAAATAAATATATTAATTGGGTACTTAGTCTTATAGAAAATTTAAAAACAGAGAGAATTCGTACTGAGAAGAGTCTAAGACTAAGAGATCCTTGTTCTGTCTTTGATAACGTTAAAAGGGTAAAGAAATGGAATAGGTTGTGTATGAACAGCAACTGGCAATTTAATTCAAAAATACTCAAAATCAAAATTTAAATTAAAAAGTAATTTTCAAAAAGGGATCAATTTGTAGGTAGAAAATTACCGAAGTATGCTTCCCAGGAATATAGGCGTTATAATAAAATATATTCATTAAATTCGGACGTGTCTATAACCAAAATACATTTAAACGTTAATCTGACCGAGTAACGAAGAAATAAAATATTTTACCTTTGAACTAACAGGTCGCAAACTCTCCGAGCTCAGAAGGGCGCTTTCTGCCAATAATCTGCAATTAGATAAAACACAATACAAAAGAAAGGGAGTGATAGCGCGGCATATAAATGCGGGACAAATTAACTTTTGGCACGCCGGGTAACTCGAACTCGAGAAATCGTAACTAACATTCAATGGATAACAATAATTCACCTTACGTTAAATAGCAAAAGCAAAATTTTGACTCGACACGAATTGTTGGTATAAATAAATAATAATTAAATAAAATTAGGAGAGTCATTCAGGCCTATCCGTAAATAATTTCAAGGTAGATCACTGGAGCAAATATCACGCGATTTCTTCTAACTCAAAACTCAAAATGGCGGTTCTATAAAAAAATTGATTTTAAAAAATACAAATGGCGTGGGTACGAGTAATTAATGAAAAACCCTTCCGAATTATCGGTCATTTAACCACTTGTCCCATTTAAAAATTTGTGTGGGTGTTGCAACCGCTATCATGGTGGGGGTGGGGGTCAAGAATGATTTTTGCATAAAAATTGGCCCCCCTCGATTAGTAAAATTTGATTATATGAGTTTAACATACTAATAGATATGTTCGAACATACTTCCGAAACAAACCTTTGATAAAGATACTCACCCTGTATTAATTCATAGAGTAACTGAGAACAATTCATCAAAAATTACCTTGAATATGCACAATATAGTCCCCAGTGCATCTTAGGTTTATTTTCTTTTATTTTATTTTGCCTTTATTTTTGAGTGGGCGGGGTTCCAGCTAAGGCTGCTCTGCCAACCCAATCTATGTCACTATGTTAGACATATTGGACAAGGCATTATATTTTCAATTTATATATTGTTTTAGAATTCTGGAATGAGGAAAGCTTTCGAGGCCGACTCAGAATGCACCAGACGCCAACGTGCCGCGCCTAGTCCCACGCATCAGGACAATTTATACGGAAATCAACAGGTACTGTACCAAAATGCGCGAATCTTCTGTTGCTAAAATATGACAATGTTGTTACAGATGTGTACATTTTTAAGTAGTATTCAGTACCTTGATTTGGATCACAGTAATTCTCAATACGGAACCACACCACAGAAAACGCAACCGCTGAGATCTCCTGGTGCAACGACCGTCTATAAGCAGGTCGATTTTATGAAAACGCAAGCGTTTAATTTTACACGAATATGCGTCGAAAAGGAACGCAAAGAGTCCGTGTCCTCTTTCAAAAAATAATCTTTATTTTTTTAACTGCTTATAGTGCAATTATCATACCATTAGGATAGTGATATTTAATTTTTTTACTTTTGTAAAATTTTGTTATTGATGTGCCTTACAATTATTGTTTATGAATATATACGAAATGTTATTCTTGTTTTAATTAGTTCAAGTGGCCATACCTTCAGTAACAATTTGTCACGATATTTTATGAGCAAATTTGTACACAGCAATTTTAACTACATATTTGAAAATACATATCTTATTGTAATTGTATTTACTATACATAGGAAAATAAAGATATGCGTTTGGTATACACTTTACTTTTCTCTTACAATTTCTTTCAGCGATTTCTTAGATATTTGTAGAATGGTGTTGATGGAATTGACAATACAATACGGCCACTAAGTTAGATAATAGTTTTTTTAGTAAATTTGTGGCGACCTGACGCATCTGAAGGATTTGAAAATTGAAAAGAGTGGAGTTACTTTCTAATGAAGCAGCAGAATGAATAATTATACAACTTAATTATGTGGTGATGTTTTTAGGACAGTCAGGGATATGCCTCTTGTTGTGATTTTGGTCTACTGGAAGCTCGTAACAAAATAATTCCATTCTAAAAATCGGAAGAATTCGACAAACCAAAGTTCTAATCCAATGAATCTTATAACCATGAAGAAACTGAAAAATTTGTCTTTTGAAAGAAGACGAAGCATATGATGGATCTAGAGAGCAAAATTAAAGAATCCAAACAATTGAAAGCATCTTAATAATTTGGAGAATGTGAAAAGAATTTGAAGAGTTAATGGAAATCTGAAGAATTTGGGAAATCATAAAGAACTAAACGAGATGAATTCGAGGAAACTAGAGAATCCTATGGATTCGAAAATTTCATGAATTTGGAGAAGAAACAATAAGAACTTAATATTTCCGTAGTCCATATTGCGTTACCTTACCGCCTTCATAATTTTCTAGTTGAAGAAATTTGATGTACCTGTAGAAATAAAAAATCCTAGGAATCTGAAGCTAAGAAAAAATGAAAGATATTTTGTGAAGAATCAGCTTCTTAGTTCTTGTGCGATACTTTGGGACCACAGCGCTCATATGATACTTACTTCCTGAAGGAGATTTACTTAGTAGCGCCTACTAATCCTGGAGCGAACTTTACAATATTAATTTCCCTATAGGTAATACTACACGCGCTGCTTAAGCATATAGCACGGTACCTATGTGGCATTGTTTGCACACTTTAATATATTTAAAGTGCGGCATTTTCTTCCTTTATACTGCTCATGCATAGAACACAAACCCAATTTGGTCATAAATATCGTATATGTTTGAAAGATTCTGCCCACCAAGTACAACTTACAAAAGCTGTTAACAAAATAACACGAGGAAGTAGCAACTCTAATTATGAAACCATGATTAATTGTGTAATATTGCTTGAAAAAATAAAGTGTATAAGAGGTTATTTAAATTGGGGATTTGTTTTTCATTTAAATTATGAAATTACTGAAGCAGTAAATGCGGCGAAGCGTTCAACTGTAAATTATAAATCGGTATTTTGAATGCATCAAATTTAGTTAAGCAATTTTAGGGTACAAAGTGAACATGTATTTATCAGTAATCGTTTATAATCTGCTACTGTGTTCATTAATTTGGTTTAATCATAACAATAGTGTTTCAACGTTAATATTAAAGGAAAATAACACAACAGCACAAAGATTAAACGGTGTGATAGCACCGCAAGTTGGCGCTAAAAAGAAATTTATTCGGAAAATTCTTCTACCGCCTTTAGCTTTTGCATACAATGACAAGGAAGAGGATTCTGCTAAAGCAGCATCCAAGAAAGATCCAAAGGAATCCGGGGAACACCTGAAAGAAATTGGGAAACATTCTTATTCTGATCATCACGAAACACACAAGGAAAAGGGAGAAAAAGGTTACAGTAGCAGCGATGAAAAAGAAAATGGTGAACATGGTCATAAGGACAAAGAAACACATAAAGGACATTATGAGGACCTAGGGGGCAAAAAGAAAAAGTCATCCGATGATCACAAGTACCAGAATAAAAAACATAAGTATAGTGATTTTGGAAAATTTCAAAAGGTTGTAGGTAAATAATTTGATTGTTCTTATCAGTGGCATTACAGTTTGACGAAGATGGTATGCATAAGAAAGGCCATCACACACATGGATCACACATAATCAGCAAAAAAGACCATTATGTAAAGAACTACGAATTTTTCGACGAAGACTTTGGAGATGAGGACCAGGAAAAATTTGGCGAATTCCACGAGGATAGCAGTTTTAAAAAGGTAAGTTATTAGTTATACTTACCGCATTCTTATATTGACATGCTTGGTTGATACCAGGGGAATACCGAAAAATCATCCCATAAAAAAGGGCACCATCACCAAGACGAATATGGCAAGAAAGGTCATAATGAAAAGGGCGATCAGTTTTACAAGAAAAAGGAACACAAAAAAGATTCTGGCAGCGATACATATGGAGAACATAAGAAGAAATATGGGAAAGAAAATCACAAAAAATCAAAAAAAGATTGGAAATATTACCATGGCTCACCTAAAAAGAGCGACAGCCATGGAAGTGGTAGCAATATCAAAGAGGAGACATTCAACAATTTTGCAGTGCTTAAACCGAAGTACAAGGTAAAAGGAAGTACAAAAAAGGTAAACAGCAATAAGCAATTTAAATCTAAGAGTGCCTTTGATATGTTAACTGACTTGATGAATGGTTTTTAAAATAAAATTTGCGTTTAAATTCACTTTTATTAACAGTTTTATGACTTAGAGACATTAAACCAGCAAATGCAAATAACCGCCGTGTAGACCAGGTAACCTATATTACCATTGTATTTAAATACAATGATAAAACGTTCGCCAAACTTAGCATTGACGTTGCCATACTATTCGTTTATAAATACAATGGTATTACGTACCCTCAAGCTGGCAGGTATAAATTCAAATGCTTGATTGAATTTGAAAGATAATTATACCTTTGCTTTTGGAGAATTTCTCATATAGGTACTTCATGCTAGGGAGCTGAATGCAATCGGTCTAGTGTAACAAATAGTTACCTAGCTACATTCGTTACCCACCGATGAGTGTCCAAAATGTAATGGTAGCTCGCTTTTGCATTTGTCAAAAGCAAGGGAAAATCTTCAAAATTTTCTACGGCCTCACGTTGCGCCGTTATAGTTTTCCCTAGTTGAGTTCTCTGGTATATGGACTGTTAGAGAATTACATTCAAATTGCGATGACTTTCGGTCTTCGCGGGGGGGGGGGGGGGGGGCTGTGGCGATCGTAGATCCTAAGTGCCAGCGGAACTTGAAATATTCGATTGAAATTGTACCTTAAAAATTTTAGTAGCGTGAGAGTGGCAAGATCCATTCAACTATATGCTCGCAACTGGAAGGGAAACAAGCATATTATTAGTGAAGCCAGACTGCTGGTAGTATATCTCTCTCACACTAGTAACATTAAATTCAATGACCAATTTTACAGTCGTATTTTCCGGATGCGAGCGACTTCCGGAATAGGGTCGTGTCAATGTTGAACGAAAAGTCGTTTTGTTCAACATTGACACGATACTATCCCGAAAGTCGCTCACATCTTTAGAAAAACATAGATTGTAGACCGGGATCAAGTGTTCTGTGACCGGCAATCTTTCCTGGCGAGAGGTTTATTAATAGGCGCTTTCTTTCGGTGATCCAAACGCGTTTGGATTGTCAAATCACGTTCTTTCGAAGTGTGATTTTGTAATCATGATTGCTAAAATCGTGAACAAACTGAACATAAAAGTTTTATGAACTCGAATTCCTAACCTATAAATGCAAGGATATTTTTGCTCAAATGTTAGGTTAGTCAATATTTGTAACTGAAGAGGAGCAAAATCGCGCAAGTACTTCCACTTGAATTTAAATTATTTTCATAATCCAAACAAAAAATACGTAATTCGAATGCAAATGTGTACTACGTAAACTTAACCATACTTTGATTTAAATTCGCGCGTTCTTTCGTAAAACGTGATCCTACGAATCACGATTTTGAAATCACGATTGCGAAGTAGCCGAAAGAAAGCGCCTTATGATCGCATTGTAGATTTTTAAGGTCTTAACTGAACGCTTCCCAATCGCAGTTTGTGCAATTTTTAGGGTGGCGTGTATTCTTTCTGTTGGTCGCACTGTCAGCGTCAAAGTTTTTAAACAAATTTGAAAGAATGTTGAAATTGGGCGAATTTTTCCCAAATTTTCTCGCAAACACTACAATTGGTCCTATTCAGTTGTATGATTGGATGGAAAAATCGTATGTATTTAATAATTTAGAATATCATAGACACCGATTGTATTTCAGGTGGTGTATGCTACTGTCCTATCATTCCGATTTTGACGCTGTTTGCACATCAGAATTAGCAAGCTTGGTAAAATTGCACGACCAATTTCGAAAAAGAAATGTTAAATTAATGGCTATATCATGTGACTCACTGTCATCCCATACCAGATGGATTTCTGATATTCTGGAATGTAGTCTTAGTAAAGACAAGTATTTACCATTTCCGATTGTTGCTGATGAGAATTGTGATTTGCTACTAGAAGAGCTAAATTTACTTACACCTAATTTGGAAACGACCCATGTAACGTATCTCATTGATCCAACTAAAAGAATTCGTTTGTCCACCACTTATCCGCCCAATGTTGGACGTAAGTTTCGGTAAGTATTGATGAATAAACAATGAAGGAGAAATGAATTAAGACAACTAATCGTTTGCAGTGAAATGCTAAAAGTAATTGATGCGCTTCAGGATATCTCTATAGTACCACCTGCTTAATCCAAAAAGTATGTGGTTAGTATAATATGTGAAACTGTTATAAATATAATAGGTACCACATGTTTGTTAATGTATAATTGCAGAGCACAGATTTTGCAGTAGTATTAATGATTTACAATAAACAATCTGATTTTCTATTTATGCAAACTATAATCCTCGTACCCCGAAATGATTGTGTCCAATACGCTTTTGAACTTACCTAAGTAGCTGTAAGACAGAGAAATTCTTGTAAGTGACTGACCAAAGATCATAATGGTCAAGTCAAGGTGACTTCATAATGATCTTTGTGATTAGTGAAGTTTACATGGAAAAATTAGAAAATCGATAATGCAAGAGTGTCGGTACTCTTCGCCAGATGGCGCAAGCATAGGTATTTTGATTTGTAAAGTCACTCGATATAGTGATTTGCTATGGTGATTTGTAAAGTCATCACATGGAACCGGAACCGTTATTCAAGAAGTTACTTGAGAAGTTATGATGCCAGCAAACGGTACCAGTGCCAAAGAACCGGTACTTTTGAGTTCTCCTCTCTTGCAAATTGAGGCATCAGCACTTATCACTCAATTACATAGGTCACTAGGCGCTTTCTTTCGGCTACTTTCGCGATCATGATTTCAACATCGTGATTCGTGCGATTAAGTTTTACATACATATACAATATGGTTTTAGGAAACTACCGGCGCCCGAATTTTAATCAAAGTTTACGGGTACACATTTACAGTCGAATTCCGTATTTTTTGTTTGGATGATGACAATAATTTAAATACTTACAAGTGGAAGTACTTGCAAGATTGTTACACATATTGACGAACCTTAAAAAAATATCCTAACCATCATCGTGGTTCGCCTAACCATGCGCCGCGCGCCGTGTAGCTGCGCCTTAAGTTAATTGAATGCGTCCACTTCCCTGAGTTTGACATTTTGAGTTGTAAACATTTCAGACTACAAAAATACAAACAGTTTTGTGTAAAAAAGGCGAATGGAATGAAAAATTAGTTATGTTTTCCAAAACGAGATAAAAATAACATACATCGTTTAATCATCTAATTGCATTGGAATGTAATTACATCCGCAATTAAATTAGGTGAGGATGTCTACTAATTTAATTTATTGTTGCTCTACATAACGCCCTTATTGCAGAATGGTAACATGGAATTGAAGGTCTGGGTTGAAGGAATTCAAAGAATTGTATGTGGCGTTTCCGAAAATACAACCTGTCAGGTATTCTCTTCACTTTTGATACCCATGTAGCTAATTCGTTTAATTCTTTAGGATGTAGTTTACGCCTTGGCACACGCAACAGGCAAATCTGGTCGCTTTACGTTAATTGAAAGGTGGAGAAATAATGAACGGCAATTGGCCCCCAACGAGAACCCTTTAAAAGTAGGCACTTTACAATGCGCAGTAATTTTACTACAGACCTTTACATACTGTTTCGACCGCTTACCATATGAGTAGTGGACAAGTGCAATTTTGCGATGTTCATTTGATGTCACAGCTACCCATAGGGGATTTATTGATCTTGGACTATTTTTTTTTAATTCTCGAAGATCGTGGAAAATGTCTCATATTTAAAAATGTTCCGATGAAATACTCCATTAGGCTTGTACCACTGCCGAGAGATCAAATCAAAATCCCAAATTTTCACTTGTACAGGGTGGTTCAAATTCGAGCCTCATCATTGAACGGTGAGAGATGCAGTGTAGGTTAAATGCGAGGTTAGTGGGTGCTAAGTTGCCCCTTTATACTATATTACCTATTTCATATGGATGCCATATTGGATGTTTACGGAATGAGATACGAGGATAATAAAATAATGACGTGCCACTCCTACATTTAGACAAATTTATTTGCAAGAAAAATTTCAAAATCTGAAGTTTTCCATTCATTTGTTAACAAAACATTCGCAGGCAACGAGATTTTGCTGAATCAACATGGCTATGATGGCGATGCATTCAAATGGGTTTCTTTGTTCGTCCTCATTCTGTATAAATTCAATATGGCGTCCATAAGAAATAAGAAAGTAGTAGTTCCTTTGTTAGTCCTTTATCTCATTCTGTAAAAATCCAATATGGCGTCCATAAGGAACAAGAAAGTAGTAGTTCCTTTGTTAGTCCTCTATCTCATTCTGTAAAAATCCAATATGGCGTCCATAAGAAATAAGAAAGTAGTAGTTCCTTTGTTAGTTCTCTATCTCATTCTGTAAAAATCCAATATGGCGTCCATAAGAAATAAGAAAGTAGTAGTTCCTTTTTAGTCCTCTATCTCATTCTGTAAAAATCCAATATGGCGTCCATAAGAAACAAGAAAGTAATAGCCTGTAGCTTCTAGATCTAGTGTGTTATGGAAATTCTGATCACAGATTTATTTAGATTCTCCAAAAAAGGTGCTCATGGAAGGTCCTAACTGTCCATTTCCATCCATTTAAGCTAGGGAAAATGAAAACGACATTTGACATTTTCAGTTTTTCTGTGATCTCTCAGTTGTTTTCAAAGATTTTTAAAGATTTCAAATGGGTTTTTTTTGTTACAAAAAGGCGCAACTTTACCCCCCCTTTAACCTACGCTGTATCTCTCACTGTTACGGAGATCCCAATGCTGAGCCATGAATTTGAACCACTCTGTACAGTATTGGGACGCGCAAACAAAAGGTCTCAAATCCATTGTTGTAGATCTTGCTGAAATGGGGCGAGTATTCGAACGACGTACAATTTATTTTACAAAGAAGCGATATTAATAAAAATACCGGTAAAGGTGCGAGCTCGACCACATCGCCGAGCCCATCGACTCCGTCTCGCTCTGTAGAGATCTTAGATAAGGGCAAATGTTCGCCCGAAAAATCTAAGGATGTTGATAGAAATAGGGAGGTACAAAAGTCATTGACTTTTAGGTATGTATGGATTTCCACAGGATTCTTGATACCAATAATCTTTATAATACAGCGGCAGCACCTATAACACAACCTTCGACAATGTGGGAGTTGTAAAAGGCGTTCCGCAAGTGAAAAATGTTTCGGTGGAAGTTTGCGATAATCAAACTTCCCCGAAAAAGTGTAGTCAAATAGTAGATACCGATTCACCTAGTCATCGAGTTGTAATTCATCCGCTCGCACCACCTCCGTATAGAGACCCTCCTCCTCCTAGTGCATCTGTAAATTATGATAAATTCAAGAAAAATGTACGGGTAATAATGGTTTGTTTAATTTTGTATAAATGCTACTTTAAGGAACCGCAAAAGAATTTCCATCTGAAATCGGATAGCAAGTTGGACGAGACCGTCATTAACACACAGTATAGAGAGTTGATCTCATTAGTTAATTGTCAAAGGGAAAAGTTGTCCACTCAACAAGTCGATCTCTCAAAGGTAAGTTGTATGTAATGATTACACTATAGATTTTTTTTAAATGGAATTGAATATCTAGGCTTTGAAGTATATCAAATTCTCTATTTAAAAATATACCTAACACACAAAATTTCAAAAAATTTAAAAAAGATTCAAAAATTAAAAAATCTTTTTTTTTTTTTAAATTCTTTAGATCACTTGATTTTTAAAAAAATCATCTATGGTGTGTTATATTGACATTGACGAAGTTCGCCGGTTCTATTATTTACCAGCTTATACTTATCATACTTATCCAAGTATGTAGTCTGAATGAAATCTCCAAATTTGAGAGTCCGGCAATGCTTTTTTGTCAATCGGCGTGATCTGTTATTACGTTGACATTTTCTTTAATACTGCACGACCTTACCGGTTTAATGCAGGATTTTCACATACCATTAGAAAACTAAAATCGAATAATTTTTAACGGACCTAAAACTTAAGATTGATTCTCCCTCTTCTTCTCTAACAAGCGAGCTTTTGGGTACTGTAAAAACAATTCAAATACGGGAACGGTTGCAAACGGCAAATTATATACGGCGTCTTATTTTAAAGGCCGGCTCTACAAATTAACCCACTAATTTCGACCTTATATTTTCAACTCCTATACAGAAATAAATATTTTCGGAACGAGAATCTTCGTAACGAAGCGCCCAATTTAAAACGCTTCTAGATACCAGGTGCTCTGCAGCGCTGGTTCACTCCACAAATATACAATGTGGTCCTAACTTCGGGTAAGAAACTTCAAGGCGGAATATAGGTGCTTGGTTACACCCGTTTCGTATTTACATCATACTGTATATTAAGAGCTGCCGCCGATGTGCGTGGTCTCCTTACAATTTCGCATTTATTAAGACCTGGCAGTACACTTAATAAATATTACACATTTAGCTGCAGACACTAATATTTGTCGATTTCAGCGGAATCACCCTCGTTCTTATTTTAATAATCTTAAGTTTTTTAGAACCTTTTGGTTTTTCCAAACCCTTCGGTTTTTAAAATTTTTTTAATTTAGTTTTACCAATCTGTTGGTTGAAATAAACATTTTAATTATAGTTCGATGCCGAAATAATATATTGGGAGGGTAAAGAACGAGAGAAGCAATTTCAGTACGATTTCATAGCGCAAGAAATAATATCAGTTGGTAATACAAGCAAGCTTAATAACGAACAGGTAAACATTGATTGGGGGACGCGAGTTATTGAAAAGTTTCTTGCAGATTCAAGCTTTGGGTTACGTGGAAGAAGAGTCAGAAATTGTAAAGCAGCAAGAGAAAACGCTCAAATCAGAAATTACGTTGTTAAGGTCCAAATTGGCTAATTGTGAAACTGAACTGTTGCAGTGCAAGAATAAAATGAGGTAATCAATTTTGTATAAGTTGTATGTGGCGAGTGAATCTTAAGGTTACAAATTTTGAGTTTTGTACAAAAATGATTGCAACACCTAATCACTTGCTATTTTACTAATTATGCAGGTTGGTAATGGAAGAGTTACAACTTGAACAAAGGGTACAGTCACGTCGTAACGACTCCCGAAAACAATTGGAAAAAAGTTTTCTTATGGAAGTGGAGCGTTTACAGAAGGATATCGAAGCAGCTAAGCAGAGTACTGAGTTGCATCATTTAACGGCAGACACCTTAATTAAAGAGGTAGGTAAAACTGTTTTTATGAAACAAAGGCTTCGTTTTGTGTAAGTGTGTAGGTGCAGACAAATATGATCCTTCATGTATCTATTAAACATTGATGGTAAAATTTACTATAAGCTAGGACACAAAAGAGCAACTCCCTAGTAAAACTCAAAAGGGAAACATGACCGATCCAACTATTTATTGCCGTTTTAAGAGATTTACACATTTTATGCTAGGTTGCAGCTTTAGAAGTTGCAATAATTGAAAAGAAAAAACAGCTAGAGCATCTCGTTCACGAGATGAAGGAAGCCAACCTACAAAGTTTGAGTATCGCGCCGCCGGACGAGCTTAGACATATTTTCGAAGGTCCAAACCGAGCGGGAAGTACACGGAAAATGATTGGTTCCCCGCGTCAGTTAGAGAATGCCGTACCTACTAATAAAAATCCGCACGGCGTGTGGGTTTAATTTAAGTAGTTATTCGCTAGTTTTTGTGATAAATGATAATATGTAATAGTTATAGGAGAAAGTTACCATTTGGTACAGATGAGAGTATTCGCTTGATTTAATGGCAGCAATACAGAAAATACATGGGATAGAGTTTTTCGAAATTCTGAATGTTATGATATTGCAAATATAGCAAATGTTATTTAGTTGTTCAGATTTAAAGGAATTTATATATCAGTATAATAGTTAATGATCTTTCGAATATATCTCACCTGAGATTAGCGATTTGCATCAAGTTGTTTTTGAGAAATTTGAAATAAAGGCCTCTAATACAGCGTACACATGGGATCTTTACGAATTGCAGTATTACTAAATTACATGTTGTGTCTTCCAGTTTTAAATTATGCGGTTTCAAGAAGAAATGTGATCTTTTGTGCAATCTTAAAGAAACAAAAGAGAACACATTATTATATCTTAAAAAAGTTCTTTTAGATATTAGGATCTCAGTTTTTTGAAGTCAGAACATTTGACTAATGGCACTAATTTTCAAAATTTTCGATGTTAGTCTGTTCCTTCCACTTAGGGTTTTGCGCTCTCAGATAGTCTTACACTCAGGATAGTGCCATGAGGCACGGAGGGACTATTGATACTGTAAAAAAAAAGGTGTAGCATTCCTCAGTTGCAATTGAGCACTGTTTTGATCGGTATCAACCAATCAAGAACCAGACTAAAACACCAATGAAGTGTGTATATTATGTCGGCCATAGTATCCGAATAATAATCCATCAATTTACTAATTTAGTGCCTTCAAAATTATAAAAATCATTTTTGAATTTTGTAATGTTTTTAATGAAACTTATAAATACAATTCAAAAGTTAAAAGTGATATGTTGGTTTTAATTTAAAAGTATGGTTGTATTGAGCAATATTAATCTAGTTAGTAAAATATATATTTCAAACGACAGTGCTTAAATTTTAACTTCCAACATACAAATCTCCTACGTTCAAATATACAAGTCAAATATGCAACCTATCTTACGTAGTTTTTTACTGTTATGCAAATGTTTTTCAATAAACTCAAGATGTGAATTATTTATTAAATTCAGATTACACAAAAGAAGAAAAAATGGAAATGTTTCTGATGTATTTCAATATCCACAGGATTTATTTGCTGCCCGAGAAGCGAATTCCGTAAATTCACAACAGCATTAAAACATGTCGTGTTGATGGCTGAATTGTTAATGAACATTACACCAGAAAAAGGACTTATCATATATCAAATGAGTAAAATTCTAGTAACTGAAAAACCATTATAAAACTACTTTAAAGACAGTTACACATTAATAAGTTGAATCTGCTTAAACAAAATTGGCCAAATAACTACTGGCAAGTTTCTTTTGTGTACACTGCTGTTAAATTTGTGAGTAAGTTGGGTTGCATAACTGTCAGGCATATCAATAGTACATTGACTTTTATATTTAAGAATTAAACATGGGAAATTTGTGTGTTCAAAAGTTAAAATTTACGCACTACTACTATGCGATCAAAAATGAGTTGCTGTCGAGTCACCTTTGGAATTGTTGTTTTCATGGTAAATTGTACTTAACTTAAATTTCCAAAGGCGACTCGACAGTAACTCATTTTTGATCGCCCGTTACAAGAAAAGCACTTAACTGAAGAAGTAATGGAATTACTGTGCAAATGCGACATCGTTTAATTTCATAATTAATGTTAACCGGTTTTGCACAACCATTTTTATGTAGATGTATGTTGCTCTATTTATGATGTGTAGTGCAAAGTGCAATATGAGGTATCTCATTCTCAGACATTGATTTGATGCAAAGTTTTGCTAAAATAATAAGATCTTACAAGGTTGATGGAATTGCAGTAAAAATCAGGCAAGTCAGTAAGAAATATTGGATACTACTAATGTTCCAAATGATGAAAACATTTATTTTAGATATTTTAAGTATTTTATTAATCGGTGTTCCAAGCAGATATCCGGCTTTAGGTGATTTCCCTTAGGAGGGGAGAGCAGTCGGTGCTGAATCTAGATGGCACATTTAAAAATCACCATAAATCTTGTTGGAAATTTAAATCGATCACTTGATTTTAAAAATGCTGGTTATAATAAACTAAACAGTTCAACAACTATAAAGAGAACTGCTGAATAGAATAGATATGTGAAAAACTATTACTGTCCAATCCCACGTGCAAGGGGCCTGCAGTGGCATAAGTTTAAAGGGAACTTTAGGTTAAGCACTGCTTAAAGTTCATGGCGTTTATGACAGTGGTTCGCTACCGTAAGCTCACGCAATTTTTTCCGTAAATAATATACCTACACTCGATTAGTAGAGTTGTCACACTCTGCGATAAATTACAGGTGGCCCTCTTAACTGCGTTAACGGCTCGACGCGATTTCGAATAAAATGAAATAAAATCCATCCTATGAGGTGGTTACCTTAACTTCGCTCACATCCAATGTGAAATTATCGATCAGTAATCAAACAGCCTGCCCGACGCGAATTTTAACACAAAATAAAATCCTCTCTACAGTAATTTACAGGAACTTAACTTAAAACATCTCAACTTCCCTGATAAGTTAGCAAATCTCGACTGCAAAACAAACAGAATCTTTCCCTGTTAATTTGAACTAACCACGTCATATCGGCGTCGCAAGTTTTCAAACGAATTTTCAAAGGCAGGACCGTATGTAGGACCACTTGCCCACATACATCACTCTTGATATCTAGCATGGCCCAATTTACAAAACTGCGCAACTAAAAAAAACAATCTAGACCCTAAAATGGAAGAATCCACTGACCAAATTTGAACTGTCCTATACAAATTATGAAATCTTAAACCACGTTGCATTTTAGTTTCTGTAATTGTAAATACGTTCCTATTCAATTCGCTATTTAAAATGGATAGGCAAAAAAAGGACGTTATCAATATTGCAAAGAACTTGCAAGATGAGCGACATATAACTGTGGAATTGTTGAATACACTTTTATCGAAGTGTCGTTCACAAATTTAGTAGTAAAAATCCACAAACACCTTTCGCCCTCCAAACTTCAGCGCTAGGGTTGCGGCTCACTTTCTGTCGTTTAGTTTTCTATGACACGCAATCTCTTCTGGTGGTAGGGTTATTCTTTCCCACCCCCTACATGCGTAAATATACAGGGCGATTCACGTAGCTCTTTCGTTAAAAGTTTTTAAACATGCAGTTGAAATAGAAATTTGAACTTTGGTTGAGAGCCATAATTACATTGCGAATTGAAATAGTATACAGTGATATCCAAGTAGATGTAGACATAGGGATACTACAATACATTATTATATATACTCGATGCAACATGGCCGCCGACCTCAACAACCAATCAAAAATTAGACACTATTGTCGCCACTGTGTGTATAAAGTCGATCGAAAATTCAAATTAGAAGTAGGCAACACACAATTCTCATGTATGATATGTGTTGCGTACAATATTAGGCTGATTCAAATTTAAGGGCCAACATGGGAATCTCGGAAACTGTTAGAGATAGGTAGGTAGTTTAAATTTGGCAAAGTTGCGTATTTTGATGCTTAACAAAATACCGTTTTCAAAAAGGATATTTCCGACTACTTTTGGAGATATTTTGTAAAAAACAAAATTTTGCAAAATCGTATTTATTTTTTCCCGAAATTATTTAAAACGATATTTCAAAATAAATGACACATTATCATGGCCACTTTTTTCTCTCTACAAGATGTTAGTTTTAAATTTTAAGTCTGACATTTAGTCTCCAGTTAACCATCATCTTGTTTATGTTTTTATGGTAGTCATTTTTACTTTTTGTGTCATTTAATAGAGCATTTTTGTATGATTTCAAAAATGTAAATATTACTATTTTTTAATAATAAATGGCACTATTAATTGGTAAAAATGCAAGAAACTGTGATCATACACTACCCAAGACAAGGTTTACCATGCAAAAAAGAAGATATTTTAACAATACATATTTACAAATAGTGATGTTTACATTTTTGAAATCTGAAAAAAATGCTGTTATCATTTGGGGCCGGATGAAGGTGCTGATGAATATTGGAGAGAAACCTGCGATGCTATATGGATCTAAGTGTCCTGAGGCCACTGAAAGACCTATTATTACTCCAAAGATAAACTTCAGGTACCTACTCAATTTTTGAGGCCAAGTGGACCATGCAGACGAGAAAGTGCTAAAGATAGTCTCAGTGTATAGTCTAGTTCACTAACCGCCCATCTCTTACTGAGAAAAATATGACTTTTCATAAGAAAGCATCCACTTTGGCCAATTCAAGAATTGAGCCAAGGATGAATGTAAACCATTTTTAGATGGACATATTTTTTCTCTTTTCAATTACTTCAGTTTGCACGTGATGAATACGATATCAAAGAGTAATTATAGTTACTCTTTGACGATATTCAAAAAGTAAGCACATTTGTCAAGAGCCAAAAGTAATATTTTTTTTTACTGTGGCTTAATAAGAGCTTGCTTAAGGAGCTACAGATGAGCAACAGTAAATTCTATCAATCTTGTAGAGTTCTTTTAGTTGTAATTCCTACTGTGTAGGTGGTACCTATGTACTTAAATAGTATTACACGTGTTACAAATGGTATGTCAAATATTTACCAGCTATGGTGCGATAAGTTATGCCATTCCGAGCTAGTTTTAAGTGTTATTTATTTTCTAGGTGATTGGTAGTATTGTACACCCTTGTCATCACATTTTGTGATTTGTATTTTTTTTAATTTTTACACTAAATGTGTACCACAAGTACTTAATTTTAACCACTGCCATATAATATGTTATCTATACAGAATCTTTTAGTGCGAGAAGTTTTATTTATAAATAAAAAAACAAGTCAATATACTTAGCATTTAATAATGAAGCATATTTATTATATTAGAAAAATTTGTAGAATAAAAATAAATATAAACTATGTCTTTTCTTCCTTCTCCTTGTTATACTTTTCAAGTTCGCGTAAAAATTGAGCTTTAGGTTTCATAACATTTGGTCTATCCCCCCTGCATTTCGGACAGAACCATTTACCTTTCGGTTTCGTCGTTAACGTAACACAAGAAAAGTGGAACCACTCGATTGGGCACAAGTCATTGTCGCACATGATCATTTCTCCGAACGAAATCTGATCACATAGACAATAAGTTGGTTCATCCGGATCGATCACGGGCTCCTCCTCTCTTGGTGGCGATTCTTCACGTTGCGCTGTTTGATTCTGACGTGATTTCCGTTTCTTTTTCTTGCCCGACACTGTAAATCACATGTCAAAATCAGATTTTTAAAATAGGAAAAGTTACCGTGTGTTTTCTTAGTTTGTACAGTAGCGCTTGTCGAGGTTGAAGCAACTTGACTTCTTAATACGTGTTCGACGGCACCAGATTCGTTTTGATTGGCGTCGACGCTGGTGAATGTATCGTGACGAGTCCGCCGGGCACGTTTTGTTGGACGCTCATTATTGGTTAAGGATGGTGTGCTCGCAGTATTATTAGCAGGCGGTAGCTGTTCTTTGTTTTCAGTCACAGCTGGCTCTTCCTTTCCAAAATCTGTTCAAATATGATGGGTGAATCGATAATGCAATAAGAAATTTACCCAAGTTTTTATGATCTTGATCGAGAAGACGTGTTTTTACTTCAATTTTATCAAGAATTGTTTGCAGAAGGCTCATTTTTTCATCCCCCAATTCCTGTGCGGCAATGAGAGCTTGTTGCATTCTTATAAAAGCCCTGGTTTTCTTGGAAGAATTTTCTGTTCCCAAACTTTTGAAATATTCTGTTTGATTTTCAGCTTCTCTCACGTGCGCTAAAGTAAATATTTATAAAAAGAGGTGATTAGAATGCAAAGATGAGTTTGTACCTAAATAGTAAACATCCAACTCTCTCATTCTTGAAATAAGTCTTTGAAGATCATCTGGAAGATTTTCAACGCAATCTAAGTAATTTTCCACATACGTTGCCGAGTATACGGCTTCCACAGACACCTGGTTCAACATTTTCCAGTAAAGTTACTTATTTTAAAAGTCTACATATTTCAAAAGTGAAAGATGAAATTTGTTGGTTAGAAAGCTGGTGTTTGACATAATTGGTAAAAGGTGGCGCCGCAAGGAAGTGGCTATTATAGCTTACTGCGGAGGTCAATGACTCTGTGACTACTTAACCGCCTCAAAGGTGTAGCATGATCTTTGCTGGCATCATTGAACTGTATGTTACGTTAGTATACAGTTGAATGGCTGGCATGTGAAAATATAATTTTTCTACAACTGTCAAAAAAACCTGTCATTTTCTGACGGATTTCGAAACGCGAAGTACTAGATTTTTAAACGGTTAATTAATAAGTAAGGTTGCTATTGACAACGTGCGCGAAATCATCAACAGTGAAAATAGTATATTGAAAGACAAGTTTTACAACGCGACCTATTGTAATACGACTATCTTGTGGCACGAGTGGCTACGCTTCGCGTCGCCACTCGTGCCACAAGATAGTCGTATTACAATAAAGCATTGTAACACGCGTTTTTCATACTATTTTTTCTATTTCGGTGCTTTAATTTAATTAAAAAAATCATTATCATAAACTATAGGGAACATTAGAACTAACACTTTTTATGCCGTTAAGTTTTAGGTTGGCAGCGTAGTAAGACTGACATTTTGAAGTTCAAACACGGAAGTACCCAACGAAGTACCTACTTGTACTAACTAGTAACTGCCAACTTAAGAGATGAGTTACCAAAAAAAAAAACGACTATAATCACTGTCTTTGTACAACTGTTTTAGGCCGAAAACATTTGTACAAAATCATCATTGTGACACCGAAATAGAAAAAAAGTATTTCGCGCACGTGACAAAGTTGAACTTAAACAGCAATTTTAATTAACAATCGGTTCAGTTGTAGAAGAAATATTGTATATAACGCTAGCGCGAAGTTATTTCGCGCATTTGACTGATATTTTGACGCGGCTTCGCCTCGTCAAAATACCTTCAGTCTCAATCATATATACTCTTATATATATGGTCTCAATGCGCGAAATTGAACTTCGCGCTCTTGTTATATAAATAACTATTGTTGTGACCACAGACAGTGTTACAGTAACTACTTAACCAGATACTCTTGATTACAGTGTTGTAATATACCTAGGTATTTGTATCTAGGTACTTTTATTGTATCTAAAACCTGCTCTAGATACATTACCATGAAAGTATATTTACTTATACCTAATGCCTTTTGAATAGATACCTAAGTACCTAAACAACTATAGGTACAAAGGTACATATTTTTTAAGTGTACACCAATTTAATAAATACAATTATAAAAATTGAAAAAAATGTACATTGTGATTTGGACTTTGGAGAATTTGAATTATGGAATTTGAATTTGAAAAGTCTCGAAAACCTCTGATGCTGGATATATGGAAATGTGGTAACAAAGGACGTAAATTTTCATGTAGATTTCAAAAATGCAATAAAATACAGGGTGCTCAATCTAAAATAAGACAGTTGGCATTGACGTCCGGTTAGTGATGTGGATTGTAAAATAACGATTTGTAAGTTACATAAAAAACGGTTATATTACGCGTAACTTACAAGAGGTCGGTTTTTTATGTAATTTATGTCTTTTATGAAATTTACGTAACTTACGTTTTTTATGTAAAAAACCGTAATTTTTGTAAGTTACATAAATGTAATACCTATTTGATACATTTTGATCGGTACTACCACAGACCATCAACGGTACTACCAACGTAAACGATTCACCGTTGAATCTAGTTAAGTTTAATGAAGATGATACAGCATCTAATTCGCGATCTGGAACTTCTTCCTCCAAACGATGCGTGATGGCGAAATACCTACTGTTTGGGTATTTTATTTAATACACCAAAATATATAATTTAACAAGTGTTTTTGTTTTCAAACACACAAAATTCAAAAAGGTTTATGGAGTATTAAAAAAAACATAAAAAACATAAATGACAGGTAATTTTACAAAAATATTTGTAAATTACGTAAAAAACATAAATTACTGGTAATTTTACTGTAAAATTACGGTTTTTTTTAAAATGGTAAGTTACATAAATTACATAAAATACATAAATTGGTAATTTTACACGTAATATTACGCACTTTAAAAAAACGTGTAATTTAACATCACTACGTCCGGTAGAATCGCAAATGAAACGATCATGATAATATTTTCTTTCCATAGATCATGAAGCACAATGCAAATTTTCAGATTGAATTATTAATTAGGGCCTGAATACTTTTGGATAACGGGTTGGCGTGAAACAGCCTGTATATTCACAGTTGGAAGGAAATTATAAACAACGCCATCTATCTTTCAAGAAAAAATGATAGACGTTTCGCGCTACTTTTCAAAATCGGTTTATGCGAGGAATAGTACACGGCGAAGTTCATGATTTATTTATTTTATTTATGAGTTCAGTTTGATGACAGGCCAATCTTTTATAGTAATTATTTCACCCTTTCGTGGTTGAAATTTGATGATAATCAAAGGAACAATTTTTTGTAGTTGGTACCTAGCAAGTGCGACACGTCACTCCATGGCCAACCAGTTTTTACCAATTTTTAGGATTTTTAATTTAATTTTTAGGCTTGCATGAGACCTCACAGTTGCCTATTTTTATGTCATCCGATGGATATTTTAAGTAATTATCTATCCGTGAATGTTTTTATTTTTCGTGTAGGATGAAATGGGGAGCAGGAATTGTTGAAAATGTAGGTATTTTCCCATCTTATTTTCCTATGTGTCGCCGTCAACTTGCCACGCTGTACCTAAGGACGTAACACATAATTTTTAAGGGAATGAAACAAAACTAATGGCCGTTTGCACCGAAAAAGTTAAGCTGAGCTTAGCTAAGCGTAGCTTAAAATCCATGGCAACCATTGTTGCAATAATCGTTTCCATGGATTTTAAGCTACGCTTAAGCTAAGCTCCGCTTAAATTTGTCGGTTCAAACGGCCATTAGAGTTTTGTGCTTAAGAAAAGACAAGAAAAACGAAATATATTGCGCACGATGCTTGGCACCGTTAAACCAAAAAGACAGGAAAAAAATGAACCCGCAAGAAAAAACCGGGCATATAACTGACAAATTAATCATTTGCGGAAATCGGGCACCATTAATTTAAACAAAGTGCAGGTGTGAATGCAAGTAGTATCCAAGTAGATTTTCACACAAACAGACCCACATACTAAAGAAGAAGAAAATTTCATTATACGACCCCCCTTCTCGTATTGCTAAGACACAAGAGCTGTAGTCTGGATGAGAAGAGATACAGGGAAGGATCAAAGTTGTATGAGGTGCAGTCTCTCTACGGTCTCCTACACATCATAAGAAAAAAACATGATTCGGATAACGGTATTCAAACAATAGCTTGGAGCACACCAGGCTTCAATAAACGATGTCAGCATGTAATGCAAAATGTAAATACAACAACTAATTGTAACATAAAATTCAAAGATTGATGGTGATACGAGAAATAATAAAAGAATTGCTACCTCTACATTTTTCAAACCAAAATAAAAAAATAATAATGGTGAGTAGAAAAAAATATGCTCACAGAGCTTCGACTAAGTACGAGACTGGGTACAAATAAGTAAATGCATTGAAATGATTGAGATCATCAATGTAAAAATGAATTTCAACACAATAATGTTACTTACACCATTTTGCCGAAGCAGAGGGAGCTAGCACGTGAAAAGGTTGCTGAAAAACTTTGTAAAACTTACCGCAATAGAAAACGTCTAGCGACAACGAACGGAAGAAAATGGGTTATTATAGAATAAAACATAGAGCGTAACACGGGTATTGAAATTTACGGTTACAAAAGTGCCCGTTGAGGTAGATGGGTACCTGGCTTCTTAGAAATCCATCTAGTATTTACTAATTTACCTGAAATATGGATGCTAATTGTCTAAACGAGAATGGTCTCGTCACAAATAGGTGAGCTGTATAAAATGAGTACCTAAGTAACAAGCGGAACTTTATAGTGGAAATAATAAATAAAGATTAAGTAATAAAGCCCGTATCTTTATACGAACCGTCAGAAAAATCGTAAGAGCTTTACGAGCACGTACAGCAAATCCCACCACAATATATATCATGTTTTCAGTTTTCACACATCGGAATCAAATTGTATTATAGTAAAGTCAATTGCGAGGATAGTTTTTCAACTGCACTATTAAAAATTAATTGATGCATATAGTCTTGCAAGCAATATTGGTGCCCTGAAACACGAGCTTCTGTCCATATTTGTAGTGTAAATAACTTCATTAATAAGCTTAATTAACAATGTAGGGATTAATGTACATAATCTATGGCAAAGTCCTATATCCTAATCATGTCGCCCATAAATAAAATCGATCTTAATAATAGCTTGCGTTTGCATCAGATTTTAGTTGAATATAAGAGCGGCAATTATCCTCATATTCGATGAGGATCTTATAAAATTTGGTAGCTAGCTTCTTTTTGCAGTATAATATTTGAATTTATAATTATCAATTCAATGGTATAATCAATGGTATAGAGGTAATGTATAGGTAATGCATCTGGAGTTAAATTTAATACTACTGCAAAATCCTTTGTAAACATAACTTTACGGTTTCGGGATTTCCATTTGCGTCAGGAATGTTAAAATAATCAAAACTCACATAAAAATTTAATAAACCCCTAAAGCAAATCCAAAAAGCGGCAGAGCACCTCGGTGTGACTCTATGGGGTCATTGGATTTGACCCATTTTCAATAGGCTTATTGGTTGTGGCATATAGGTCAACTGTGCAAAGTTTGAACGGAATCGGTTCAAGCGTTTGACAGTTATCGTGTTCACAGACGGACAGACGGACACAATCGATTCTCCTATAAAGCTTGCATCGCTTTGTCCTGCTGCTCCCAGTGGCGTAACTACAATGCCTCAAAGGTACGCAATGAAGACGGGCCCCGACTTAAAAGGGGCCCCGGCAAGAAATGTACAAAACATTTAATTCGTTTATAAAAAATTCTGGAAAAAAATTGAAAAAAACGAAGGGTCATGCACATGCTTCCTTTTACAGTTTATAGTTACAGTCCGAAGAAAATTTTGAATCATTGTTCACGGAGGGTAAATATAGGTGAACAATCTCCTTTCCAAATCCAGAAGGTATCTGGAGGTCCTGGATATAGTAAGCTTACTGAAGTTCTATTTCGAGATGAATGCCGCTAAGTAATTTTAACACTCCAACATTTACCTCTACACGGAGGTACCAGATCGAGTAAAAAAGGCAGATTCATACACAAAGTCGCTAATCAAACGTTTAAGCATCGAAGGAAATGGCCAATATAAACAAATCAAAATAAGGATAACATTTAAAGTGAAACAATTAAATAACAAACAAATTCAGGGGTTACCTACCCATAGTTACAAATAGCTGAAGTCAAATAAAATTAAGGACATTATTACCTTTTGTTATGGCACAAATACTACACAAAGCTTGACAATTAAAGTTCGAACAAAATCAACTGGATTCTGACTGAACGCAGTGACGCTAAATTTTACAATGGACCTGTGATTTGTGAACCAATGAATTACAAAATGCAAAATCAGCAAAGCTAAATCAAGACACTATTTTCTATATGTACACATTAAAATTGCTGATATAAGGAAAGGGCCCCCAAATGTTTCTGAAGACGGGCCTCTAAAATGAAGTTACGCCACTGGCTGCTCCATAAAAGAGCGGAGGCAATGGGTTCCTTGGAATGTGGCAGGCGGAGGCAGTTTCCAATCGTCGTGTCGTACAGTAGGTAGTTACATCCTCAATAGCGGGAAAACAGAAGCCATCACTGTCTCTTCTTCGGAGGAATTATATTTCATACTCATCCTGGGAATTGCTTTCCATCACAACCTCATAAATCACTATCGATAACGCCACTTTTTTCAAAAATGTTTATGAAGCATTTTTAAATTTTTTTTCCGTGAATTAAGTGAGCGCAAAAGTTTCTTTGAGATTTCAGATCTCTAAGTGATCTTTTTGGGGCCTCAAACATTGATATTGACTAAAAATCGCATTAATTTTTAATTGATTGGACATTGGAGGTGATTTGACGCGAATAATCAATCGTACCACATAGAACGCAATATGTGCAGTAGCAGTGCCTAAAGATATAATTTTAAAATCTCCATTTAATTTAATGTAATGAATGAATAGGGCAAGGCGAAGGTGGGATACGGACAAATATCTATCAGAGCGAGGCGAGGCGGCGAATCATGTCTTATGAAATCCAATCAGTGAGTGCTGATGTTTGACAGGGATTTAACGTCCCTGTGTCCTTTTTTGTTGTTCAAAAATCGCATTAATTTTTTTATACATTGAACACAGACAAACCGCATACCTACATATTACCTATAACGGAAGGCCGGAAGAGAAAAGGAATGTTAACGTTGAACGTTTGTTAAGAGGGGCACTCCTGCCGATAGATGGGGAAAGAGTAGAATATCGCATTTTACTCATTCGTAAAAAATGTATTTGAATGCTTAAAATTTAGGTGAAGTTCTATTCTTTCGCCATTTATCGGCAGGAGTGCTCCTCTTAAAGCACACGTCAGTGGTGTATTCTCGTAAAAGTTTAGCTTTTTCCAGAAAAATTGCAACACAATAGAATCTGGCTCATATCTTAGGCACTCTGGATTATACGAGACGAAAAGCGAAAACAAAAAAAAGAGCCACCAATTGCAGGTTGGAAGTGGGGAACATAATCACGTTATCACGATGGTGGCGACTCTGATGACTACCGGAAAAATTACTCGCTAAAAACGGACCCTTAAATCCAAAAATATTTACCTCAATAACTGACGAATTCGGCGTGTTCTGTAGCGCATTTAAATTGACTTTTTTGCTTTAACCTAACGCCAAATTCTGTCCGTCCTGACCCACTTCTGTGTTGAACTACTTTTAGGGGAATTTTTGCTGTCTTAAGACCCCTCCACTCTCATAAATTATTTCTTGAGATGCTGTTTTTGAAAGTAAAACGTACATAACTTTCGTATGCGACAACCAATTGCTCTGATTTTGCGCATGCATGCCTTTAGTGGTTCCCAGTAAAACTTTTGAAAATGGGTGGGGGGGGGGGTGAACCACACGTTCTAACCTTCATGGTATGAACTGTTTTTACCAACTACCGCCCTTCTTTCTGACCACTTATCAAAAGGAAAGGGGGGGAATTGGTTTTATTCTTCATGGTACTCTAATGAAAGGCCTTCTCAACGAATGGAATTAGTTATGTCAAAAATTTAAGCGAATATCTCGAAATGGTTTGTCGGAGGAAAATACTCTCAAAGGCAAAATGAATCGTCTGGACGAGACATATCTATTGGCGAGGTCGAAGCGAATATCTTGAAAACGAAGTGTCGGAAGAGGGTACTCATAAAGGGCAAGTGGAAGTTCGGGAAGAGACATATTGGTGATGTCAAAACTTTCAGTGTAATGCAGAACGGAGTAACGATGGAGGGTACTCCCAAAGGGCGGAAAGATCGTCTAGGCGAGAGACATCCACGGACAATGTAAAAACTTAATTGTGAATATCTCGAAAATGTTGGAGGAAGATACCTCCAAGGGAAAATGCAATATTTCGGGGAAGTTATCTAAAAGTTTGTTTCTTGCACTATATAGCGTAGATTTTGAATGTATGCCAGGTGGCCTTTAAATGTTTATGTGTAAAGAGTCCCCCCTCCATTACTACTAAAAAGGAAACATTGCTAAGCCGGCCTGTGTGGCGCAGTGGCATGGAAGCCCGACTGCGACACTAAGGGTCCCGGGTTCGAATCCGGGTTCGAGCATGGATATTTGTAAGTGCATAGTAGGTTGGGTTGGTAGAGCAGCTCTTGGCTGAAACCCCACCCATTTAACAATAAATACCAGAAATAAATAAGTAAATAAATAAATAAATAAATAAACAATTAATAAATAAATATAGTATGCTACTACCTAATTATAACCAACTATTTACTAAGTTATTTCGGTTTTTTAAAAAATGCGATTTATCTGCACTCTCTGGAGACGAATTACAACGTGATGTGAATGAAAATAGTTTTGGGTCCCCTTCCTCTTCCTCCATCTTATAAGCGGAAGAAGCAAGCTTTTTAGGGAAGTCAATGGTGTTTGTTTGTAAACACGATAACTGCAAAAACATTCTGTTCTTAAAAAACATTTACAAAAAAGTAAATCAGACTCGAAAGGGAATAGGTATTAGTGAATGCAATCGTAATTGACTGCACGAAAACCTCGTACCAAATTATGGGATTTGTTCCTTTCTGTAGGCGCTACCCACGCAGATGAAAATTTGCCCCTTGAAAATTGCTGGCGACGGCTGTCCATAATGTGCTATTACTGTGAGCTTCCCGTCTATTGGGATTCTCCGCTGTACGTAAAAGAAGTAGCTGTGATTGGTCGGCGGTCTACCGTGCAATAAGTTCTAATTTCTTCGTTAAACGAAGAGGCTGCCTAAAGATAGTCTGAAGATGAAGATGCTAAATCTTCTCTTTGTGGAGCGATGGGAGGAATTGTAAGTCCTTTTTAGATATTCAATGGGAAACACAATTGAGTTCATCTCATAAACGCAGCTGCAATTATTGCGCGAAAAATTGCATCTTCTAATACTGCCCTACTGGCTGGACGATTAGAGCCCTTCCCCTAGCATCCTTAGGTTCATCTCACGACTTGAGTGATGTTGAAGGGTCGGGCGACTCTAGTCAGAAGATAGTACAAAAAGCCCGAATATGAGGCCAAAGTACGTGTGGACTTTGTCTTTTGCTTTCGAGATACATTAGGAATTTCTGACTTTACGTCGACTTTTCCAAGTCGAAAAGTCAGATAGGTTCGAAGTTCTGAGTTTAAGTTGAGTTTCCGTGTGCAAGTCGGAGATTACAAAAAAAATTACTTAGGGGTGGTTTTACGCTTTTGTAATTATCATCAACTATAAATTTTAATTGCAGATTTGATTGGAGCTCGTCATCATATCAATAATTTCTCTCACTTTTCTAAGGACCCGTTTATCTTTTCTCAGTTAAGCTTATCTGGTAGATCATTCTGTTAGTAAAGATGTTACAATTAAACAATTAATCATGCGTTGATTACCCTTGAACATAACTACTTTCTACTTTGACAAAAATGGAATTTGGGTTTCGTTACGTACAAAACGAAAAGTAATTTCTCTATTTTTAAATTTCCGCCGTTGTAGACGAGATGTGGGTTGAATGCGGCGAGTACAATTTAAGGCAATTATGACTATCTATTTCGTAAGACACATAAGAAAATGGGTTGCTCAGAGGTTTTACGTGGTAAATGTTAATTCTTCCCTAATTGATGACAGAATGGAAAATTAATTGCGCACATCGCGATTTCAAAATACTCTCCAAAAAATATAAATTTGCGAATTGCGCAAAGACATTGCACCAATCGCGTTGTTCTTCCCCCTCCTCGATCGTAGGCGACACGTAAGGATAAAGGCATGAAGAGTTATCCTGTTGGGACTCTGTTGTGTTAACGCCTGCTAACCTGCAACACATCGTACCAGTAGATGGTTAAAATATACTTCGCTATTCACACGTTTGTTTAAGGTAAGCGAAATTTTATTTTTGACGTTTTTGATTTAAATTCAAAATTAGTTCACGTCAGTGCATGCTTTTAACTGGTTTCATTGAAGTTTCCACTTGCGTTTATTAGTTGCATTTCAAAGGATGCGGAGATACGCAACATACGATGATAGAGCTTTTAAGATGTTTATTTAAAGCTCACTTTAGGGATCTACTTTACATATAATATTCCTTTTAAATGAATTTTGCGCGTTTTATACTCAAAGCATTGAATAACTAACCCATTACTATTCAAGTTTAAACTTTCGCAACATCTTTGCCTATGACAATTTGGATGTCTTTCCTGAATTATTTCGCCTCTTTAGGCTGTGCGGTAAAATATAGTATTACGCCGTTGTTTGTTCCGCATGCAAATGGACTGAATGAAATTTGGATTTTGTTATATATTGTACCTCTTTTGTATATGTACAAGTCTAAATATGATTGAGTAACTACAATCGTAGTACAAACCTAGAAACCAGGCACCTCCCGAGCTTATAATGTTCAGTCAGTGCTAAAATACCAATAAATATTTTTAAATGGGATCAAATTTGCCGTGTTTCATCTGACTTAGGAAGGGCAAAATCTTGATTCTCAATAAATTTGGAAACATTTTGAAACAAACTAAGGTCTTGTGAAACTGAATGTAATTTACTTAGAAAAAATAAGCACTACAGCTTGTGTTATTTCAAATATCTTTTCACTGCAGTCAACATAGTCTTTCTGTATAAAAGCAATGAGTGTTCCTAAAAGAACGCTGGGTATAAGAAAAATTATTATTTTTAGGTTACCGCATATTGGTAATTTATAGGTTAGAGAAGATTCTTTGGCAAAACTTTCGCAATTTCGAAATTTATGACATGATAGATTTACCGAATTGCTACAACACAAACATATATGTACAAAAATGTGCGCCGAGAAGATCCCTCGTTGCGAAATAAGTCCTTTCCTTTAAACGAATTGAAATAGAATGGAATTAACCGCGAATATATTGAAATAACAAAAAAAAAGCGCCGCCAGAAACAATTTCCTTGCTTTACATTTACTAAAAAATAATAAAATATAGAACAATAGATTGTGCATGAGCCTTATATTTTATAACATAATACATACCTTCCCAACATATGGAAGCTATTCCATAATGGATTAAAACAGTACGATAGACAAGTTACTTGCGTTACTGTTACAGTTCATCTTTTTCATACCTGAATCTGAAATCATCGATTATTCTGTAATTGATCAACTGCACGATATTAATAAGGAATGCTTAATGTAACTACTTGTGTAATGGGCTATTTCGTAAGAAAAGGTTGAACCCTTCGTTTAACAAAGTTTTGAAATTAATTGCATATTGAAAATAATTTAAGTTCCAAATAATTTTCACGTTATAGCCTGGTCAAAGTACACAAAATATCCGTAAAATGCAGCAAAAAGTAAAAACCTTTTGGAAATTCAAATTTAGGTAGTTAAAAGGATTGTGCTTAATATGAGAAAATCTTTACCAATTTAGGTAAGCAATTTTCCGGAAGAACTTTGGTCGAAAATGTTATTTGTTTTTTCACTCTAATTGTTTAAATAATGAAAATACAGAAAAATATTCAAATCAAAAATTATAGCCAATGCATTTACCTTCAAAATTTGTCTGAAAAGTTTTCTGATAACTTCATTAGTTTTTGAAACATACCAAATTTTCCTAAGAGTATTTTTAAACATCATCAATTTTCAAGTTTTTAATTTTAAGATAGTAAATAAACAATGACACGTAGAAACGTAGAGTTTTCATTTATTAATCATATCGAAATCAATCAGTATCATTCATAGAAGCAGCTGCCAGCGGCTTTTAACCTGCTTTTTCACCTTCATTCATACTCCCTTCTCTTTCATAGCTGAGGCATAGGTGTGTTCATATGTATCGCGATTACTTCTCTATACAATTACTACCAAGCTGGCAAAAGTCTGAATAATATATGAGCACAGCACTGAATAAAGCTATGTTAGATTTTCTAAAAGACGTCTGATTTTAGCACTTATTATAAATAATTGTCTATTATTTAAAAAATTTGATATTTACAGAAAAACTGTATTAAGTTTTGAAAGTATATACTTCAAAGTATTTACAGATTAAGTTTCATTGAAATATATTAACTTTGTCAGTTTTTTCAGTGCATCACAACCTTCAAATTATTAACTTTTAAATCAAGCCTTTAATAAATTCGGCTCACGGAACGTTCGCGCGCACCCACGAATCGACTTCCGCTGAAATCAATTATATCTCGTACACTTTTCAATTTACAGAAAAACTTTTCAGACAAATTTTGTGGATAAATGCATCAGCTGCAAATTGTAATTAAAACTTTTTTCCGTATATTTAATATTTAAACAATTAGAGTGAAAAAAACAAAAACAAAATTTTTCACTCGACAATTTTCCGCTTACCTATCTTCGTTATTTTTGCTTCGAAATTGAAGTTGACGTCGAAAGCCGTGATTTGCGAACCACTCAGTTTAATGCACTTTGATATTTTTAGTATAATTGGAGAAAATCCTCAGTAAGCACATGCACCAAAAGATGCCACAGACGTCTACCACCTAGTGTACCACAATGAGCCGAATGAACTAAATTTTCTATTGGTTCCATTGATCAGATGGTTTTAAGATTAATCATTAAAAAAAATTAAAGTTAAGCATTTCTTGAGTTAGTGGGTCATCTCATGATGAACTAACAAATGTAATACTATATCGATATTAAAACGGGCGCAAATTGAGTCCTAACTCAGATTTCCGGGCGCGACTACAAAAAACAGAGATTCATTGATAAATGACGTGAAAAACCACTCACGAATAATCAAGAATTTAATAATTAAAAATTAATTTCCGAAACCCGTTTTTAAAATGTTCGCAAATTGTTTGTGAATTTATGAGACGACAGCCGTCGAAAAAAGAAAGCGACCTAGAGATTTCTTATGAGTAATGCTACAACCACTTCGAACTAAATTCTTGTGCCAGGAGTAAATTATAGTCCTACTAGGAGGTTCCTTTTCATACTTCGTACGAAATTTACCTTGAGCTCTTGTTGCTGACTTTGTTTGTTCCATCCAACAAACGCTAGCTACGAGCACGTTTAGGTCCTGTGAAATCTGCCATTTTGGCTTTGTTTGTTATTGTCACTTCTAGTGGCGGAATTCAGTACTACAACAATACGCGAATGAAATTTAAAGTACCTATGTTGCTACAAGATGACACCTCAATCACATGGATAAGTCTTCTAAATAACATTCTATATGTAAGGAAAGTTGTCCTTTTGTAATTAAAATTGTGATTAAATAAGGAATCATTGACAATTGATTTAATGCGTAGAGATAAGTAAAAAGGATGGTGTCGCAAAAGCGTAGCAATAGATCCAGTGTAATCAACCATAGTTACATGATAACGTGTCATTTGCGCATAAATGCGCGACATTGATGATTGGTCATGAGGTTAAAACTGCTGTAACTCGCAAATTACGCAAAGGCAACTGTCACGTCCGTCATTAGTTTCTGTACACTTGTGGAATTAAAAAGTGCCCCTTAAATTAATTAGGTTAATAAAATACATCTTAAACTCATATGAAAAAGAATAAAACGATTTAACTCCGTAGCCATTTTAGTTATTGAGGTCGTATATATTGTCGCAAAAGATCTTTCAGATAGGTTTTGATGACGTCAACGAAATGTATAATAATTAATAAATTTGTACTGCTTTCATTTCATATTGGATGATAGTAAAATTGTTGAACATTAAGGTATTCGTTCAAAGGTATATGCAAATCGGCAAGTCTTGGCGGAAATTCTGAATCGTGTAGGATCATATCATATCACAAAATTGTGTATTTCTAACGTGGGTTATTAAGAATGTTATGAATAGTAAAACCTTATTCTTCAACTGGCATTTTCATTATAAACATGGTTCCCAAATGAAATAAGCAAAACATTGAAAGCTAATGATGCAAGAGAAAAGAACCAAAATATATATTTCTCATTCGGTGTCCACCAAGTCCACAATTGAATACTGAGGCGCGTGAAAGTCAATAATTTTTATGAAATGACGCACTCTGGGATTTTCGCACTTATTCTGTGTACTGAACTTGATAAACTATCACAGAAAATACCTAGGTACAGGATGAGGCGCGAAAACTTCCCGTTTTAATGTTTCTTATGTAAATATGATTAATTTATATGGATGCGCTATGATATGTGAGCGAAACTGTCTAAATATGATTAATTTAAATAGGGTTTTAATATTCAAATTTTAGTGAATGATGGAATTGTTTAGAAATATTCAAACAATTGATTTAGTTATAAATCAACGTATGGTTAAATCCTTCTTATAATTCAAACCGGCAAAACGTTGGTACCCAATTAACTTTCAGGTCTGAGCGACTCTCAGCAAACATCGTTTAAAAAAATTGAAGGGCATGTGCCAATAACATCCATTGCACCTTCCATAGATTTCATTAAAACGGAGTTTGCAAAGGGGTAACTTTCTATTAGGTATACAAATACCCACCGTTTACAAAACACTAGTTTCAGTCCCTTTAAGTTAATGGAAAACGTAGCCTCTTTTGTTCTACATTGTGGCTAATTCGTAACTGTAAGGAGACTTTGCCGAATAATAGAATGATAAGATTTTTATTTTTATATCTGCACTAGATGCTTTTCACTAGATGCCATTAAAGAGTTCGAAAGACCACATTCCGTGACCGTTGTCAATTGCACAGATTTCCGACATCGGTTAATGATTTCTGCCTTTTTACTTCATTTGTTCAGGTGTATTCTGCAAGCGTTATACACCAAGAACTTGGAAATACTCAGCTGTGACGAAATTGTTCAAGAGATATTGTTCTAAACGCTTATCGCTTTCGTCGCATAGGTAAATTAAGCGGGGCGACAAACCAAAATACAAATTATATATAGATATAGATAAATCGTTGCTGTTATAGCATTTAAA